ACAAATGAAAACAAATCACGCAAGGCGCTAAGATAATTTCACGAATACTGACAAGAACCGATTTAACAAAATTATAGGCTCGATCTCCTAGTTATCAATTAATTTTGATTTGTATGTGTTTTGTGTTGTCAACTACAATAATGGTATTATTAAATAGCCCTTGTTGTCAACAAATTTTGATTTGTATGTGTTTTTTTAAACTACAATAATAGTTTCATTAGATGGATTGTTTCCCTTGCATATTTGTGTTATTAATCATCATAGATCGAAGTTTCTGTGGTAACAGTCACTTTGAATTTTTTTTAGATTTATTTATTGATGATACCGAAGGGATATTTAGAAGTTTTAGACAAACTGACAACTCCATGGCAAACAATCATCAACAATCATCTACAAAACGCAACATAGAAAACTAAAGACCGAGTAACACGAACCCCACCAAAAACTGGAGGTGATCTCGTGTGTTCTGGGAGGGTAAGCAGACCCTCCGTCATATGTGGCACCCGTCGTGTTGCTAATATGATAAGTTTAATCGAAGTTCCTGGACACCGGATCAAAGTTCAATTTTGGATTTACATATAAATGATTCAGTTGAATCTGTCTCCAGAGACCACCACTCCTAGCATTTCAGCTGAGATCTGTGGACAGAGAGCACTCGTTCTAGCACTGCAGTGAAATCTGTCTTCAAAGACCATACCTCTAAGCACTTGAGTGGTATTTGTTTTCAGAAACCACCCTTCTAGCTCAGTAGTGAAATCTGTCTTCAAAGACCATCCCTCCAAGCACGTCAGTGATATTTGTCTTCAGAATCCACCCTTCTAGCTCAGCAGTGCAATCTGTCTTCAGAGACCGTCCCTCCTGGCACGTCAGTTGATCCAGAGACCACCCTGCTAGCTAGCAATTTCAAGATGGTTGGTCTCGCAAACTGCAGGTGCATTATTTTTTTCGTTTGTATACAATTTGTCGTTTGTATATAACTGATTTAGACAAAAAATGTTGTTTACTCTCAAAATTAATATAATCTTCGTCATAAGAGAGGAATCTCCTGATTTGTTCAGTCGTCTCTTCATTATTTAGTATATTGAAAATGTTGATGTTTTGTTAGATATTTGGTCATCCATATACCGAATACATTCACAGCTATTTCTAGCTGATATATAACTCGATATCCGGTGTTGGTGCTTGTCCAGTGTGAAAACCATCATTATGGATTATGGCGACCTGCATATGTCAAATATGTTCTTCTGTTTGTGTTTATATATTGCTGTCTAATTGACGTTTAATTCATACTTATTTTATCAATTGTAAATTGCAGATGAAAAAGCAGCATTTAAAAACCTATGGCTTCATTATATCACGTCATGGTAAATCAATATAGATATATTGTGAACATGGGTAAAGAGATGCAACTCTTTACTTCTCCTGTGCTGAATAGTGAATTTTACATTCAGTCAAATACAACTTTTGTCCTCGATATGGCCAGCCATTCCCGCCAAAACTATGTTTTAGTCATTTTTTCGAGGGAAAAAAATAACACTGAAATTATTAAACCTAAAAACAAACAGTGGGATTAAAAAAAACTAAAAACACATAGTGAGATTGAAAAAAAAACTAAAAACACATAGTGAGATTGAAAAAAAAACTAAAATAAACAGTGAGATTGAAAAAACCTAAAACAAACAGTGGGATTAAAAAAACTAAAAACACATAGTGAGATTGAAAAAAAACTAAAAACACATAGTGAGATTGAAAAAAAAACTAAAATAAACAGTGAGATTGAAAAAACCTTTAAACAAACAGTGAGATGGGAAAAACCTAAAACAAACAGTGAGGTTGAAACAACCTTAAACAAACAGTGCGATTGACAAAACCTAAAACAAACAGTGAGATTAAAAACCTAAAAACACATAGTGAGATTGAAAAAAACTTAAAAACAATATATATTGTGAGATTGAAAAAATCTAAAACAAACAGTGACATTGAAAAAACCTTAAACAAACATTGAGATTAAAAAACCTAAAACTAAATTGTGAGATGGGAAAAACCTAAAACAAACAATGAGATTAAAAAAAACCTGAAACAAACAGTGAGATAAGAAAACCTAAAAACATATAGTGAGATTAAAAACACCTAAAAATAAACAATGAGATTGAAAAATCCGAAAACAAACAGTGGGATTGAAAAAAAAAAATAAAACAACAGTGAGGTTACTGGTAAAAAACTTAAAACAAATAGTGAGATTAAAAAACCTTAAAACACATAGTAAGATTGCAAAAACCTAAACATTAACAGTGAGATTAAAAAACCTGTAGGTAAACACATAGTGAGATTGAAAAAACTTAAAACAATCAGTGAGATTAAAAAATCTAAAACAAACAGTGAGATAAAAAACCGCAAAACACGTAGAGTGAGATTAAAAAAAAACAAAACAAAAACACAGCGAGATTTAAAAAAACCCAATAAAAACACTCTATGAGATGTGTGCTCATATATTTATGCACACAATTCTCATAACAACGTACGTTTGGATATGTATCTGAGGTTAACTATGGTTACTAGTACTCAAAAGTTTCTTTAGGTTCTTACGGTTAAAAATTGTGGGAGATATATATCTTGCCATAGGTAACCTCTGTATTCAGAGTTCAACCACGCTTCTAGTTGATTTACTGTCCATACCCAAACTGAATACATCGAATCTTTTTAACAATCAGTGATCGTACGTCCATCAACAAATGAAAAAAAACTCACGTGCATGCAAATTCATTTCTATAAAATGAAACTATACTTTGCTTACTATATTATATCATATTATATGCTGATGACATTTTGTTATTGTCAGAATCACCAAAAGGCTTCCAGAAATCTCTAAAATACATTTGATTTTCGTAATTGTAAGTGCCTAGAAAATCAACCTAACAATGTTAGAATGGATCTGGTTATTACTTCCTCCCCGAGAGGGGCTGGAACCTGTACTTATAAAACACAGTTAAAGTTTGCAAAATATCTCTTACGTGTTAATAGAGACGCAGTTGTTTGACCTATAAGGCTTCAGTACATTTTTAAAAATAAATTGATATTTTATTACAGCGATAGAAATTATTTATTGAGCAAGGACGTCTTCTGAATGTTTATTTGATCAAATAATGTGTACTTCCTGCAAATCAGGAAGACACATTTCATTTGTCATAAAATGCAAAGTATTAGAACCAATAAGAAATAAAATGGTATCTTATATTATGAACCTTATACCACGATTCCAGGAAATGTCTGAATTTAAAAAAAATAATAATGCCTATTGAGGTATAACGATGTTTTATGTTATGCACATGTGTAATGACATGACAGACGGGGAAAGAGGCATTAATTATCGAAAGAAGATTTTTATATATAATATATAATACTATGTTTTTATATTGTAGTCTTGTTAAGTAGCCAACCCCTCAGCCGAAGTCATATTGTGTATCTTCTGGTGTTTCATTGTTGCTATATTTTTGGATTATTCTCCAAGATTCATCATTAATTTGATATATGAGGGTCTGTATGGGGTCCTTCATTTCTGTATTCTTTATTTTTTTATACCATTTTTCTCTATTCTTCATATTTTTGGCCCATTTTTCTCTATTTTTTATATTTTAGCACCCCATTATTCTCTATTTTGTATTTTTTGGGGTCCTTTTTTTCTCTTTTCTTTATTTTTTTCGCCCATTATTCTCTATTCTGTAAACCCCCATCCAGACCCTCGTATATGTGATCATATGTCCATGTATGTAGTGTTTTGTGTTGTTGTTGATTAAAATCCCATGTTGGCTCGGAATCTGTATCAATAAAATAATTCTTTATTCTTAATTTTTTGAGTTTTTATTTTCGTCTGGCTGTTAAGTAAGCAACAATCCATCAGCTATGACTATTGCCTGTGGAAACACCTTTCATCTCTCTTTATTGTATTTACAGTGGCAACAACTGAACATATGACTCGATTATGACATTAACAACTTCCTTTACAATTTTTTTCTATGTAGCTCCTGGTCATTTTACAATATTTCCTGTTTATCATGACCTTTAATATGTATCTGTATTAAATGTATCTTTATTCGTTTCAAAGTTAGTAAACTCTGAGAGAATAACTCTAGTGGATAGTTGTCCCATTGGGAATCATACCAGATCTCCGTATTTTTATATAAAAGTGATATAATGTATTCAAAGATTTATATAGTAAGACAGTCTTACTATACAAATCATTGATGTATTGTAATCATATTTTCCATTTTAAAGGTTTTTTTTATGTTTTCCGGTAAAATAAACTATTTTGTAAATTAAAGAAGAATTATTATGGATCAATATTACGAGTTTTAAACAGAGATTTAAAGAAAAGACGAAAAAAGAGAAGATGTATAAATCAGAACTCATCAAAATGAAACATCACAAGTAATTTTTATATTTAAACTGGGAAAATCAATATATTATGTCCCAGATTTAAATAAGGAAACGTATGATTTTAATCAAGAACAATCCCCATTTTATAAACTGAAAAAAAATCATTAACAAAAATTCATTTTCGCTGAGTAGATGGATTTTTTTCAGTCTGGAAAGTATACAATAAAAAGTCAATAAAAATACACTAAGACACCCTATGATAGGTCCCCTTTCCAACAATATAAATACTACCAATGGTTACTTTACCAGGAAAAAAGAAAATGTAAAAAGGATGCACTTTCTAAAATATAAAATATTTGAAATATAACTGATATCTCAGTATTGCATGGTCCAAGTAACTTTTGGATTGAAAACATCTCTGAATATTTTTTTTAAAATGTCTTGAGATTTATAAACTGGCAGAACTTATCAAATACTTCTCAATCATAGTAGACACAAAAAGTAATGCTATACTGATACTGTGTGACTAGTTAATATAGATCCGATGTTACTGAAAATCCTGCCAAAATTACGCGGGAAATGGATTTGTTGTTCCTGACAATTTGACAGATCATAAGGGGGCGCTGTTATAACCACAAACCGGGGAGTGAACTTTTACGAAATAGATGTCTGCTGTTACAAAGTTGAAACAGTTGTGTCCAATATGATAAAAAGATATTTGAAATAGAATGTCAACGAGACATTTACCCAGAGCAATTGGGAGCAGGGGAAAAACTGCACTTGAAATAGAAAGAGAGAATTTTGAGAAAAGTCAGGTAAAATCTTTCACCGGAAGTGCATATTTGTTTATATTTATCATGATTTCTTTTACATGTTTTCAGTAGTCTCTTTCCCATTAACATTTAACAAGCGATCAAACGAACGATTATCAACAACACACATCACTTGGATTCCGCAATGCCTATACATATGTCATGTGTACATACCGAATACACAACCAACTGATGCGTAGAATCAGTCATCCCAATTTTTGACACATTTTCAATCAAATTGATCAAGAAAAAAATCATCATTATGATATTAGGTTTACATATCACTAACAGTAGGCCTTGAATTATACATTAAACTAATATGGATAAGGAAAGTTTTTGTGGTAGGGGGTAGTTCAAATGACATGACACCAAACAGCTGTTTAGAGCTGAAATATAATGAGGTATGTCATATAGCACTGTCACATTTTAATAATTTTTATGGGTGTTTTTAAACATTTATTTTCCAATTGATTAATTTTTTGTTATCTGTCAAAAGGGGATATTTGAATGTCTTTTTCTAGGAACATATTCTGCTTAGTTTTTATGCAGAAGGACAACAATTTCAATTAATTATATTTTGTCATTATAAGGAATTACTCTTTAAGATGACAGCAGGAAAGCAGGGGCGTCAATGATGTAGAGGCATGTAGGCAGTTGTCACTTTTTGCCGACCGACCAAACAATGATGAAATAAATATAATAAAAAAAAGAGACAATTTTGATAGTCTTGTTTTGACACAGGACAGGGCCTGATAACATAGAAGATCTATTGTATCCGTAACCTATTAAATATCTCAAATCAAAACCCAAATCACAAATTTCAATAAGTACGCTTGCAGAAGACTGTCTCTTCATTTGTTTTGACCAAACCAAACATGGAATTTAGTATAATAATGATACCTAATGCAGAGCAAAAGCTTCGTTTGTCAAGACGAGAATTTGTTCTAGATGTTCCATATTTGAATTTTATGTTTTGGTAAACTGTCAGTCACACTGCCTAAATCTGGTCATTGTCAGCAGTTGTCAAGTCAGTTGCAGAATTTTGATGGCAGGTTAAGGTAATCAATAAACATCTGCATGTTCATTAGTGCGTTGGGTATTTGTGAAGTATGCAATTAAAGATATAGGCCAAGTCACTTTTGAATTTAATTTGATGTATGATCAAGAAGAATACATATTCCAGAAAGAAACATGGTTCCGGCCAACACTGGCAGAAACTGCATGTACATCATAAGCCAATTTAATTTATACATGTACAGATAAGCTTAGCTGTTGAAGGTTATGAAAAGGTTCTTGATATACATGATGAAGTTCAAAACCAAACCAGAGTCAGCAAGTCAGATGCAACACTTTATAAACTGAATTTACTTTAATAAGGTGAAGTAAATGTCATTGAACAATATTTTGGATTTTACAATGTTTTTAATGCATCTTAACAACTGAACTGTATCTGTATATCGAACAAATAGTATATATACAAATGTAGCATTTACATATACATGATATATATTAGTTCTAGAGATACAATCATTGAAAATTTATTATAAAGAACCTAAAAATGTATAGAATGTTTGCATGTACCAGATAAAAAAAACCTTGAAAAAAACATTTCATTTCAAAACTAAATTCTGTGTGTTCAATTTGGAGAAATCATAATTTTAAATATGATTTCTCCAAATTGAACACACAGAATTTAGTTTTGAAATGATATGTTATCACTGTGCAAATTTCAGTTTTAACCCTTTCACCATAGCTGCCCAGACAGAAGCTACTCTGAGACGATGGCTTCCCTGGCTACTATTACTCAAGTGGGAGATCTTCATAATAAATGTCAATAAAAACTTGTCTGTAGTTATTTGTGTCTTTATTTCATTCACTAACACCATGTTCACAGTTTTGTTCATGTTTTGATAATTTTTTCTTCATAAAATATTCAAATTTTCGGCATTACCTAGGTGAAATTCTCAAAATTCTGCTCTTGGACCCAAAATCGTAATTTTTTAATCCAAAACGGCAAAATTTAAAAAAAATTAATGAGGCTTTACACATTCCTTACACAGAACGATGTCCATTCCAAGTGTTTTGTACATAAAACAACATTTTATGTCAAAAAAGTATACTAGTTTGGCTTCAATTCTTCCATATTTTTTCAAAAAAAATGTTCCCTCATTTCAAATTCTCGTAAATTCCGTAAATTTCCTCTGATTTTGACAAGGTTTTCAACAAACGGAAGCGACTTCTTCTTATTTCCTCTATATCTTCCTCCAATAGTTGGAGTACACCAACCTTACTGAATTAAGGTTGGTTAATCCTTATAAAAATTATTAAGTGAATACCTAACTATTTAAAAATAACATTATGTACAGTTAAATCCCTGCGCCATGTTTACACTTTATCCGGGTATTCAACAAAGAAAGATAACTCGTGTTTGCACTGTTTTGAGCGGGAAATATAAAAGAGGTATTCCGATCCCGGTAAAACGGAACTCATCGTCAGCTGTCTGAAGCGTGAATCCCGGTAAACCGGGACTCATCAGCGAAAGGGTTAAATATATGAAAATATTTGGCCCCCAGTATTAGATCATTAAAGTTAATAATATGAAATTGTAGCACGATGCCTTCATGAAGTTACGTGTAGTTTGATCTTTAATCACTCTACATACAAAGAATTATATAAAGTTGATTTTTACTAAGAAAACAATTCTGCGGATGGAATTTTGAGAAATTGACATTCAAATTGAATGAAATGTAGTATTTTATTGATGCTTTTTATGTACTTTCTATACATTTTTTAACTCTTTTTTCATAAATTTATAATTGATTGTATCTCTGACACTTTTTATATTCAGATGTAGTTCAACATGTTCCCAATGCTTTCAAAATTTAAAAAATCTTTTGAAATCTCCCTTAGTTTAAAAAATGATAGTGGTCACAGTCTTAACCAAGTTCCTACTTGGATATGACTGTGTCCATAAAACTTTAGCAAGTACTATTGGAAATAACAGCGAAATTACTACTTTGACAAATCATAATGATAAACAAACAATGTTCATTATACAATGTTATATTTTCACCAATTTTGAAAGGCCAAATATGAGTATGTGAATTTGATATCAATTTTGGGCTTTTATTTACCACAAATTGAATAAGGTAAGTTACAGATCTCCATTTCCCTGAGAGAAGGGTAATCTGAGGCCACATATATTTTTAAAGAGAAAACCATGTTGATCAACATATTTCATGTATTTTTTTATTGTTTTATATTGTTTCGTTACTGTCCCCATTTCCTTTTATTCATATTTAAGGCAAGCTTATGATTGTAAATATTTATAAAGCATATTTGCTCGTTAAACAAAGAAGTTATTTTTCTTCCTTTGAAATACATGATTGCTATTTTTATTTTTGAACAGCATGTAGCAATCACCAAAGCCATCAGTGCGACGGAATGTCCAGTAAAGGAGAAACATGCCAGAAGTATCCTTTTTACTTTATAGCACCACTTGAAATACACTATGTTTCTTGATACAATTTGTATACTGATTTCTTTTGGTGAAAATTCATGAACCATTTGATGACCACACTTAGATGGTGCTCTTCTTTAACAATATTTCATACTATTTGCCACTGGCCAGGTCAATACTAGAATTGACTGCTTTTAAGTCAACCTTGTTTTATACTGTATATATTACGAGGGAAAGAAGTGTTGTAAAGATTATCTCGGAGGATTAATTAAATCTTTGAAAGCTAAAACATGCTCATAATTGATAATATTTTCAATAATCTAAGTAATTGGAAGTGGGTGTATTAATAATTGTTTAGAAAAAAAAAACTTTTTAAGTAAAATTTCGTATGATTTTCATCTTTATGGTTAAAGGACAATATCATGATAGTAATACAAATTTAAATGAGAAAGAATAAAAACTTCAATTTTTATTTTTGATTTTTTTTTAGTCATATTTAAAAATCAATATGCCAAATGTATTAAAATGAAATATAATTTAAAACAAATCAATTATACATCTCTGATTGTTACTGATAATTATGTTTTTTTGTTGTTGTCCCATTACCCAACAATCCAGAAAAGTCTGGTTTTCTGAATATTTTATTTATTAATCACACAGCCTAAGGTGGGCATGTAAATTGCAAATCAATACAAACTGTTTAACATATAGTGTGACCATATTCATTTCTATTGGAAACTACCTCATTAGATACACATGCAGTTTACAAATTACAGAATCGAAATCTGAAATGTATCAGCCACTATACTTTCAGTACATGTTATCCTCTTACATTCATGACATTAATGTGCAGCAAAATGCAAGAATCAGAAATAATTTAGCAAATGTACTAAATTTCAAGGTACATATATATATCAGAAATTATTGTCCATATTATATATATTGGTCAGTTCTGGAAATATATCTTCAAACAATTAGATAAATTTAAACAATTGGTTATCTTATTGTTGACTTGTTAAATACACTTTGTATTTGTAAATAAAAGTTGTGGAATTGAACCAGGTTTTCTGGCATTTTGTCAAGTCTGCATTATTGTATTTAACTACAAAATGAAGGAAGCAAGTTTTGTTCAAAATTTTCAAACATTGTTTAAAACGACATATTTTCTTGCACATTTATATCAAAATGAGACATTTGTTTTAAAATTGATACATAAAAAAGAATCTTTGATTTTCAAATTCAAATTCAAATTATATTATATATTAGTTGGAAAATAATATTTTCATCGAACATTTAGTGAAAAAACAAAGGTTTGAAAATTTGTTTTGCTAATGGACCAAAGGGTCAAGTTTGTGTCACATTTTATCAACAAAATAGTAGTGATTTTTTTTTAATATTATGATGTCAGGTTTTTCTCATGAAACACATAGAATATCATTTTTGTTTTTGATAGTGACTATGAGGAAGAACATCAATTGAACCAATTGCGCAAGCTGATATTTGAGCTGGCGAAGTCAGTATCAAAAAATTAAATGCCATTGTTATTTTTATCAGCAATTATTCTTCAGACAATGTTTTTTGGTTTACAATATGAAATTACATTGATATTGATAATAATATTATTTTTACCCACAAAAAATGATGCAATAGTTGTTTAGTGTATGCATGTAGTTGAGTGCATTTAATTGTTTAATTGACGAGGAAGGACATGCAAACGTGATGTTGTTGCCTTATATTTTCAAATATCATGTCCTGTCCTTGATCTAAAAAATTTCGGCAGGAGGATCAAAGGGAATCTGTTTTGATTGATTGATTGGTTGGTGTTTTATGCCACTTTCAGCACTATTGTGTTATTTTGTGGCAGCCAGTTTTTTTTTGTGCTGAGGAGAACCACTGACCTTCAATAGGAAAACTGACAATCTTAGTCAATTAAGATCGGAATCGAGCGCACCTGTCACATGCAGGATTTGAACTCACAACCTCAGTGTTGACTACTTAGACCACTCGTCCACCAAGGCCCCAAGGGAATCTGTACAAATTGCTGATATTGTACAGTTAATTAATGATATCAATCCTTATGCATATAATTTATATTAACTGAGAAAGATATCTTTAGTTGTGCCTTAGCATAGAAAAAAGGATAGTGATTCCTTGACCATTTTGTAGGGTTAAATAGGTAGTTAAAGGATCTTTGCTGTGTTTTCAAAATATACCCCATATGGGGGTGCTCATTTCACAAATCCTTCTTTTTTGTAATTTGTTCCCACTTTTTTCCAATCTTTTACCTGGATACTACTTATTTACCCCCCATATCACACATCCCCACTTTTTTTAACCTATATCCCACATCCCAAAAGCATGTCATCTCCTTCATATTTGTGAACTTAGTTCTCTAGATACATGTATATCACTAATTTAGCACTGGTTTGATTTTTACAGAGATTACACCAGAATGTACATGGTACTTTGCCCTAATGTATATTTTATCTACTTATGATCTAAATGTACAAGTATTTATCTCTGTGTTACATGTATGACTAACTGATGAGAAATATCAGGTATTTTTTTTCTGCAGGGGAATACACAAATATGTATAATTCATCATGAACCAATTAATCCTAATAAGTAATGAGGACAGGGTGTAGTTGTTTATTTATTTTATATGAATCATTGATTCCACTTTGAATGGATATTCAAAACATGTATTTGTAAAAATCTAACATGTATTTAGGAAAGTTACAATGTAATTTTTTATTACTATATGTATTGTAAAGCAAGTGATAAATGCAGAATGCTGAACACATAAATTTTTACCCATCTACAACGGAACAAAAATAATTAATTTAAATTGCACCATAATTTGGGTATCCAATTTTTTCTAAGACCCCCCCACTTTTTCACTTCGACCTCAAGTTTGTGCCTTTTCTTTTTTAAAACAGTAGATTCCTTAATTTGAAATATCTGAAAAGATAAATTTAAGACGATGATTGACAGATATAATTTTGCTATGACTAGCAACTTGACTTTTTAAGATCAATATCCTTCCTGCTCTATTCTTAATTTCTATTTTTGACATTACTACTTAACCAAAAAAGTAAACTTTTAAAAGATTATTTGAACAGAATTTATTATTGACATAAAACTGAACGTGGTTCTTTATCTAAGAGTAGGCTATAAATTTTTAAATAAATCATACAAATATCTGTTAAAGATTTGACTGATTATTTATATCAAATTTGTGTAAACAAAATACACATACACAGCAATGCAAGTGTATTGGGTGCAACATATGATAAATAAATGCAATGTTTTTCTTTAGTAGGTAAAGAAAGGTATACTATGCAGGATATCTATCATGTTGGACGAGCACATTGTCACTGTTTGAATTGAAGAAATTTTGTCAGTTAGATGGAACATCATAGAGATATAAACTGACTTTCTTTGTAGAAGTAAAACATGAGTTTCTATAAATATTGGCAGTTGAACTGCTTATTAGTTCATCATACTTTATTAGCCTGGAAGGTATTCAGGCTTCTTTGAAGTTGCATGATTGTTTTCCTTAATCCAGACTAGCTATTGTTCTAGGTACATTTAAGGACCATGGTGCAGGATTATACTGGTCAATTGGAGGAAAATTGCCATTGCAGGGCAATCCAATTATTGCATGGAAATTTATCCATGTACTACATAAAATACTGAGGGATGGACATCCACATGTGAGTTTCTCTTTTAATCAAGTTTACTGTAATAAAAACCTTGATTAATTGTAGATATATATCAATGAAATCAAAACAGTCTCTTCTTACCATTGCTCTTCATTGCAGTCAACCATTTACGCGTCTAGTCAAGGGACCCGGAATATTTTGTATCAAATTTTGATTTTAGTGTCAAATTTAGCCTATTTTGATGAATTTGCTTAACCCTTTCACAGATAGCTGCCCAGACAGAAGCTACTCTGAGACGATGGCTTCCCTGGCTACTATTACTCAAGTGGGAGATCTTCATAATAAATGTCAATAAAAACTTGTCTGTAGTTATTTGTGTCTTTATTTCATTCACTAACACCATGTTCACAGTTTTGTTCATGTTTTGATAATTTTTTCTTCATAAAATATTCAAATTTTCAAATTTTTGGCATTATCTAGGTGAAATTCTCAAAATTCTGCTCTTTGACCCAAAATCGTAATTTTTTAACCCAAAACGGCAAAATTTTGAAAAATTTAATGAGGCTGTACAAATTCCTTACACTGAACGATGTCCATTCCAAGTGTTTTGTACATAAAACGACATTTAATGTCAAAAAAGTATACTAGTTTAGCATCAATTCTTCCATATTCTTTCAAAAAAAAATGTTCCCTCATTTCAAATTCTCGTAATTCCGTAAATTTCCTCTGATTTTGACACAGTTTTCAACAAACGGAAGCGCCATGTTTACACTTTCACCCGGGTATTAAACAAAGAAAGATAACTAGTGTTTGCAATGTTTTAAACAGGAAATATAAAAGAGGTATTCCGATCCCGGCAAAACGGGACTCATCGTCAGCTGTCTGAAGCGTGAATCCCGGTAATTTGCCTATGAGAAAGGGTAGTCAGGTTGCCTAGATCACTTGGGTGACTTCTTTAACCTCCTTGTTATAGCATCTGCTATCCTGAATTTCCTATTTACCGTAAGTATTACACCACCTAAGAATCATACAGAAGGGGATTCATGGGTGGAGAACCTGTATATCTTTTTTGACATTTTGTACATAACATAAAATAGTATTAAAAACTACCCACAGCTTCTAATTTAACCCATGGGAATGTGAGATATATACATTATAATATGAAATGCACTATTAAAAGTCTGAAAAGGGAAATAACTCTTATAATCTACAGTACATTCCATTGTAAATATCAAGTCAATTTTCTTTCATGATCAGGCAGTATGGGGAGAATTATTATCCACCTCATAATGTACAACACTGAGTTAGTAAAATGTCAAAATCAAAAATGTGTAGCCCTTTTTCAGGTGAATCACATTTTCATTCATTATTTGCATAGTTGATAAGTGGTCTGCTACTGAAGTTTTTTACCCATGAAAAAAATGAACCAAAATTCTCATATCACAGAGCATTTCTTGTAATTTGAGGACTAAAAATAAGGACTGTGTAATGTACATATACCTGGTAATATCTTTTTCCAAAAGATATAATGTTATATTCCTTTGACATATTATTATTTTTGTTTTATTGCAGGCAATACCAGACTCATTTAAAAACCATGCAATCTTGAAAGAGCTTGCAAAACTATGGGTAAGATATCGCAGAAAAATATGACAGGAAATTAACACTGTGTCAAATGAAACTTGTCAGGGAACCAAAAATATGTCAAATAAAACATGTCAGAAAACAAAAACTATGTCGAATGAAACATGTCAGCAAACAAAAACTATGTCAAATGAAACATGTCAGCTAACAAAAACTATGTCAAATGAAACATGTCAGCTAACAAAAACTGTGTCAAATGAAACATGTCAGCAAACAAAAATATGTCCAATAAAACATGTCAGAAAACAAACACTGTCAAATGAAACATGTCAGAAAAACTAAAATATGTCAAATGAAACATGTCAGAAAATAAATACTCTGTCAAATGAAACATGTTACCAAACAAACACTGTGTCAAATAAAACATTGGCCTGGTCATCCTTGATCCTGAATGTAAACAGGAACCAGTTTTCAAGACAAAAGATGGATTAAACAACGACTGACAGAAACAAAAAAAAATACAACTCAATTATGTCTAGCCATCCAGGCATTACCATTTTGGATACCAAATGGTATATTTTGTGTTGTGAATAAGATTTGTACTAAAAGATATGTGAAAAATGTCTTATAAGTGGAGAAGAATTAACTTGATATTTCAATCAAAGGTCAGGGATACAGCTTACCAGTATATGTAAATTATTTTGTAGATGCATCTGAAGGAAGGATATGGAAAGCTTATTGCTTGTTATTGTAAACTGTTGGTGGAGAAACTGAATTTTCATAGAAAGGTTTATATCACATATTATAATATATATATTGTGGATTCACAATGAATGATTTTATGTTTGCCTTTGAACACCATACCATAACCTTAAAATGTTCAATGAGTATAATTTTTTATTTTTACATTTTATATAAAATTAAGTGATGTGTTATGATTGCCAATGAGACAACTATCCAACAAAGTCCAAATAAGGGGATTTAAGCAACCATAGGTCATCATAAGGCCTTCCAAGATAGAGCAAAACCCATAGCGTATAGTCAGCTATAAAAAGGCCTCGACATGAGAAATGTGAAACTATTCGAACAAAAAGAAAATCAACAGCCTATTTTTATGACAAAATACTAAATGAAAAACAAATTGTCAGACAGCAACCATCTGCAAACATTGAATAAAAGGCTCCAGACTTGGGACAGGCATATATAGAATGTGGGCACTCAACCCTCTCCTAACCTGGGATAGTAATGTAACAGCACAACTTAAAAACGAAATGTAAAATCAGTTGGGATTGACTGGACTCATCAGACAAAAGAGACAAAGTGCCCATCTGAGAGACTAAGTGAGAGTACTCACAGTTACTGAAAAGCTAATTTAATGCCAATAACAACTAACAAATAAATGATGTTCCCCCAGATGGAAAAGAATGTTTTTTCATGTATATTTGATAAAACTTTTTTACTTTTTTTTTTTACAGAATAAAGAAATACCAGGAAACCTGAATTTATCAGATGAACAGTTTGCTAAGATTTGTGGGTCTGATGTTAATAATTAGTAAGTTTAATTAGGAAAAAGTGCTAACTGTGAAACAGATTTGTAAATTTTGAATGTTTTTATTATTCAGTTTAAATGTTGGAAGGTCACGAAAAAAACAATCATTGACAAAAATACAAGAAGACTATATCAGATATCTTTGAGTAAGATTTCTGTGCTTTGATCAGACTATGAAATCTTTCTTATGAGTTTTTGAGATTACTCAATCTTGCAATCTTTCTGGTGTTAAATTCCTTATCTTTCTACTAAGGCTTAGTATTTTTTTATTGAATTGATTGACAACTTATCCAATGACAAAGAGCTTGGTGTTTTATTTTATTATCCAGACCCCATTAAGAGCTTGTGGTAAGGTTTGATCATCCAGACTTCAGTTGATGGAGAGTTGATTGTTTCGTTTACCTTAGATTATCTTTGAATGATTTATTGCACATTTGGTGCATTAGAAATGACATACACATTAATATGGGTTGGAGTATGGGATTAGTGATAAAGTATTCTACTCTCTCAATTGATTTCTATAACTATTTTTTAAACTAACAACTAACTTGATATAAAACTGGTGTGGTAGTTTCTGATATAGATATAATAAAGCACTGTATATAGTAGTATTATAACAAGGATAGACAATCATTAATTTATAACAGTGTATCTAGAAAGGAATTAATAATGTAAGTTTGTCATGTCAGGCCCAGTGAAATGTTAAATTGCTTCATATCTTATACTGTGTGTCTGTTATTGTTATTTCCAGCAAATTACATAAATTGATGGTAAATAGCCCTGTGTTTGAACTGCTTATTTTAGTTAATACTGTTGATTCATTTATTTTCTTGGGTACCAATTTTCGTGGATTTAGGAAAAATTGTATTTTCGTAGATATTCAATTTCATGATTTTGCCAAAGTCTGTATGCAAGCCTATAAAAATTTGTTTACTTGGTTTATCGAAGAAACCCTGAAAATTGATGTCCCATGAACGAGTATGAATCCACAGTAATTCACGGTTTTATTGCTGTCGTCTTGAAAAAGCTTGCAAAGTTAATTACTGTTTAAATATTAGGTATTTGTTGTTGTTGAATATTATTTAAATCGAGCTAAGTTGTCCTGGTCAACTTGAGATTGTAATTTTGAACGATATAAGATATGAAGGAATTTAAACACTGACCTGTTATGTATATATGTTGTTGGGTATAGGTAATAATATTTTTTTATTTATTTTTCTCTCTCAGTGATATGCGATATAGGCAAGTGTACATCAATAAAAAATCAGCTATTGTAACTACATGTACATTATATACTGAACTACACAAGATATTAACATAATCTGCAGTTTCAGAAGGAAATTGTCTTACAACTCTGTATATCTCAGTGTCAAATTCCCATGGTTTTAATTAGTTCCTCATGTTGCAAATTTGTATCAGATATTATCTTTTATTCTAAGCGTCAAATTATAATGCTTTCCTCTAATTTTGCTGTTGTGATATTTAGAAAAGTGGCAATCATGCATACTGAAAGATCACATTCTTTCAGGTCGTTGAAAAGAATGTTTAAGTTGGCTTACTACATATGGTCTAAAACTGTTAAAACAAATAGATTTCACCAACTTATCTTGAGCAATACAATATTTCCTCAGGCTTGATTGTTAGGTTAACAAGTTTAGAATTGAAGAACTTTTTTTTTTAGTGTAGAAATTTTGTTTGTCAGTCTTTGAAGTTGTAGAATATTTAAATCAAATCTGCAATTCATGAAAATATCACCATTTGTTGAAAATACATGTATGCACCTCCCATAATGCATTTATAATCAAGACAAGGGTCATATTTACTACAAAAATCTATTCTATTCCAGACCAGGAATTTTTGATAAGTATAAAAAAAAGGATATGCGGTTTGATTACCGATGAGACAACTATCCACCAGAGTTTTAATGATGTGGATGTAAGCTATTATAGGTCGCTGCAAGCCCTTCAACAATGATAAAAACCCATACCGTATATATAGATGGCTATAAAAGGCCACAACATAAAAAATGTTAAACAGTTCAATTGAGAAAATTAGCAGCCTAATTAATATACTGAAAACTAATATGACAGACATGCAACAAAGACCATCAGTGTTTTGTTTAAGATAAATATAGATTTTAGTTCAGTATATATTGTTATTGGGATTGGCTAGTTCTTGTTTGTTAAACCTATTAATAGAGAGTTTCAACTATCTGTAATAGTAAAATTTAAATTTAAGTTTGGCTAAAAACATCTTTTGACATCTGAATGATTCAGCTATTGTAAATCAATCTAATTACATTCCACAACTCTTATCTTACAATATTTTCTATTCAGTGAATTTGTTTCATATTTCAAAAAAATGTTGTAATCAACTTAAGTTTTGCTCAAGACTATACATTTTAGAAATGATAGTATATTAGTGTTGACTTGGTAGAGGGCTGCATGTATCAGTTAACATATACCAAACATTGGGTGAGGGAAAGCTTCCAATAAATGGAATAATTTTAAACTGTATTACTTAATTATCATCAATTTAACATTAACAGAACTAATACTTCATAATTATTTAAAGGGGCACTAGCTACGAGGTTTATAAAATATATAAAATATGATTTTTTTGGTTCACCTATTAATGAAAGTGAAATAGGTATATCCGCTTTTAGCAGCCAGTATATTTCAATTTTGTCAAAATAAGCTAAGAACATTGATGATGAATTATTCACTTGCAAGTGAATAATTCGACCTCATTGAATCCGTATTCATGTGAACTTCAATTTAACCCCTTAGCTAGAGATGGATACTGCATGCATTGTGCGTGTTCAATTATTTAAAGGAAAAGAATGTCAACATTGAAAGTGAAACAAAGGTAAATCATTTGATTGACTGATCCGATCCACAAAAATCATTCTTATACAGGTAAAAACGATGATTAACATATTTTTAATCTATAATATGAAATTAAACAGACCTAGAAAACCCCAAATGCACGAGTATGATATCTATTTATATCTATATTTATGTTTATATCGCTTATATGGTAATCAGATGTTTTCAGAGGTCAACTCGACAGTTAATTAGATGGCGTCTATACTAAAATACACACGAAACGAAGCTACATATTATCGAGCCCATGCCCGGTATATTGTTTATTTTAGACTTTTTATTATTTGGATAAATCTTTTACATTGTTATAAACCAAATATGAGAATTTGAGTCAAATCGGTGACCATGAATTTGACAGCTAGTGCCCTTTTAACTTTATAATTCACATCAAAATTACAAAGAACATTTAACTGCCTGTTTGTTACATTCAGATATTGGTGAAGAAAAATCATTTATTATCTTTATTATTTTAGTGTGTATATTAGTGTACTTTATCCTGGTTTTCCATGAAACTAAAGTGAAAACACTGCAGGATTCATGCCAATGAGTGAAATGTCTCTGATTCAAATCATGTCAATGAGTGAAATATCTCTGATTCACATCATATCAATGAGTGAAATGTCTCTGATTCAAATCATGTCAATGAGTGAAATATCTCTGATTCACATCATATCAATGAGTGAAATGTCTCTGGTTCACATCATATCAATGAGTAAAAAATCTGTGACAAAGAATTAAGTTTTTCAAAAATCCATTTTTTACACTAAATCTATTATACTTATGTGCATATCTTTTTTTGATTTAGCACAGAATACATGATACCAATGACTTTTTATGATTAAAAACCTCATAAAGTTTGTTACATTAAAAGAAATATAATTAGTGATTTTTAAATTCAAGGGGCCCCAAGTAGTGAGCTTTGTATACACATTCTTCTTTGTTTGATTTATTCTCCACTCAGACAGATTTAAAAAAAAGAATATTAGCATGTAATTACTTTTTTAATATATTCTAACTGAATATTATATTTCTTTTTGACATTTCATGAAACCCTATTGTCTTGGAAGTATATTACATTTAATATACTATCAGATTTGGCCACAGCCTTTTCTTTATTTGAAGTGTAATGGTGAAAATGGCATTCTCTGAAAATTGCTTATGAAAGAATTTGATAAAGATATATTATAATAACAATTATTATTTCAGTTTTGAGATCAGTGTAGAAATGCTGGATTACATGGATGAGATTTTGAGTCTTCAACAAGCAGGTTAGTAGAATAGACTAGGTTGGAATATTTAAAAGTTTATACCCATACTGTTCATTGGATATTCTTTTCACTGGCATCTAATGAATCCTTTACTATAACAAATAAATTATGCAGTAGAGATTAAGTTCCAAACAAGAGAGGCGAAAGATACCAAAGGGACATTCAAACTCATAAGTAAAAAATAAACTGACAATGCCATGGCTAAAATAGAAAAAGACAGACAAACAGTACACAGTACACAAAACACAACATAGAAAAGTAAATACTGAGCAACACAAACCCCACAAAAACTCGGGGTGATCTAAGGTGCTCCAGAAGGGTAGGCAGATCCTGCTCCAAATGTGGCACCCGTTGTGTTGCTCGTATTAGTACAAAACCCGGTAATTAGTCTAATTCGGTAGGTCACATTCGAGGAAAGGGTAACAGGATTGTAGTTACGACAATTGGAACATATTCGCTATCATACGTGAAATTATTTTTAAAAGATTTATGCCCCTTGGAAACATTAATTATACGGAAAATTGCATTGTAAGTGCTCTCATTTGTACAATTCTTGCCAGATTTTATGAAACTCATAAGTTTATATATTAGCAATGTCTTGGATGAGTTTGAAAATCAGTGCTCACGAATTATTTTTAAAAGAGTTATGCCCTTGGAAACATCAATTAATGGACAATTGCATCGTAAGCGCTCTCATGTGTACGATACTTGTTAGATTTTTATGAAACTTACATCATAGGTTTATATCAGTAATGTCTTTAGAGAGTTCAAAAATCAGTGCTGATCAATTATTCTTCAAAGAGTTATGCCCTTTGAAAACATTGATTAAATTGCATTGTAAGTGCTCTCGGCCGATTTTTATCAAATTCATATTAAAGGTATATAACAGCAATGTCTCAGACAATTTCAAAAATAAGTGCCGATCGAATATTTTTAATGAGTTTCCCTCTCTAGTGAGATAATTTTAAAAAGTTTTAAAGAACAAAAAAAAATTATTTTTAGCTATTGTTCTTGGACAGAACAGATAAAATATGTGCAACATGAGGGACATTTGAACTCTGTTCTTTTATTCATTCTTAAATTTATCATATTCAACATGAATTTTTTTATAACAAAAATATAAAATTTTGAGGAATTCATATCACATTTGATCTACATCTAAAATTTGCATTCATAAACACATGCTTTAATTTCTAACTACATGTACATAATATTTATAATTTTATTTTTCAGTGTTTGGTTCATTAGACATGTCAAGATCTAACTCGATGACAAATTCTGGACAATGTCGACTTGCTCCATTGATATTGTGTATACAAGACTCATGTCAGCTCTATGATTACATTGTTAAATCCTTGTTCCGTTTACATTCTAGTAAGTATCATATATTACGGCATGTCAGCTCTATGATTACATTGTTAAATCCTTGTTCGTTTACATTCTAGTAAGTAATGTATATTATGGCATGTACGTGATGTGAGTGTGTGAATTACATAATTAAATTTCATTCCAATAACATTCTAGTTTTAGTATTAAAGTTTGAATATAATCAAGTTTTTTAAATTTACTGTTTACAGAATAGTTATTTTTTGGAAGCAATATGTGCCATCATACTTTTTTCCTAATTGGTCAAACAAGAATTCTTTTAATATAAAAAGGTATGAGATTGAAGTTTCATCTATTGATTCGATGTTGTATTTAAAAATTATAGCATATTTTTCTTTTAAGATAAAAAACTTGATTGTGTAAATTGCTATATGGTAAGAGCAACACTGACATGTAGTGAAATTATAGCCAGTACATGATGTTTTTCTGTTTTCATTTGATCAAACACAGTATTCGGACTGAAAAAAAATATTATGTAGAACAAATCATAAAAATTCATATCTTTTACTTGGATTATTTGAATCGGAAGTTTACTTATAACTATTGACTGTTGATTTCATTTAAAAAGAAAAGTTGATGATAATGATAATGATGATGATGAGGTTGAGTTTAAAGTCTAATGGCAAACATATTATGTATATCAAGACAAGTATATGTTAATGTGATTTGAATATGAACCCTGCTTTTCACTACACCGACACATAGGGCCAGAGTTTTAAAGTGCTAGTTCACAGGATAAAAAGAAATGGCAGTTTCAGTGCAAGTTGTCTTCAGTTAACACCACTTTTACTGCCATGTTTTAAAATCCTTGTAGTGTGAATCTTTTGGTTATATTTGATTGTGTTATTATATTTTTCCAGGTCTTCCTCCCGACACACTGTCTGGCCATAGAGACAGATTTCTATCCATGTATAAAAGGTAATTAACTACTTAAATTAATTCCTAACCCTTGGTCCGTTATTGTAGAATAATTACAAAATAGAAATAATTGTTTGTTGATGAATGTAGATGTATTATAGTATAAAAAAGTCATTTTTATGCCTCACCTACTATATGTGTGATATGGACACATTCTTGTTTAGAATTGGATTTGCATTTAAATTTTAATGTTAAAGAATGGACTTCAGTTGATCATATGCATTCTTAAATTTATAATGTTTTTTTGTAACAACTGTATTTATAGAAATAGATAACTCTCATTACCTATAGGCAAAAATTTCATAAAATTTAGTAAAGATTTTGTCATCCCAAACTGGTATTTGATTTCATGTTCTGAGTTCATTGTTCTAGGTATAAAATACTTATCCATGTATCTTTCTAATTTCAGATTAAAACAGTTTTATTTGAGTAGTAGTAACCTTCAATATTTTAAAAATCTAGTCCAAGTTCCAGGTTTGCCTGATGTAAGTACAATTTTAAAAATCTTGTGTAATTACAAAAATTGTTCATTATTTATTTCATGAAGTCAATTAATTTTGAAATTAATTCATTACCAATACTTTCATGGTATAAAAAATCATGAATACATGAAAAATAGTAATCAAAACATTATGAGGACAATGTCATTTACTGATAACCAACCATCTTTGGTCAGCCATACACAACTCATTGAACAAGTAACAAATTGAAATGTTTTGTATTTTCAGGAACCTCCCAACTTTTTAATAGCATCAGATTTCAGTAAACATGTTAAACCTGTGGCTGTGGTACCAGATGAACCAGAACCAGAGGCGGAGCCAGAGATAGAAGTTGAGGATTTGATTGACACGTCAGTCTCACAACCACCTGTACAGGTAATGTTTTTTTTTTCTCTATATGAAAAAAAATCTTAAAGCAATCTTGAAGTATGCTGTTGATTAAAAAAAATGCCAGTAGAAACTAATGCATGTTGATTAAGTATTTGTAGAGTCAAATTTATTTATTCAAATATAATAATCAGATGTATTTTTTTCTAATCTTCCCTTTTTTGATAAAAGTTAGACAAGATTGATCATGTACTCAAGAAACGAATAGATTCCCCGTTGAGGGACTGTTCCATCTTAAATTACTCAAAACTTGTAATAAAGATGCAGATTATAACAGTTATTATGATGACTATACAATTGTGAAAAACTGAGCACTGATCATGCAAACACTATTGAATAAGAGAGGATATTATATTATTTCAGTCAACATAAATTAGATATATGGTCAACATCCATAAAACATTGATCTGCTGTCGTACAAAATCATTTCAAAATTAGGCTTGCACATCAATTTAACTACATGCATTTGCACATCATTTGTACTTTTCAACAAATGTGGAGTCATCTTTTTGGTTTCATTGTTAGTTATGAAACCTCAGAATCTGACCAATTTTCACCACTATTCAATGGACTTTCCAGTAACAATAGAAAGTATTCTGATTAAGATACAGATCCTTTATCCACTCTTCACTTACACAGATCAGAAAACGCTCAGTTCTATTTTCTGTTCTAAAGACCTTGTAGGTAGGACTTGCATTGACTGATGTAATAATTTCCAGAACAGAAATTAGAATCAAATGTTATCAGAACCTTGTAAGCAAAGCATTGACACAAGATTCTTAATTTAATTAAATTTCAATAGAAAGCATATTTCATTTGTTTTATATATGACGATAAAAGTAGGATTCAAGATTCATGGTACATATTTTCTTGGAGGATGAAAAATATATTTTTTAATTACAGGTGAACAACTTTGGAAATGGTTTTCCCGAAGTGGATGAAAGGTAAATAACATCTTTGATATTAATATAGTAGTAGTTTGAATTCAGTATAAAATATATCTTAGACAAAAAGTATTGGTCTGGACATTTAAGCACATCAATATCTTAGTTATACAGTAATAAAACTGTCATAAAATTGGCCACACTCAATTCATAATCATAATTTTACAGTGCATTGATTGCAACAGAATTGATTCTGTTGGCTTGTTTGCTTAAACTTTGATTTCATCATGAATATGTATGAAATATTTCCTCTGAATATGCAAGAAATATTTCCTCTGAATATGCATGAAATATTTCTCTGAATATGCTTTCAATATTTCCACTAAGTATGCAAGAAATAGTTCCACTGAATATTTATGAAATGTTTCCACTGAAAGATAAGCAAACAACATCAATGGATCACAATAGAGCTGATTAACTTGTTAAAAAAAATTATTCATTTGGCATTAATTTTTCGTGGATTTTGTGAATTACAGAAACCAGTGTATTTCATGTTGCCCTATATGATAAAATAATTTCACCAAGATTTAAGATCTCATTAATATTTAAAAAGAAAAACTCAAACAAAAAATTTGTTTTTAACATTTATTAATTCACTTAAAACTCATTTTTGCATTGTGTTCCGATAAAACCATAAATATATCCAATCAGAGTAATAATGTTTGTTTATCAAAAAAGGAGATGTGGTCAAGTTTGTCTAAAGTTGACTTGTGTAAATTGTTGTGTGTCTGTTGCTTGTTGATTTTTATAAATGAAAAGTGATCCCTTTTATTTTAAAAACTTATGAAACATTTGATTACAGAGATCATATAATAGAAAGATTAACAAAAGAAATCCATTATCTCAGATCAGAGATAGAAAGATTAAAATTAGAGGTTAGTAAATAATATAAATATTTATGCACAGTATAAGTTATAGAAAATTTGGTAGAATTAAAAGTGTTTTCTTTTTACAAGTAGACAAATATCTGTCATATCTACACTGGAATAATGTTTTTTTGACAGTTAAGGATGTTCGCTACTCTATTTCAAAATAACAAGCTTTTTAAAAGACTGTTATAAATTGATAGTATATAAATGAAGGAACTGAAAAAGCAGACAAAAATGAAGGGTCTGTGTGCTTGTTTTCGAGAAATAAGCCATTGAAAATTTGGTGGGAAATGATCCTCTCTAGGTTTTTCATACATTTAACATTGTCACCTTTTTTCTTTCAAAAACAATGAAAAAATAACAAGGATTTTATAAGATTTTCAAATAAGGATTTTTAAACTACATGTAATAAAATTCTGAAAAGAAAAGTAGGGGTTAGCGGGCAAAATTTTTAATGGCACTACATGGATAAAACCAGAGGATTCCGAATATCTGGTAAAAACATCAAAAACAAGAGGAGCAAACATCCTTAAGGTGTTTAACATTTATGAGAGTAATGAAATACATATCATTCTATGATAAAACCATGATAGTAGTAACAAAACTGGGAAGCCAAGATGTCGCATGAATTAGTACAAAGATTGAGTTTTAGACTGATAAGCCAGTAAACAAATAAATTTGTTTAATTTTAGGGTGTTTCACAAGCAATTTTTATCTGTTTTGTAGGACCAGAAGATTTTATCAGCACAGAAAGAAGAGATAGCCAGATTAGAGAAAATATTATCTGAGTTACGATTGTCTGCAGATAGGTCTTTAAAAGTTTGTATTATTTATACATATCTATGTGAAAAAATTACTTATGAGTGAATTTTCAGTTAAATTCCAATTGCAAGACTATGTGTATTTATAAAGCTAAGAAACAAGAGGTACCTGCATAAAAAAAAAACCCAAAACACTTAATTAATTTTATAGTTCTTATGCGCTTCTCTGGATTTACCTTCATCGGGAACGCTCAAAGCCAAATATTTGAAAGCCAAGAATGTAAAAGTACTGAAACATGTGAAGAGCTATATAACCAAAAGGGGCTAAAAGTTATAGCCAAATCTAGGTTCAAATTTGCCTAAGGGAGCTGTAAAATTGTTCTTACATCCATCCATACTTTGTATCAGCACCCCTTAATCAGTGATTTGATTTTGAGGATTTTAATTACCTAATACCATATTGCATTGGCCATTTTATCTTCTAATTTGATTCGGTGATTTTGTTATGTTAACAAATGAGGAAAAATATCTATGCCAACCCATTCATGATTGTTGGTTGCATAACATCCAGTGGCAAATATTTCTTGCATGTTCAGGAGGACCAACACATCTACACTACTGACTAAATTTCATTAAAACTGTTACAAAAATATTCAGTACTTTGTAGCATTTTAGATCTCCATATTTCAATCTCAATTTTTTGGGGGTTTCCCATTCCAAATCATGGACCATTGTTTCTACACAAATAGGAGGAATGGGGAAGGGACTCTGAGCTTTGCTCATAGTTTAACTTGTTTAGTTTAAAAGGAAACATATTTTATTTGATCAAAACAAAATAGATTAGACACATGAAAAACATACTGATGTATATGTAGTATTCTCTACAGCAGAATATACAGCAATAATTAAGATATTGTTTTTTCAATTTTTCTGTTATTTCTGTAACAGTTTTATTTAGACATTTGAGGGTTTAAAATGGAATTTCAATTTTTGTGTTTATTTTTGAAGTAAAATTTAATGACAATTGTTTTGTTTTCTAGGATAATGATGAATTGAAGAAGAGATTAAAACAGACAGAGACGGTACATGTTGGTGCTGCTACAAAATTAGCAGATGCTGAAAGTAAGAAATCATTGTCACATGTTCTAAATTGCAATATTGTCTTAGTATTGATTTTGTTTGGACAATGTTGATAACTTTCATGGCATAGTATATGGTCAATGCCAGCAAATATTAGAATACAGTACAGTTATTACCTAATTGTGGTATAAATGAAAGAAGATGTGAGGTATATTCTAATGAGACATCACTGTTAAAAGAACTATGAATTAAAATGTAAAAATGTTTTGTTTATAGTTGTTGAAAGGGCTAGTTCTATTCTTCATTTCAAATTTTCTGACTTTATGAAAGAATACTGGGAGTATTATTTAAAAGCTTAATAATTAGACTTTTTAGAAGTGCAATGAAAGGTATAGAAATAACAATTTCATTAAAAATTCTCAATTTTATAGAAAAAATTAAAATGAAAAACAATTTAATGGACACAAAGTTGCCAGTTATGTAAGAAGTGAAAAAACTCAACACATATACCAGGCTTATAATTTTGAACACCAGACATGTATTTTGTCTCCGAATTAATATATTTTGTTGCTTTTAGAACATGCAAAAGGATTTGAAGATAAGTTCAAGAAGATGAAAGATATATATCAGAAATTAAGAGAGGAACATGTCTCACTATTACGAACAGTAAGTTGTATATTGTTATCTGGCAAACTGAATAAATTAATTATTTAAATGTGTCAAGCGTTATATCAGATAGGAGAGGGTAAAACTTCACACAATTTCACTATTTCAAAAGATGAGGTCCATAAATGATTTACCAATATAAAATTGTGTAGTTGACCTGTGTTTTTCATCTGCTAGGCTTAAGTTACAATATGGTTATTCTTAAGTACGTACAATTAAAAGTTGCGATTTTTTTTAGGTTTTAGAAAATTTTAATTTCAGCATGTTTTTACTAATACAGAGTTTTTATTTATTTACAGAATGCAGAAGTAACAAAAAAATTAGATGCAGAAAAAAGAACTGTTGCTGAAAAGGAACAATTACTGAAGGTGAGTGAAGATAATGAAATGTATCACCAAGAGATTTGGAAAAGACAAAAAAAAAAACATGACCGAAAGCATTACAAACAGAAATCAGTTGAACATATTTTTGAGGAGGGGGATGTCAGTAGAAATGACACTTATATAAGTTTCACATGCCATTGTTCTAAACATTTTTCAAATGGAGATTTTGTACCAGATATGGAAAACATGTATTTACAAAATCACTTGCTTTGTTTTAGAAAAATCTACAATGATGTATTCATATTTAAATGAAAAATGGCATTTGGTAGTTTTTCAAACCATGCCAACATTTCCTTATGTATGACAGAGTTTTGATATCGTTTAAATTATTTGAAATCATCATGATGACAAAACACAGAAAAAAGTTAAAAACATTAAAACAAACAAAACTTAACCTTGAGAATACAAAATACAACACCTTAAACAAAAGCTGAGTATATATGAAATAAACGAGTGATCAAATTTTGTTAGCAACATATTTTTTTACTCTAAAATTTAGGTCAATAGCTTTTTATGCCCCCGCCGTAGCGGTGGGGGCATTAAGTTTTACCCTTGTCCGTCTGTACGTACGTACGTACGTACGTACGAACGTCCGTCCGTACGTCCCAAAATTGGTTTCCGTTCTCTAACTTGAGTTTGCCTCAACAAAATGTTATGAAACTTATACACAATGCTTGTTACCACAAAACACAGATCAAGTTTGAATTATGGTGACGTCACTTTAACCGTTCTAGAGTTATGCCCCTTTATAAATGGAAAAATTGCAAAATTTTTAGTTTCCGTTCTCTAACTTAAGTTTGCCTCAACCAAATGTTATGAAACTTATATACAATGCTAATTATCACAAAACACAAATCAAGTTTGAATTTTGGTGGTGTCACTTCAACCGTCCTAGAGTTATGCCCCTTTATAATTGGAATAATTGCCAAATTTTTAGTTTCTGTTCTCTAACTTAAATTTGCCTCAACCAAATGTTATGAAACCTATACACAATGCTTATTACCACAAAACACAGATCATGTTTGAATTTTGGTGGCGTCACTTTAACCGTTCTAGAGTTATGCCCCTTTATAAATGCAAAAAATTGCAAAATTTTTATTTTCTTCTAAATATCAAGTTATTTTTAAAATTGGAGTTATCGTCCTTTGTCCATGATTATAGTTGAATCAACTACAATCAATGCTTTATACAATGCAATGTTTAATTTTGACTTTCACTGATAAAACACAGATCAAGTTGAATTTGGGTAGTGTCACTTTAACCATTATTGAGTTATGCCCCTTTATAAATAGAAAAAGTGCTGAATTTTTAGTTTCTGTTCTCTACTTAAGTTAGCCTCAACCAAATGTTATGAGACTTACACACAAAACTCAGATCAAGTTCAAATTTGGGTAGCGTCACTTTTACTGTTCTTCAGTTATGTCCCTTTATAACTATATGATATGCAAGCGGGGGCATCATCTGTGTCCACATGTGGACACTATCCACATTTATTTCATAATGTTTATGAATGTATTAAATATTACATCTATTTACTTATCATTTCAATTTAAGCTCACCGGGGCCCAAAGGGCCCCATGTGAGCTTATGCCATCACTTGGCGTCCGTCGTCGTCTGTCGTTGTCATCATCTGTCGTCGTAAACTATTTAAAAAATCTTCTCCTCTGAAACTACTGGGCCAAATACCTTCAAATTTAACTAAATGTTCCTTAGGGTATCTTGTTTATTAATTGTATCCGAAGTTTGTATCCATCGACAAACATGGCTGCCATGGCTGAAAATAGAACATAAGGGTCAAATGCAGTTTTTGGCTTATATCTCAAAAACTAAATCTTTTAGAGCAAATGTGACATGGGGTAAAATTGTTTAATTGGTCAAGATCTATCGGCCCTGAAATTATCAGATGAATCGAACAACCCATTGTTGGGTTGCTGCCACCGAATTGGTAGTTTTAACAAAATTTTGCAGTTTTTAGCTCACCTGACCTGAAAGGTCAAGTGAGCTTTTCTCATCACTTTGCGTCCGTCGTCCTGTGTCCGTCGTCCGTAAACTTTTACAAAAATCTTCTCCTCTGAAACTACTATGCCAAATTTGACCAAACTTGGCCACAATCATTATTGGGGTATCTAGTTTAAAAAATGTGTCCGGTGACCCGGCCAACCAACCAAGATAGCCGCCATGGCTAAAAATAGAACATAGGGGTAAAATGTAGATTTTGGCTTATATCTCTGAAACCAAAGCATTTAGAGCAAATCTGACATGGGGTAAAATTGTTTATCAGGTCAAGATCTATCTGCCCTGAAATTTTCAGATGAATCGGACAACCCGTTGTTGGGTTGCTGCCCCTGAATTGGTAATTTTAAGGAAATTTTGCAGTTTTTGGTTATTATCTTGAATATTATTATAGATAGAGGTAAACTGTAAACAGCAATAATGTTCAGCAAAGTAAGATCTACAAATAAGTCAACTTGACCAAAATGGTCAGTTGACCCCTTAAGGAGTTATTGCCCTTTATAGTCAATTTTTAACCATTTTTCGTAAATTTTTGTAATCTTTTACAAAAATCTTCTCCTCTGAAACTACTAAGACAAATTTAACCAAACTTGTCCACAATCATCATTAGGGTATCTAGTTTAAAAAATGTGTCCAATGACCCCGCCTGCGAACCAAGATGGCCGACATGGCTAAAAAATAGTACATAGGGTAAAATGCAGTTTTTGGCTCATATCTCTGAAACCAAAGCATTTAGAGCAAATCTGATGGGTATAAAATTGTTCATTAGGTCATTATTTTCAGACCAATCAGGCAACCCGTTGTTGGGTTGCTGCCCCTGAATTGGTAATTTTAAGGAAATTTTGCCGTTTTTGGTTATTATCTTGAATATTATTATAGATAGAGATAAACTGTAAACAGCAATAATGTTCAGCAAAGTAAGATCTACAAATAAGGCAACATGACCAAAATTGTCAATTGACCCCTTAAGGAGTTATTGCCCTTTATAGTCAATTTTTTACAATTTTCATAAATTTTGTAAATTTTTGTAAATTTTTAAAAGTATTTTCCACTGTAACTACCGGGCCAAGTTCATTATAGATAGAGATAATAGTAAGGAGCAAGAATATTCAGTAAAGTATGATCTACAAACACATCACCATCACCAAAACACAATTTTGTCATGAATCCATCTGTGTCCTTTGTTTAATATGCACATAGACCAAGGTGAGCGACACAGGCTCTTTAGAGCCTCTAGTTTGTTATTTTTTTGAATATTATTATAGATATATATAAACTGTAAGCAGCAATAATGTTCAGCAAAGTAAGATCTACAAATAAGTTAATATGACCAAAATTGTCAATTGACTCCTTAAGGAGTTATTGCCCTTTAAAGACAATTTTACACAATTTGTTCATCAAGTTTGCTAACATTTAAACATCTTCTCCTCTGAAATACAGGTGAGCGATTCAGGCTCTTGAGAGCCTCTTGTTTAATTTGTTAAAAGTACTTTCATTATATTTAGAGAACAAACTTTTATTAGTAATTTTAAATACCAAGATATTTCTGTATATTTAGGTAACTACTGAATTAAAAATTTTAATTTTATGTCACTAATTGTTTATAGACGTTGATTCTTTTATGAATACAATTTAGCTGTACTAAAACAAATGCTTGCATGTGAAGTTAATGATTGAGATTTAGATATTTTATTAATACAAAACTGAGAGAAGTCAACTAGAGGTACAATTTTGTTAGTTTTTGACTTGTACCAATCACTTCTTTGCCCATGAAAACCAAAAGCATGTCCATTAAAGAGTGCATGAAAGAAGTCGAGAGTGCATGATACAATAAAGATTGAGAAAAATAAAAGATGTACTGGCCTCAAACACTGCTAAATAAAGAGAGTTTGTAAAGTTGTTACAATTTAGTTTCGCTTCCACTGTTATGAAAATGAATGTAAGTAGGTTGTTTCTGTTAGCAATGAAAAAAAAAAATGGTGATTTGTCAGACATTAATTAAATCTGAATAGATCAGTCTCTTGTAATTGTTCCTGAAACTAACATTTTTTGCATTGTGAATGTGACTTGCATGTTGCATGTTTTTGATTTAGGAATCAAAATCAGAAATGGACAGAATAGAACAAGAGAGAAAGGTGATTCAGGAAAGCTTGAAACAAAGTGCTGACCAGACCTCATCCCAGCTGGCCATGACAATGGCTAAAAATACAGACTTGCAAACAGACAAAGAGGTTGGAATGTTATATTGTGCATGGTCTTGATTTAGAATGTAAATGTGCATTAAAAATGCATGGTTTAATATTGAAAACCCCACACACATGAATTAGATTTTGATGTGCATGTGACATTATCAGCTATTTCGTACCAGAAGCATGTAGTTACTGGTACCCTACAGCTATGTCTGATGTGACATGCACATATTTACAGAATCCAGACTTAGTGAAGAAAATGGAGGACATCCATATTGAGGTATATTTTAAATTTTTGATTGTATTGTAATACAAGTTGATGTTTCATTATCAAACTCACTGTCGGGAGAGGGTCACACTCTTGTAAATAACCCTTGTAACAACTGCTTGAGGGGAAGGTAGTTTCCTGTTACAAGGCAAATTTTCTGCCCCATCCAACAAACTTGTTTTACAGTGGCTCTCCAAATATGATGCCCTTTCCTCTGGTCAACCCACTTTGCAGACCCTACCGTTTGTATTAATTATTGCTATATTGAATATGCTAGAAAAATTTGCCACTGGTCATTAAATCAACAATCAATCAATCCAAAGGGCTAATTACTGTGTTTAAACAGGTGTATAGTACATGATATGTAATAACTAAACTCTGTCGAGAGGTTATACCAAACTGCTTTCCATGATATAACAGTTATGTTCTAAACTTTCTTTCAGAAATAGTCAATTAAGAAGTGTACCATGTTGCCTATAGTCCTCCGCTAATTTTTATCACAACACCTGTTTATATTTAACTTAAACAGAAAATTCACAACTACTTGACTTACTGCATCAGTTTTGCATCTAGGATTAGACAACTTAAAAATGGCTGAAAAAGTTATGAATATGTTAAATGTCATTACAAAAAAGGGATCATTCAATATTCATAAGGCATGCACATAACAAAAAGTAAAAAAAAAAAGACTGGACAGATCACGGGAAAGACATTTTGTAATGAAAATGGAACTGAGCTGAAACTTTGAAGGTCAGTTTCACCTAAGAAAGTAGGAAACTTTTCAGTCGTTTTTATTTGGGAAAATTGGAAACTTTTTAGTAATCACTACAAAATTTATAAACACCAAATGTTTGTCTTATAAATGAAGTTATTTCAATCTGACATTTTAATTTGTGGTAAAGACCACCTGAAGTAGTATTTACCCAGAGAAGCATAATTTGAAAATGATTTTGGTGGTTTTTTTAGGAACCCCCTTTCTGGATGAAATAGCAGACTGTAGTTTAAACTTATTTTCCCAATCATTGAATGTAAATAAGGTATTAAAATCACAGATGCATTATTTTACATTCGGTTATTATCTTTATCAGTAAATTTAACAAAAAATTAAAAATTTCAGCATTTAGAGAATCAATTAAAAATGTTGGAGGACACTAAGTCTAGTTTAATGAACCAGTTGCAAGCATCTGAAGAAGAATGTTCTAATCTGCAAACACAACTAAATGAATTGGAGGATGAAAAAAGGACACAGGAGAGTTCTCTAACAGGGGAAATAACTACTCTACAACAACAATTTACAGCATTGAAAATAGAAAAAGAGTCTTCAGACACTGAACTTGATCATCAAATACAAGAATTAAAGGTATTTGAATGTAATACCTTTACTGAATAGAAAAGACTGTCTTATCATCATATGTTTATGTATTTTTTTTTTCGATTCATCACATTTTGTTGGTTATGGTTGTTAAATTAAAATATGTATGTTATCCATGGTAGTATGAAAATGGAATTGGAATTAATAACATTTCCTATGACATTTCATTCTGCAAAATAGTTCCTTACTAGTATACTACACAAGTTTGAATAGAATAAATCTTTATTTAGGTTTAGGACCTGCATGTATTTTCTGTAAAACAGCACATGTTTGCTGACACCATATTAAACCATTACCAGATTAATATCAATCAATTAAAGCAAGCTGATTATTTTGCAAGTTTATATATCAAACTGCATAGAGTTTTTGTGACTTGATGCTGTTGTGCACCACTTAAAAAAAATGTTATCCAAAAAGTTTGGAGATTTCCTGTATATTACATAGGTGGTCTTTCAGTTTATGAGCTTGATTCACTGTTTTTCTGGTTATATCTCAGATTTAGGATATAACTGTATTGTATTTTAAGCTCCAACAGCATCAATTGGTGATTTGATGGTCGCAAATTGAGTTAACTGGTGACGTGTTAGTGGAGCATTAAACAGGTATTTGCGACCACCAAATCATCAATTGATGCTGTTGGAGCTTAAAATACAATATTGTTATCTCCGTTCTACAGAAACTGACAGAAAACAACGTCAAATCATACATTTAAAATCTGTCATACGTCGTCTGGGCTTGCGCGTACGTTTTCATAGTATCAATTGTGAATTGATGCCATGAAAATTGGTGACGTTATCCAATCAAAATGAAAGTTACAAACGATGTTGCATTAGAATATGCCGTAGCAGACACTTGCACACAAATATTTGTGTCTTTATAAATGAATGTCATAGTCATATGTTTTATTTTCCAGACTAAATTGGAACAAGAAATGTCAGACAAGAAATCCTTAGAACAACAGCTTAGACAACAGATATCAGATTTAGAATCCAGACTTAGTCAAAGTCAATCAGAAAAACAGAATACAGAACAAAAACTATCAGGAGATATAGATATGATACATAAACAGTTACTGGGTAAGATATAGATATGATACATAAACAATTACTGGGTAAGATATAGATATGATACATAAACAATTACTGGGTAAGATATAGATATGATACATAAACAATTACTGGGTAAGATATAGATATGATACATAAACAGTTACTGGGTAAGATGTAGATATGATACATCAACAGTTACTGGGTAAGATATAGATATGATACATAAACAATTACTGGGTAAGATATAGATATGATACATAAACAGTTACTGGGTAAGATATAGATATGATACATAAACAGTTACTGGGTAAGATATAGATATGATACATAAACAGTTACTGGGTAAGATATAGATATGATACATAAACAGTTACTGGGTAAGATATAGATATGATACATAAACAATTACTGGGTAACAATTACTGGGTAAGATTGGTTTATAGATATGATACATAAACAGTTACTGGGTAAGATTGGTTTATAGATATGATACATAAACAGTTACTTGGTAAGATTGGTTTATAGATATGATACATGAACAATTACGGGGTAAGATTGGTTTATAGATATGATACATGAACAATTACTGGGTAAGATTGGTTTATAGATATGATACATAAACAATTACTTGGTAAGATTGGTTTATAGATATGATACATAAACAGTTACTGGGTAAGATTGGTTTATAGATATGATACATAAACAGTTACTGGGTAAGATTGGTTTATAGATATGATACATGAACAGTTACTGGGTAAGATTGGTTTATAGATATGATACATGAACAATTACTGGGTAAGATTGGTTTATAGATATGATACATGAACAGTTACTGGGTAAGATTGGTTTATAGATATGATACATAAACAATTACTGGGTAAGATTGGTTTATAGATATGATACATAAACAATTACTGGGTAAGATTCATTATTCATTAACTTTAATTTGACAATGTTGAATACTGGTCATGTCCATGTGTTATAAAGATTTTTCTGTTGGAAGTGAGATATTATATTTCTCAGGTCAAAATAGTCCCAATTTAAGCATGTTGAATTTTATTGAACATTTGTTAGATGTACCATCATTTGAATATTTTTCTTGCAGATGCATCCATAAAAGAGGGAAAGGTCATTATACAAGATGCTTTAGATCAGTTTGAAAATCCTACACACATAGCTGTTAAATGTACAGCAGGTAAGTGAATTGAAAAGATTACATGTATGAGAGATTCATCAAATGCAGATGAACACTTGGAAGAGAGAAGACAAATACAAAGTGTGCATGTATATAAAGAAGAGTCATGGTTTTCATAGAAGTAACAGAAAAATGACATGTATTTATGTAGAATTAGTATAAAGTTTGTAGGAAGATAGTTGTTAATTTGCTACATTGCAGAACCGTTTTTCATGAAGTTCTGGTTGTTAAAAATAAATATATTGTGAGTGGTTGTATCTTTTGTATATCTTGTGTTTAGAATTTTCAAAAGTGACTTCTGACACTGTTCCTCTCTTTAATATGCATATTAAATTATGGAACACCTTAAAGTAAGTGTAACAGGTTTTAATTTATGTGTTTGATAATACTTTATAAAGTTTGCAATTTTTTGTGTTTAGAATTCCTGTTAATGAGAACAGAACCAGTGCTATCCAGTCTGGAAACAATTAAAGGAATGCAGGGAAAATACAACAGTGACAGAACAGGTATACAGAAATCCTAGATAAATTTTCTAAGCTAAACTTTCAGCAAAAGTTTGAACCCTTAATGATACTTTACAGTAATCAATACCATTACTGCTTCTTGTTAACTAAGAAGATATTGTCAACTTGATTCAAGGTAAATATCTGCATATTATACCCAGTTAACAAGTGATTGCAAAACTACAAAAAGCAATAATAATTTCAAAATCAATAAGATATTTCTCTAAAAGACTTTACTTTGAATGTTATTAAACACATATCATTCAACTGTATGAAAATGTCACTACATAAATGAAAACATTATCGTTTCAGAATTAGCCAATCTTGTGAAAACAATCACTGGATTTTCACATCACTATGGAGACTGTGTGATTCATGGTATTGCTACAACACACTCAGCTAACCTTGAAGCAGGGGAAGGTAAGACTTAATAAATGTTTTCGTGTTTCCTGCATCAGAAAAAAATTAGGGTCCATAGGATATTTTTCTTATAGAAGTATATAAAGAAAGGGATCATGACTTTAAGTGTTGATCTGATGTTTTGCCAAAAAAAATTTCATACTGTTAACAAAGTGGAAATAGTTTGGTAATACAAAACCTAAAAAAAAAAATTAGATTGTTGCTGTTATAATGAAGTAGGTATTTGGTAGGCGTTCGTATATCAAATCTACTAAAAATTTGTTGATGAAAAAAGTATGTTGTTCCTTTAAAAGCCTGAATTTGTTAATTTTCCACAGGTAATTCTATTCCTTTGAATAGTGAAAAAAAAAGACAGCAAAATGAATATCATAAATTGTATGTAAAAGTGTTGCCCCAGTTATTTACTGTAAAAGACATATTCTGACACTTTAATATTTCTTATTTAAACAAATAAATAATTTTGACTTAATATATAAATTCTTTGAAGTATAATTTCTTTATATTTTACAGAGTTAGGGAATGCCTGTAGAGAAGCTGGAGAGAGTGGACTAAAGGTGCTCGATACATTAGGAAAAGGTAAATACATACAGGGTATTGAAAATAGCAGGAGAAAATAATTTTGTCAAGCCTACACATATTGTTCTTGATATCGTTTAGGTCTACAAATTGTATTATTTTAGTGTTTATCTTGTTCATCTCTTCTAATGATATTATGGTCCATGAACTTAGGAGAGAAAATTTAGTGAAAATTGAACTCATTATATCTCTTTATTTCCAAACAGAGATTGGGGGTCATGTGTTACACAAATTTGGTGTATTATTATTTTTGTTTTACTCGATTTTAAAAACAATCATATATTTAGGACTGTTTCAATTCTTATTTTTAAATGTCTGTCTGGAATATATTTTATGAGGACTTACAATATTTTTTATCTGATTAAAGAATGCAAATAAGGTTTTGTGATCTTGTTGGCTGGACTATTTTCCCTGTCACAGGCATACTTCTTGAGTAATTATAGAGGAGGAGTAATTATTGTTAAAACGAGTCTGAGTAAGATACTGTGCACAAAGCTAACAGTGTAGACTTTGGGGATGTAGAGTTTAGCAGCTAAAAATGTACAGTGAATTGTTAACAGACATAGAACTATTTTTTCAAAGTAATTTCTCATGTTTAACTGGTTTTTCAGCTAAATATTTTAAAATGTAAATATGTTTCAGGTGCTAACATAGAATCTGATGTCAACCTTGCTGTACAGTGTGTAAAGAAAATGATAACACTAGCAGAAGATCTGGTTCCTAAGTCTGTGGAGATCAAAGAGAAGGAGATTGGGGACTTGGTGGATACCGAGATGCAGTCCACAACATCAGCTATTGAGATGGCTGCTAGGAGAATAGCTGTAAGTATGAAAGAGTTTTTGAGGTGGACGAAAGATGTGGGTGAACTTCAATGAGACAGCAACCAAACAAAACTTTATGAATAAATTTAACAGAAATGATAGAAGATTTTATTTTTACCCGCTATCTTCTTTTGTTAATATAAAAATAAGAAGATGTGGTATGATTGCCAATGAGACAACTCTCCACAAGAGACCAAATGACATAGAAGTTAACAACTACAGGTTACCATACAGCCTTCAACAATGAGCAAAACACATTAGTCTGAATCAATGCAAAATTCTGCAAAGTAAAAACCTAGAAGACATTGACAGCCATGAATTGAACAGGAACAAATTGTTTGATTAAACTAATTATTGATCATTATGAGAGATTCCTCGACCATCACCAGTTGTTAAAAATGCACTATGAAGTTGAACTGTTTTATTGTCTATTTAGGAAATGTTAGAGAAGGCAAGAGAAGCAACAAGTGGTGTAGAATTAAAAGTAAATGAGAGTATACTTGACTCTTGTACTAGTCTTATGCATGTAAGTATATTTATATTAAATATAGATTAAGGAAGTTTGATTTTAAAAGATTAAGTTTTATTTTAATCTTAATTAGCCTTTAAAAAAATCCTGTCTAGTCACTAAATATTTGCTCTTTTGTATAACTTGAGCTGTCTCTCCCCTTCATAAAATACAAACAAACAAAACCAATTGAAATTACCAAGTGATAGAGATTATCCACCTTATGTTATTCTGTGGTAATAAGTCCCCTAATTTCTGTATTTTTCCTTTGACTAGTCCTTGAACATTCAGAATTCTATTTTGAGGGCCTCACGGAATTCCAGTTTTATAGCTATCTATGTTACCTTCTATAAAAAAAGAATTATTTTTATTATATGGCATCTCACTGTCTGTATCACTCTGCTCAGCTCTTAATAAAATTGTGTATCACGGCTTTGTGACGTCAAATACATTGACCCTGCCTTAATAACTTTGACCAGGACATATCACTGATGTCATAATGAATGAACCGACATTGATAAGTTTGACCCGAAATTATCAAGTCATCTTCCGGTTTGCTGGTGAAACATAGAAAACACTTGTTTCTATCATGCAAAATACACAAATACAACCTGATAAATCGATTATCTGGATGTGTGCATATTTATATTGTAACATATCAGCTGCTCGACACAATATGAAGCCTTTTTGAAATCATTCGCTGCGCTCACTAGACCATAAGCTTTATATTGTGACTCGCAGCTGATATTTTACAATATCAATATGCAGACAACCTGATACTCAGTACTTATTATTCACTTCTATATTGGAGTGAGAGAGTACACCAGAAACATTTGCCTTTGAGCTTCATATTTTATATTTACATGAAATATTGACATTTCCTGTTACACAGCACTATATTCTTATAACAAATACATATAATATTCATACAACTTGGAATTTTTTAACGACAAATGTATTAATTGTAGGCAATAAGAATATTGATAGAAAGATCAAGAGATTTACAGAAGGAGATAGTGGCACAGGGCAGGGTGAGTAATACACATTATAATTTAGTGCAATCAGATGCAAATCATTTTGATTAACTTTGATTCAAAATAAAATGGACATAGCAAACATACATTATTTCTTGTTTCATCTTATCTCTATCAAAACTATAATAGTTTATTAAAGAAATTATTTTTCAAATTCTACTAACACTATTTTGGCTTTAAACTTTGGAATTACAAAAATGAATACAAAAATTACACTTTCAATATAAATAATTTTTATTTGGAAGCATGATTAGATCTATCTTTGTGAACAGAATGAAGATTTTTTATGCCCCCGCAACTAAAAGTTGGGGGCATATTGTTTTACCCCTGTCCATCCTTCCGTCCCATTATGGGTATATAGTTATTCCACATAACTCCTCCTACAGTTTAAATGCTAGGAAGTTTTCACTTTGCTGGCTGTTTGTACATATATTGAATGTGTGCATGTGGTTAGGGTTTTGATTTTTGTTAATATTTGCTCTTTTGGGAGATAGTTGAACTTAGTTGTATTTTGAAATAACGCTTTCCATCTGCGGGGACATCATTTGTGTCTCCCAGACACAATAATATCTCAAAGAAACTCCTACATTGACTTTGTTATAATACAGTTACTTCAGAATGGAGTGCGGGGGCATCACTTTGTCTAGCCATATCTTTGTTTTCCATGGCGGAACAGATTCAAGACCTGTATGTTCCTGCATGTTTCACCACATTACTGTATAGTCATAAATTATTACATGCATTAATTATCGTGATTGTTGAACAATGGACACAAATGTGATATTAATTATTTCAGGAAATGGTGCATACAGATAATACTATCAAAATTAAAAATTGTTCATTTTACTTTTGCGAAAACGTGTGCCATCGAAATTTTCGCAATAATTTCTAAATTTACAGTACATGAATATTGTTTTTGATTAGAATTTTCTGTTTATGGGTCATTTTTACGTTGCTGCCTTTAAACAGATATCACATGACCTCATGGTAAAAATATAACAAATATCACATGATCTCATGGTAAAAATATTGTTTTATAGGGAACATCAACAGAAAAAGAGTTTTATAAGAAGAATCACAGATGGACAGAAGGATTGTTATCAGCAGCTAAAGCTGTTGGCTGGGGAGCCACAGCATTGATGTAAGTTATCTATAGGATGACAAATATAATATTTATTGTGTTCAATATATTTTCTCAGCAATGCTTGTAGGCAAATTTTGGGAAACCAAAATGTGAAAAAATTAGGGATGTAAAAACCTAAAAGGAACAAGATCTTAATTGAAAACTTGCAAAGGTCACCACTGGATAAGAGAGATAGACCTTGTTTTTATAGGTTTATTCAAAACACCATTTCTTGAATTATTTTTAAAAATTAGTATTTTTGAATATTTACAGGGAAGCTGCAGACAAAGTAGTTAAGGGAGAAGGGAAGTTTGAGGAGTTAATCGTCTGTTCTAATGAGATAGCTGCAAGTACAGCTCAACTGGTTGTTGCCTCAAAGGTCAAGGCTGATAGGAGGAGTAAAAAACTAACTTCATTATCAGAGGCATCTAGAGGGGTGACTGAAAATACTGGAAAGGTTGTGGGATCAGCAAGGGAAGGATCACAGATTATTGAAGAACGAGGTAACTGATTCTTATTAAAGAGAGTTGAGATTGGCATAATTTTAATGAATCTATTCAGAATTTGTATTGCATTTTGGGTACATTATTGTTTCAGACATAACTGATTGGTCAAAGTGGTCCCTACTTCATTTTAAGTGGCAGAAGTTAAATTTGTAAACAGATTGAAGATCATTTGTTGAATAATTCATTTAGAGGATGTAGGAGTTACCAGAAATATTGTACAGTGTAAATGACCACACTAACCATCAAAACCCGACTACTCTGAGAAATTTAATGTACAAACAAAGACAATGTTCAATGAAAACAAGTGGTCCATTCTTGGTACAGGCTCAAAATGTGATGGGATAAAACTAGTTTACATAAAAATCTCCAACCTTTGCTTTGTGTAATTTGAATCTTTATGTAACTTTTATCTGCCTCAAAGTTAACAAAGGCTGAACTTTGTCCCTTGATTTGTTGAAGACATGATTGAAACAATGCTGATGCAGGTTAAATAAATAGTATTCATATTTTGATATCATTGACTATTTTATTTTATAGGCCTTATGGATTTCTCCAAACTTTCACTGATGCAGACCAAAAAGAATGAGATGCAGTCTCAGGTATGTAAACACTCAGTCTACTAATATTGAGAAGTGACGTACAAGTTTTACTAAATGGTATAAACAACCTTTTCTAGGTGGAACCCCTTAAACCACTTATTAAATAATTCTTGATCTGCAAATGGGAGTGACTTTTTGTTTAGAACTTTTATTTTCAGGATGCAACACACAACTGGAAAAACATTTTTCAGTTATGTCCCTTTAAAATGAAGAGATGAAACTAATTGATTTCTTAAAAAGAAATGTGTGTTTAATAATATAGTGTGTCAAATTAAACTTTAAAAAGGTATCAAATTTGAGTTTAAAAAATAGCAAAGAACCAAAAATGTTGTTTAAGGCAAATGAGTGTAGTTAGTTATTCATTATCAAAGCTTTGTATCATTATCTTGTATGTGACTACATATTTAAAACTAGCCACAACATTATCAAAAAGGGCCTTTATCATGTTTGATACTCAGATTGCAAAATCTGGGCAGAGTCACCATCAGGAGATTTTGGGGGCAGAATTTCTTCAATTGGTGGCAGTTGGTACTCTTTAGGTCCAGTGCCCCCATCAATTCAAATGAAAAATAGTGAACTGCCTTACTTAAATTAGATAGTTGTATACTTTTACAGATATTGAGTGACATCTTATCCATATGATTTCACATGGATTGATCAATTAATCAATCTTACAGATAGTGAAGCCCAAGAGAAGACTATAAACTATAAAAGTCCATCGACATAAATAAAGCTAGAAACCCTCTTTTTCCATTTATAACTTCTAGATTCATCTTTCATTACTTGCTAGACAAATCCCTGACAAAGAAAGATAAAGTATGTCATCTTTCATAAAAAGTATTATTTGAACCTGCAAAACCAGGATTAGTAACCGCTTGACTCCTTCCGTCATTCCGTCTGTATGAAAGACCTTGGGTAGAAAACTCATCAAAATTTTCAGGGCTTCTATGGAGGGGATTGATTTTATATTTGGTCTGAATCTTGATAATGTTGAGTTGTAGTATGTAAGCAATTTTTACACATGCCATGCAGCCACTTCTGTTTGCCAATAGTTTGAAATTTAACAACTCTCATTGTACAAGGAAAATTTTCGTCAAAGTTTATTTTGCTTCATTGAAAGGGAATGATCATTTATACTTCAGTATACATGGTACCTCAATCAGTTGCATGAAAACTGGTATTAGTCTTGTTTAGTCCAAGGGATCAGTAATGATTTCTAATCTGCACCTGAACTGAGAATTAATTAACCCTGTAAAATTTTTTTGGAAAATGATCAAAGATTTGATCAACCTATTAGAAATATATAACGATTGCATTGCAAAAACACCCATATTGACAGATCCCACATCTCTTTCTATTCATATTAATGAAGTAACACCAGTTTTTATGCACCACCTATGATAGTAGTAGGGGCACTATGTTTTCTGGTCTGTGCGTCCATTCATTCGTTCATCCGTCTGTTCGTACGTCCATCCGTCTGTCTCCTGCTTCAGGTTAAAGTTTTTGGTCAAGGTAGTTTTTGATGAAGTTGAAATCTAATCAACTTCAAACTTAGTACACATGTTCCCAATGATATGATCTTTCTAATTTTAATGCCAAATTAGATTTTTTACCCCAATTTCACGGTCCACTGAACATAGAAAATGATAGTGAGAGTGGGGCATCCGTGTGCTATGGACACATTCTTGTGTAATAAAGTATTACCCAATTTAGATAATTCAATTTTATTATTTTAAAGGTGCGAGTACTTGAGTTGGAAAAGGATTTAGAAACTGAGAGGTACAAACTTGGTGAACTGAGAAAGAAGCATTATCAACTGGCCGGAGCGAGTGAAGGCTGGGATGAAGATGAGGTAAGGACTTAAAATTGAATACCTTCCTGTTGGTCAAACTATCCATATAACTTTCGGTAGGTTGTAATAAAAATAGAAATTTTTAAATGCGTTTATGAATCCAAGATTGGGAAAACTTCAGTTTTGCTCAAATAGAAATTGTGAACAAAAAGTTGTATACCTCTATGAAAAACAATTTATAAATGTAGAATAAACCAATCAATATAGAGAAAACTTTAAATATGCAAATAAGGTAGGAATTGTAGTATCATGAAAAACCATGAAAGGATGAAGTTGAGAACCTGTGATCATATACATTCAGGTCTTAATACTATTGCCATACTTCTTTGCTTAATTACAATCCTGTCAAAGTTCTGTTAAATAATGTGTGTGCTGTGACAAAGAGCTAATATGACTTGCTTCACTTCAGGACCAAGAGTGTGACACTGAATCACCAAGGCAACCAGTGAGTCACTGCACTGTTTTAATGTTCTTCAAATATTCATGGCTGTTAAAATTTTGGAATACATATGCATAAATTTTTAGATTTTAAGAAAACAATTTTTACATGTGGGTTGGGAAGGAAATGAGCCATGGATATTGTACAACACCTGATTACTAACTAATACATATGTTTCTTACTGATGTCACATGTTATTTATTGTTGTGCTTATTTCCTCCAATCATGATTCAGTATTTCTTCAGGATTTAGAGTTGTTTCCCTTGTCACTTTTTGACATCAGATACATCTATGATTTTCATTAATCTGCTGCTTCATTCTGTCTTCATTTCGAATTTGCTCTGAAAGTCGGACAAAGGGCCATTTGATGATATAGAAATAAGTATGAGGGCCAATGAGACAACTATCCACCAGAGACCACGTGAGATAGTAGAGAACAACTATAGGTCATTGTACGGTCTTCAACAATGAGCAAAACTCATACTTCATAGTAAGCTATAAATGGCCCCGAAATGACAAATGGAAAATAATATTAATGAGAAAACTAACTGCCTGATTTTAGTACAAAACAATAAATGAAAAACAAATATTAAACAGCAACAAACATGAGTTCTTTTTATTTTGAAGAATCCAAAAGTAGATTCAATTCCAAGTACTCACTATAGATAGCTGTTTTAGGCTCTCTGGTTTGACAAGCCAATAAAAGGGACTGAAAATACTGAAAATAAAAAACTTCCTATAATCCCATCAGTTAAACAAAGAAGTTATGCTTCTTACAGTTACTTAGGGTCAAAACTCTGAACTGAAGAAATGATTGCATCATGTATTACGAAGAAATACATATACCCTTATTGCATACTAATAATAATACATTTAGTATAGATAAGCTAATAGATGACTTTCAGGACTTCCAGACTTAACTACATCTCATAATTTTATATCCTTAAAAAATATATATGTTATATGAATTTAATGCTACATTAATATTCCTTCAGCATTTAGAGCTACAGTTAGTCATATTTCTTGATATTCTTAATAAATCTATGACTGATGAACATAAAGAAAATATTAACATTAACAAAAGGAAAACCAGATTAATTATATGTAGCATTAGTGTTTATGTATACAAATCTGCCTTTTATGAACTTCCAATGTACAATATGTGTATGTTTTGTATAGGGTAGTACAGGTAGATGGTTTACCAAGGATTTTTCAGTTCAATAGAATGATATGGTACACCTTCTAATCTTTTGATAATACAGCTTTCAAGATATAGTCTCTCTAACAGAAACTTTTTTTTATCAGACTAGGAAGTTAAGTATATCGGGTAGATGTTATCTTCTCATTGAAGACTGATTGATTGATGTTTAAAGCCTCTTTCTGCACTATTGGCTTTTTTGTGGCAGTTAGTTTTTATTGTTGAAGGAAGCCAGAGTGACCAGAGAGAACCACAACATTCAACCAGAAAACTGACAATCCTAGTCAAGTAAGATTGGAGTCAAATGCCACCGCCAAGTGCTGGTTTCAAACTCACAATACAGTAGTTGAACTACTTAGACCACTCAGCCACTGAGGCCCCTCTTTTAGGAAACATTATGTCCTTGACAGGCTTTTAACTAGTATTTGGAGCAAAGTTATGATGAAAAAAAAAAAACAACTGGTTATTGTTATTTCTTTGAAGAGGTGACTGATGACAACAGACAAGACATATTTCTGTGTCTACAGTTTATTTTGTTGTATTGCTTTGATCAAGTTGCAGAGGCAAGACTTAAGCATGCAGTTTCCCCAGTGGTGACTGGCATCAACAATTGTTCAAGTTTGTAATTAAGTCAATTTGAGAGAACCACTAATGACAAGTCTAAAATGTTTGGTAGTCAGTTGTATTAGTGTTAGCACATCTCCTTTTAATGCAGATTATTTTGCCCAACCCCCTCAGTCATGTTTCATTGAATTTGAAACTTTTGCAGAGTGTACAATGTTTAAATATTGACATTTATTTTAAAACATTTGCAGTTTACTATCAAAATCAAATACAGGCAACACATATCTCTGTGGCAATAGTTTATTACTTTGGCCATGGTATTGACTGTTCCTTTGACTAATGGTTTTTAATTGTCCATTTGGTATGATCTCCTCTATTTTATGATTCTGGAAGGACTGTTTGGTATTTTATTGTCTGTTTGTCTGTGTACCAAGCTTGTCATACAATAACTTAAGTTTGCTGTAAATAAACCTCAAGTTTTTCTTTTAGTCGTTACAAAATACATAATGTTATGCTTGTTCCAAGAAATAAAACTCTCAACTCTGTTTTCATTTTTATGATTTTTAAAGTCACAAGGTTTCATTAACTTATGCCCATTTTATGTTTACTGAAAACTCAAAGTTTGCTTTATTTCATTCAAGGTAATGTTACATTTGATAAAAAAAAAGCTCCATTTTGTTTTATATGATCTTGACTTTTCCTGTGTTACAGAGATACTGAACTTTGTTCTTTAAAAAGATACATTTTTTACATGTGTTATAAATCAATTGTTCATGTAAAAGACATTGTCACTTATCTTTTAAATCGTGCATGGTGTGCTCATTATTTTGTGCCATCCCTACATGTACATTGTATTAGGCATATATTATTGGTAAATTTTGCAGTTAATGGTGTAGATTTCACAAAAGGTCTATTAAATATTACAAAATGTGTAATTTAGGTATGTGTAATTTCTTTAAGAAAACATTATGGACCTACAGTTAACTTGTTTATATTTTAAGGGAACCCCATCACCACCACCATTGGAGTTTGATCCATTTATGTAGCAGGTTAAACAGAACTGTCCATTGTGTTCTGGGTAAGACAGGCATGTCTGTCTTGGTTTCAAATATTTTAGTTTAGCATATTACTAAAAAATAAGCTTGAAAGTGTTTACATTGTGTTGCAGCATTAGGCATGGTCAAAGAGTGTTTACCAGCAAAGTTAAAAAGTAGAATTTCAGATCCATAACAGACACAGATGCAGAGGGGGCGCACCTTACATACCCTCCTTCTTAAATTTAAAAAAAAATGTAATAAAAGCAAATTTTGTGTCAAAATAAGGTTCTTTAATACCTTATTCTCAGTGCTTCGCCCCCATCAAATCCTGGATCTGCGCCTGCATAAGTATGATACTAATCAAGCATCTGTGTGTATACTGTTAAATTCTGAAAACCAGGTTGTTACTGGAAATTATGAATGTTAACTGTTGAATTTTGGAATGAAGACTGAATCATTAGTACAGGGTAGATACAAGTCCCTTCTTCAAAATAATGTAGTTAAATTTAGTTTGGTAGTATAATGCTGTATCAGTTTAATCTAAGAATTAGCAGATTATCATTATAAAAAATATTTTTACATTTAAATTTATCTAGTGTTCTTGTAGTTTGATTTACATTGTTACAATTTTATTATCTATTGGGACTTTTATACCTAACGAACTGCGATTCCTTAAAGATTAATAAAAAGCCAAATCAAGGACAATATAAGAAAATCAAGTCAATTTATAAATCAACAAGACAAGGGAGTACAGTATAAAAAAGTTGTACTGTGATTTCATCTTTTTTGTGTGTACCAATAGTCGAAAGATTAAGCAAAATTTATTTTCACAAATATTTGATTTTAGGGTTTTGACAAATTCTGCATACAAACCTAAATGAAACTTAGATTCCTAGTTCACACATGTCAACAATATTCATGAGAGTAATTAGTACATCTTGAACAATAATGAATGCTCAATTAAGAACAGCATGCTTTCAAAACTCAGGCTTTGTGCATCATGAAAAAATGCCATGTAAAGAGATAAGTCATGTGCATGGGTTCATTTTTATACGACCGCAAAAATTTTTGAGGTCGTATATTGGTATGACGTTGGCGTCGTCGTCGTCGTTGTCGTCGTCGTCCGAAGACACATTGGTTTTCGCACTCTTACTTTAGTTTAAGTGAATGGATCTCTATGAAATTTTACCATAAGGTTCAATACCACAAAAGGAAGGTTGGGATTGATTTTGGGGGTTATGGTACCAACATTTTAGGAATTAGGGGCCAAAAAGGGGCCAAAAATAAGCATTTTTGTAACTTCCAAACAATAACTTGTGTTCAAGTGTATGGATCTTTCTGACATTGTACCACAAGGTTCCATATCACAAAGGGAAGGCTGCAATTGATTTTGGGGGTAATTGCCTCAAAATATTAGGAATTAGGGGCCAAAAAAGGGGCAAAAAACAAGCATTTTTCTAGTTTCATGACAATAACTTGTGTGTAAGTGTTTGGATCTTTCTGAAATTGTACTACAAGGTTCCATATCACAAAGGGAAAGCTGGAATTGAGTTTGGGGGTAATTGCCCGAAACGTTTAGGAATTGGGGGCCAAAAAGGGGCCAAAAAACACATTTTTCTAGTTTCCAGACAATAACTTGTGTTCAAGTGTATGGATCTCTCTGAAATTGTACTGCAAGGTACCATACCACAAAGGGAAGGCTGGGATTGAGTTTGGGGGTGATGAATCATAAGGGGGTTCTAAAAATTTGGGAAGGGGGGGGATTTTTTTTTTTTCCTTTTTTTTTTCTTTTAAAATTTTCCATTTTAAGTTGGTTATTTCTGATTTATATATTTAAAAGCAAATAATAATGATATGGTAGGAGATACACACCAAACAGGATGTGTAAATTATTATATAATAAGTATTGTGCAATAGCAAGAAATTTTCAATTGCACAGTATTGCACAATAGCAAGAAATCTTCAATTGCACAGTATTGCGCAATAGCAAGAAATCTTCAATTGCACAGTATTGCGCAATAGCAAGATATATCCAATAGCACAATATTGCACAATAGCAAGAAATTGTCAATTGTGCAGTATTGCGCAATAGCAAGAAATATTCAATTGCACAGTATTGTGCAAAAGAAGATACTTCGTATAAATTGCTTATTTCTTGACCAATTTCAATGGGGTTTTATTCTTAGATTCTTGGGGTTCTTTAATATGCTGAATCTAACCATGTATTAAGTTTTTGGATTTTGGGCCCCGTTTTTAAATTGGTCCACATTGAGGTCCAAAGGGTCCAAAATTAAACTTTGTTTGATTTCATCAAAAATTGAATTATTGGGGTTCTTTGATATGCCGAATCTAACCGTGTATTTAGATTCTTAATTTTTGGTTCCGTTTTCAAATTGGTCTACATTAAGGTCCAAAGGGTCCAAAATTAAACTAAGTTTGATTTTAACAAAAATTGAATTCTTGGGGTTCTTTGATATGCTGAATCTAACCATGTATTTGGATTTTGGATATTGGACCATAATAGGTGAATGTCCAATTTAAAATTTTTAAGTTCTTAGACCACATTCATTCTGTGTCAGAAACCTATGCTGTGTCAAATATTTAATCACAATCCAAATTCAGAGCTGTATCAAGCTTGAATGTTGTGTCCATACTTGCCCCAACTGTTCAGGGTTCGACCTCTGCGGTCGTATCAAGCTGCCCCAGCGGAGCATTTTATTTTTAGTAAATTGTGATTCGCTTAGAATCAGTTGAAAGTGTTATAAGTTGTAGAACACCATAGATAATATCAAGCAGCAGCAATAGTACTAGTTGAATCAAGATAATTGTTAACATTTTAAGTACATGTGTACTTTTAAATTTTTCAATCCATGACAAGTCAAGTTACACAGAATCTTTCATTGATGTTAATTTTACAAAGATGTTTTTACTTGCTATTTGATTATTTTAAAGCAAGCAAATTACATATTGTATGGATGTCAAATCTGAAAAGTACTGTAAATTCAGAAATTATTGCGACATTTTTATTAATGCGACGAATGCGACTTTGTGCGTATCTCAATAATAAGAACTTGCATTCTAATATCTGATACATATATATCAGTTTGCAGATTTTCCTGAAATCACAATAATTAATCTCACATGTTTGTCCATTCTTCAAATATCGCAATAATAAATCATATACAGTGCATTATGAGTTCATTCACTGAAACAATACACAAGACTTGGTTAAGAAATTTAAGTCAACGTGGTGACTATATAAATAACACATAGCTGAGAGGGTGATAGAGCAGAATGTTACCCAGAGAAAACATTGTCAACTGAGGCGAAATGTATTATTTAATTTATTATACTGAATGTTCTGTTATTACTGTCTATCAAATTTCAAATTCAAAGTAATAAACTGTGACATCTTGTACATAACAATCATCCATATTTATTAAAACGCACACTTGATCAAGTGTCCCCGTGAAGGGTAATAGAATATTTGCCATCGGATAGAGTAAATTGTCTCCCTCATATTAACCAATCAAAATCTGACATTTTGACATGAAGTATAATAATTGTGAATTATTTATCAGATTTATTTTAGTTCTATATGAGGAAAGCATTATTTACTTTGAAATTTTAATGAGTGATACATCATTGGCAATCAGTCACATTTCCTTATATTTATTTGGACTGAGATATACCGGTAATGCCAGATTAGTTAATAACATGTTATATATAATGTTATCTTTATTCAAGATGTTTTAGTTGGTTTTTTTTTTAGAATGAACTGAAAGAAGGTAACCTGGTTCCATGCAATATTTTTTCTTGAAATTATTCAGGAATGAGTGGAAACCTCATATTGTAATTTATGATAATCTCAAAACAATATCTTTCATATTCATAGAAGTAGACAGAATCATTTCATGACATTAATCTTGAACTTTATCTTTTTCAGACAAAGAAGTAAACCTGATGTTGTATAACATTGTAATCTTGAACTTTATCTTTTTCAGACAAAGAAGTAAACCTGATGTTGTATAGCACTGTAACCCTTGGCTCTATCACCAAGCTAGCTAAATGTTGTGTTCTGTCGCAAGTTCGGAGAACTAAAACGGGTTCCAGCTTATTTGCTTTGGTGACCAGTACAGTTGCTATGGAAACCATTAACATATCAAATGTTTGATATTGTAATATTGTGGACCAGAAATTAAAATAATTTGGTTTTAAGGCTTTTATTAGTGGTAGCTATGTTTATATAAACAAACTGGAACTTTTCTAGCACTTTCGTTTGTTCACTGCTAGTAAGTGTGCTGATTAGTGTATTTTAAGGATTTGATATTTATGTGTTTTATCAAATAAGAGTATATGAATTTAGAATGGAAACTGAATGGAAGAGCATATGTGTCTATGTAACATATATTTTTACATATATATATATATTTACACTTGGTTAATTGATTTAATAAATGCAGTATAAACAAGTATAATTTGAGGGTGCAGGTCCTTTCCTTAGATACAGTCATCAAACCTACATTTTATGAAAGTTGTATGATTACTTTGTTAACCTTCTGTCTCATGGTGTATTCTCTGTCTATCTTCAGAATAAAGTACTACATTGTTTAAATATGATTACAATATAAATAAATATGATTACATGGTCAAAATATGATTACAAAGTAAAAAATATGATTACATAGTAAATAAATATGATTACATAGATATTATTTTTTATACTTTATTTCAGTTTGTTTTTAATTGCATATAACTATTTATATCTTAATATATTATGTTTTATTTGTTGAAGTTTTTATATGATTATAATGATAGTCGTTAAAACAGGCAGATTTGAAATGTAAAATGGTATAAAAGATAATCTTTTTTGCTATATAATTTTTTTGTTATTTTCTTTAGGTTTTTTGTTAAGCTGTTTATGTAATAATAGTGAGTGACCAATTTATTGAATATAATTGTATCATGATGATATCCGTTATAACATGGACTTCTGGTCTACACATCAATCCATGTGTCAGAAAGTAATCCATTTCAATATCCAAGTAATGAGATCATACTCAATAAATCAGGGCATAAGGATTATTTACAGAACTAACTTTTTTTATTGTTCAATATGAAGTCAAAGTTTATTTATTACTAATTAAAATTTTCATTGTGTGCTCTATTAAAAAGTGCTATCAGCATTTTGGTGTCAAATTTCTAGTCACTAGAAAGGAAACGTGTAATATTTTCTATTTTCTATGGCATTGTTATTTGTTTTGTAGATAATGGATAATTTGTTTTTTTAACTCCTTTACATATGAATCTCAATTTATTTATGAAACGATCAATTAATGAATTCAAATTTTATTGGAATAATTTCTGGTGTATTTTTTGTTATGAAATATCACCAAGAAGAGTAATATTTTTTAAAACGAAAACATCCTGTTATAAAGCTCATTAAAAGCATACAGAAGAAATTAAATCACATTTAAAATTATGAATACATTATTAAGAGATAAGATGTTCATATATAAAAATGATTAATAAACTTTATGTTGGGATCTTTGTAACACGTACTTGTACATCTTACCAATTTTCCCTTTCCAATCGTGACACCTAAAAAATTGTTTAAATGATTCAGAACACAAAGATGATCAAAATTCTCAATCAAAATAAAGAAGAACAAAACATAATTGAAATCTACACCTCTTATATCATGTGTGGCCTTACATTTTTATCAGCTTTATTAATTAAAGTGGAGAGGTCTTGCACTTCGTTGCTGACCAAAGTGATAAACAGTGGTGAAATGACGATAATTTGAAAATTTTGAAATGATAAAAACATATGATGCAGTCAGAAAATGCAAGTTTACAGATGACTGAGAAGCGTTTACAGGGAATAAAGACTTGTAATTAAAAATTTTGCACATAATTTGACAAAATTTTGCTCTGTTTCCCTTCTGACGGTCTTATCAATAACCATTGTAAAATATTAGTAGACATTTTTTACTCTATGAATTTCACACACAAAAAAAGTATTACACATAAAGCATTTTTAAAAATAAATTTACTTGTGAAAGTCTCATTATTGTATCCGGGTGAAATTCCAGTTATGTAAAATAAATGATTACTGTAAATTCAGAAATTATTGCGTGCATTTATTATTGCGATTTTTGAAAAATTAACAAAAATGCGAGTTTAACTATTGCGAATTTTGGAAAAGCTACATACAAATATATGTATTTGATATCAGAATGCGAGTTTTTATTATTGCGATACTCAAGTTGTCGCATTATTCGCATTAATAAAAACCTCGCAATAATTTCTGAATTTACAGTATCATTATCATAATCATGAACATTATATTTATTAAGAATATGTGAGTTAGTTAAGATCATTATTTATTTTGTATATTAGTGATGATATGAAAAGAATCATGTTTATTTTTGTCAGTCTTAGAAAAATGATTTTATCTGATATTGATTTCAGTTTGTTAGATTTTACCATAATTTAAGTTTTTCACTTCTGTATAATGAAGTTCTTGTTTAATATCTTTGACAAAAACTTGAAGTCTTGAAATCCTACAAACATTTTGCGAAATGAATCCACTATAAAAGAAACTCAGGATGGTTTATAAATTGACATGCACTTTTATTTTATTTTCATTGCACAGTTTTATTTTCAGAGAACACTACATAAGCCAAACTTTTCATTTCTTTTACCCTGTAAATATGACATCAGTGATTCAACACTGCCTCATAAGAAAGAAACGATAATACATTAGGTTGTATTTTAAAGAGACTACCAACCTTATAAAGCTAATTTAACTTTTCATGTTGACAAAGGATGTAGATATGTTTTATATCTCACAATGAAGTAGTCAGGCAAATAATTTTTTACCATAAGAAACCAAAAATTTCATAAAAAATTCCAAGCATCAAATAATTGTGGAATTTCCAAATCTGTTATTACAAATAAAATACCACCTTCACATATCTGTGTGGAAATTAAATTTTTTTAGATTTACAAAAACATCATAATTTTTAGTTTATGGAAGAGTTTTCTGTTTTCTGTTCGTGACTTTGTGCTAAAATAGAAATGTATGCTGTGTCTGTGTAATTTCTTAATACATAAAACACTGTTTGAACTGTGTGCAGGAATATTAATGTGTGCCATGTGCTCATTGTTTTTATTGACCGTGTTTTGTTGCACAGATTTTGTTGATTTGATTAATGTTTGTTATGTAGTTTTTCATTTTCCACAATTTATTTCCAAAATGAACTTCTGATAGTGCCCAAATGGGCGTTGTCGAAATATTATATATTTATGTCTCAAAATGAGGTGATGTATTACATTTTCAAAACTGAAATTCACTGAGATTTAGGATTTGCAGTGACAATTAGATTTTCAAAAGTGAATTTAACCACATATTCATGACATCTACTGTCAGAAACAAATGTATTCCATAAATTGAAATGAAATATTAATCAACTATCAAATGCAAAACCACTTCACAGGATAAAACATCCACGTTTTAACCATTTTGTGAGAAAAGGAGAGGGTGGGGAGGATTGGGGAAGGGTAAGAGGAGAGAATTTCATCCCGAATGTCCACGAATTAAATAGCTTAATCCCAAATTCCTGAAAAAGATCCTTCTGCACCTATTTTGTAACTATTAGTTACTGCAAATTGAGTTTACATTTATATAAGAACTACAAGAGTTCTTTGTGAGCCGTTTCCTCGTTTCGTCACCTTTCTTTTTATGCCCCACCTACAATAGTAGAGGGGCATTATGTTTTTCGGTCTGTGTCCATTCGTTTGTTCGTCCGTCTGTTCGTCCGTCTGTTCGTCCATTTGTCCCGCTTCAGGTTAAAGTTTTTGGTCAAGGTAGTTTTTGATGAAGTTGAAGTCCAATCAACTTGAAACTTAGTACACATGTTCCCTATGATATGATCTTTCTTATTTCAATGCCAAATTAGAGTTTTGACCCCAATTTCACAGTCCACTAAACATAGAAAATGATAGTGGGAGTGGGGCATCAGTGTTCTATGGACACATTCTTGTTCTTTATAAAAGACTCCTAGAAATTTAAATAGAATTAATGAATTCCAAGATAATAGATTAACATTTGTATGAATTATACTATAAAACAAAACTGATAACAAACTTTATTGAAGAACATAATTATTGTCTCATTGTGATATACCTTTACTGCATATATATTGAATACAATGAAATTAATGTTTATGGTGACTTATTTGATGGGTTTGATAACTTTTAACATTTCACTAAAATGTGTAGAAGGGGGAGAGGTTTATAAATAGCTAAAATATCACTTGATGTTGATGATACTGTGATTTTTTTACTGTTCTCCCCAAAAGTTGTGAATTTTTTAAATTTCAGATTATTTATGTAAAACATTTTTTGAATTTGAAAATAATGGAATTTAAGACTCCTTTTCAGATTTAATTTATCTGCTTTTGACTCTTAAAGGTAAATTTTAAAAATCTAAACATAATGATAATATTTTTAAAAAACAAGCTAGTAATCTTATATTATTTGTTTTTGGTAAACTAGAAGACCTATTAAATAGATTATGTACATAAATGATTAATTCCCTTCATGGAAAATCTTGTTACTATGTTTGGACTTATTTACAGTAATTACTTCATAAATCTTAAATTTTGGTATGAAATATATGCCATTGGACATTAGAAAACATCAATCAATCATTGAAATTTACTGGGTAGGTGCAGGCACAGAACATCTGATACTAAACTAATCTATATAAGCATATAAACCCTGAAATTGATGAAAACTAATATATGTTCAATCGAATTTAATTTCTAAAAGTTTTTTTCAATCTTTAATGCATGTTGGAAGAGTTTCTTCTACAGTAACTTATTATAACCACACCAGTTAATATGAAGATATACCCATTATCCATGGCATTTCAGATGTATATTTTGAGTTGTGATGAATAAGAAATTCTAAGGCAGAAGTGACCATACATGTATTCTGTTCTAATATTTTCATATTTTCAGTAGTACAAGATGTAAAAATTTCTTTCTTCATGTGAAATACAGCTGATTTTTATGGAATATGTGAAATAAAATATAGAGATACATATATTTTTGTTATGAATTGGAATATTTAGTCAACTACAATTAGTAATTTATTCCCCTCTAGTGCGGGAGGTCATAGGTTTGAAACACCCAACCCCCCTCCCAGGTCGAACCAAAGACTTAAAATTTGGTATTTGCTGCTTCTCCACTAAGCACGTGGCATTAAGGAGTAAGAGCAATGAATGGTTGCCTTGGAGTTGGAATTTGTTTGGTTAGTGTGACATGTCCTCCTGCTGACTTTTAGTTTGTGAACTAGCATATTAAAAATCTGGCTAAATGTGTCGGTCTAGTACAAAGCAGGGTTTATACTCATATCACAGTATCATATATTTGTCCTGAATAAACATTTAGTTTGCCACTGGATGTTAAATAGCCATCCATCCATCAACAACAAGCTGTTGCAGAAATAGTTGTAAAGACACATCAATATTCCAACCTGCTTCTAATCCAGCTACATATTTGTTATTAGACTTTCAAGGTAGAATACCAAAATGTACAGATAAATGCTTTCATTTCCAAATATTGAGTTTTCTAAGATTTAACATTAGTGTTGATTTGTATGGGGGTGATTCTTGCATAGACGGAGACGCCTACCCTGTTGACGCACCTGGTCTCGCTTCTTTTGGAGTTTATGCAATTCCCTCAATTTTTATTTTATTGCCATAATTTGTCTCTTCCTAATCAATTTAGATAAAAATTGGAACATCAGTTAACTACTGTAGCCTTAATTACCCACTACTGAGTTTCTTGCAGTGTCTACATTTGTTTAAAATGTATAAATTTCTGATTTGGCCCATTTCAGAGTAAGTACTCACTATATATGAATAAAAAGAGATGTTGGTCAAAGGTCAATGGGACTTCAACCAAATGCCACACATGACTAAATTACATCAAGTGGTCAACATAAGTCTTTACCAACTGGTGTTCATATAAAAATACTACCTCCAAATCGTACCAAGTCGAAAAAAGTTTGTGAATAAATTAAACCCATACTCAAATTCACTGATACTTTTCCATTTGCAGTGACCTTAACATAACACCTTACAGTAAGAAGGGGAAAACTATGATCGAAGAAAAAGTAAACAAATGTGGACGAAATATAGTATCAACAAATTCTGAAAGAAAAGTTAAAATAACCAAAACATTTATCAACTGTTATGACAAAACTTAATTAACAAATGGGAATTGTGCTTAATATCCATGATTCTGTGTTGATTGTTTAATCATCAAGGTCACAATCAGAAAATTTCAGCAACAAAACCAGAAAATCGACAGCCAAAGTTTTGGATCCATGATCACACAATTAGATATTTTTTGGTTGATTATACGTTATGGATTCATAATGGATGTAAAAAAAAACCTGCACAGAGGACTTGGTTTTGTATATATGCATGCATTGGTTCAATAATTTCCTTAATTTTATAATTACCAAATACTCGTTTTATATGACATTTAAGACAACTATTAAAGAGATACATGTCGCGGGAAAGGCACATAAACATGTTAAGGGGTAAACAATTTTTTTGAGATTTCAATCCCCCCCTTTTTTACATTTCAATTGGTGGACTAACAAAGGGGATTCAAGAAAGTGTAATAAAAAATGGTAAAGGAAAAGTGCTTAAGGATGTTCACTTCTCTGTTTAAAAAACAAGCTTTTTAAGACTGTTTTAAATTGATAGTATATAGATGACAGAACTTAAAAAGCAGAAAAAAATGAAGGGCTTGTTTTTGAGGTATTGAAAATTTGGCAGGAAATGATTCTCTCTAGATTTTTCTTCCTTTTAACATGGGCATCTTTTTTCTTTCAATAACTATTAAAAAAAAACAAGGATTTTATAAGATTTTCAAAATTGGCTTTATAAACAACATGTAATACAAGAGTGCACATGTTGAAATGTCTCACCCGCTTTACTGACCATTGATTTTATGTTGAAAGTCTTAAAGATAAAGGTTTTACTAAAAGCATCACAGAAACTCAATCAGGTCTCAAAAATCCTGTCAGACAGACATATACACATTACAATTTTTTTATACACCAAATGTAGTTGACCTATTGCTTATAATTAAAAAACAGACCAAAACAAAAAAAACTTAACATCAACCAGTGAACCATGAAAATGAGGTAAAGGTCAGATGATACCTGCCAGACAGACATGTACACCTTACAATCATTCCATACAACAAATATAGTTGACCTATTGCTTATAGTACTTGAAAAACAAACCAAAAACACAAAAACTTAACATTGACCAATGAACCATGAAAATGAGGTCAAGGTCATATGAAACCTGCCAGACTGACATATTCCCATTACAGTCATTCCATACACCAAATAAAGTTGACTTACTGCTTATAGTAATTGAGAAACAAACCAAAAACACAAAAACTTAACATTGACCAATGAACCATGAAAATGAGGTCAAGGTCATATAAAACCTGCCAGACTGACATATTCCCATTACAGTCATTCCATACACCAAATATAGTTGACCTACTGCTTATAGTATTTGAGAAACAGACCAAAACACAAAAACTTCACATTGACCAATGAACCAAGAAAATGAGGTCAGGTCAGATGAAACCTGCCAGACTGAAATGTACCCATTACAGTCATTCCATACACAACATAAAGTTGACCTACTGCTTATAGTATTTGAGAAACAGACCTAATCACGTAACTTTAACCTTGATCACTGATCCATAAAATGAGGTAGAGGTCAGGTGAACCCTGTCTGGTGGACATGTAGATGTTGCAAGGAACCCATATACCAAATATAGTTGTCCTATTACTCATAACAAGTGAGAAATTCACATGACAAAAAAAATCAATTTTTTTATAAAGCAGTTGCTGAACCATGAAAATGAGGTCAAGGACATTGGACATATGATAGACAAAAACTTTGTAACATAAGGTATCTGCTTACAAGATATGAAGCATCCAGGTCTTCTACCTTCTGAAATATAAAGCTTTATACAAATAGTTTATGCCACTGCCACCGGATAGTAATACCTATGTTTCGCATACTGCGACTTCGTTGATGGCGAGACAAAAAATATGAAAAGAAAAGAAGGGGTTAGTGGGCAAAATTTTTAATGGCACTACATGGATAAATACAGAGGAATCCGAAAATCTGACAAAATGGAAAAAGTCAAAAATATGAGCAGAAAACATGATTGTCATCCTTAACTTCTATGTCATTTGGTCTCTGGTGGAGAGTTGTCTCATTGGCAATTATACTACATCTTCTTATTTTCATATTAATAACCTTAAACAGTACCAATTTTATTGCACCAGATGCACATTTCAACAACTAATGTCTTCAGTGATGCTCAAGGCCAAAATATTTAATAAAACCAAAACCTTATACAATCGTTGAAGAGCTAATCTAAATGGAAAAAGGCCAACAGAATAGCCAAACCAAAAATCTAAAGTAACAGAAAAATAGACAACAACAAAAAAGTTCAAATAAAGCTATAACGATAAGGTTTCAAATAATCCTCGCAATCACTGAAAGCTGTAAGACCCATTTCAGAATAAGAACTTTATCAAAGAAGTATTTATGGTAGAACATTGCATTATGCTATACAATTCAATTAACATCTATGCAATTCAGTTTCAAGCAGAAATAGAGGATAACATCATTTTAACATGTAACTTTGACTTATCATGTAATGTATGTCACTATAAAAAAAGCAGGACCTGCACAACCTTACTCCTATTTTTGTGGGGTTTGCGTTACTCAATCTTTTTGATGTGTACCGTCTGTCTCCATACATGGTCTTGTCCGTCTTCAATTGCCTCCCTTAGTATGGTTATGGTTTTATTTCTATATCAGGTGTTTAAAATTGAGATAAAGAATATACAGTATGTTTAACGAATGGTGCCTGGTTAGAATTCTTTATAGTTTGAGTTTATGCTCATTGTTGAAGACCACGATCAACTATTTGTTTTAATCTTTTATTTTGGATTAAGTAATGACCCAACATCTTCTCGAAACTGATGATTCGTTCATGAATATTTTATTGTCACAATAGTTTCTCAAACATTTTTTTTCTTAAATTATGCTTTATTTTATCCCTTTGCAATTTGATGATTTGACTGTGGTTTTCTACAGCAGTTGGTTAAAATTTTTGACCAGTTGAACAGTTTGATTTGATGAAACAAATCGCAATTGGGTCAGAATTTCAAATGAACTGAAATAGGTGGAGAGAACACTAACAATCAAGTCACTGTAGAAAAATTCAAAGTATTGGCAAACAGGATGTAGGTGTCCGAGAGAACCAACAAGTGCTCACACATTACAACTCATCACCTTTAAGCCGCTGACCAAATATGAAGTCATTCTGTTCAGTATTAACTAAGAAAAGTGTGATGGAAATATAGAGTGGGGGTATAATTCATGGTGATCTTTATAATAAATGGATAAACATAAAATATTACTGATATTTTGCAATGGATGTTTGAGAAATGGACCAAAATACAAATCTTGACATGTATGCAATGATTTATAAAATGTATTGATGCACTGCATTGACAATGATTAGAGTAACAAGACCAATAACAGGCCTAGACCTGCATCGCTGTATGCAATTGATTTTGTTAGCATGTTAACTAAACCATTACTGATTATTCCCTTTCTCTGAAGCCAAGAAAACAAAATTTTCCTTGTACAATAAATGTTGTAAAATATCAAAGTATTGGCACACAACAAGTGGCTGCACTGCATCTGTAGAAATTGTTACCCGCTGCACCTCAACATTACGCAGCTGCACACCAAATACAAAATCATTTCCTTTTATAGAAGTCTTGATTAGTTTGTTGAAAGTTTTCTACCCACGTTCTTTCAAACGGGCGGACGGACAGATTGATGGACAGAGCCAAGGGGTTACTAGACTTGCTTTTGCTGTTGGCAACCGAGGTAAAAATATACAATTGTAATATTTGGTCCAGTTTAAAAAGAACTCTAAAATAAAATATAGCATAAAAATCTGCATTAATTTTAATTCTTCACTAACAGTTAATATTACAAATAGAAATGTATCACATAAAGTTAATATTGAATAATCCCGTTGTGAAATACAGAACTGGATCTTTGTTGTGTTTAAGACTTTAATTATAATTAATCATATGTTTGAACAAATGATGTCTTTTCTTGTTTCTTTTCTTCTTCATCTTCATCTTCATCTGCAAAAACAAAACAATCAATGAAATAAAATGTGTTAACCAAAAGGAAAAATGTAATATGAGTAGATTGTTTTTATGACATTGTAGTCTCTGCCAAGCTCTTTTAATGAATTGTGGTGATACATGTATTTCCTTATTGATAAATGACATCAACTACATGAAGTTGGACATTTTATAAATAACACATAGCTGAGAGGGTGATAGAGCAGATTGTTACACCGAGCAAACATTGTCAACTGAGGCGAAGCCAAGGTTGACAATGTCTTTTCAAGGGGTAACAATCTGCTCTATCACCCTCTCAGATATGTGTTATTTAATTTATTATACTGAATGTTCTGTCATTACTGTTGATTAAAATTCAAATTCAAAGTAATAAACTATGACGTCTTGTACATAACAACCATCCATTTTTAATAAAGCGCACACTTGATCAAGTGTCTCCGTGAAGGGTAACAGAGTATTTGCCATAGGAAAGAGTCGTATTTAATAAAGCGCACACTTGATCAAGCGTCTCTGTGAAGGGTAATAGAGTATTTACCATAGAATAGGGTAAATTAACACCCTCGTATAAGCCAATCAAAATATTGCATTTTTACGTGAAGTATAATAATAAAATCTATTTTAAATAAAATAAACTGCTTCGCTGAGCGCAGCTGGATACGCCCGCAGAGGTCCAACCCTGTACAGTTGGGGCAAAAATGGACACAATATTCAAACTTGATACAGGTCGGAATTTGGATTGTATTAAATATTTGACATATTATAGGTTTCTGAATAAATGTAGTCACTTGAAATTGGTTATATGAATTGAATTTATATTCAATTAAAGATTTCTTGTTGTTGTGCAATACTTAGTAAATCTGTTGTCAGACTATAAACAAATAAAGTTCAATTAATTCTCAATGTCATATTAGAAATTTATGAAAATGTAAAGGGAGCTTACATCAATAGATATAAACAATTCACCAAAGTTTCATGAGAATTGCTGTCAGCATTTTTGAGTTATTGTCCGAAAACTGGAAAACCCCCCCTTTTTTAATGAATAAAACCCCATAACTCAGAAATGTAAAATGTAAAATTTATAAAATTCTCAACGGAGCTTACATCAATAGATATAAACAATTCACCAAAGTTTCATACGAACTGCTGAAAGCAATTTTGATTTTTTGTCCGAAAACTGGAAAATCCCCCTTTTTTCATGAATAAAACCCTGTAACTCGGAAACGTAACATCTAAAATATATAAAAATCGGATGGGAGCTCATGTCACTAGATATAAACAATTCACTATAATTTCTTGCAAGTTGGTGAAAGCATTCTTGAGTTATTGTCCGAAAACTGGAAAATCCCCCTTTTTTTAATGAATAAAACCCCATAACTAGGAAACGTAAAATCTAAAATTTATAAAAAACAAAAGGGAGCTCACGTCAATAGATATAAACAATTCACCTAAGTTTAATGCAAATTGGTTAAAGCGTTTTTGAGTTAATGTCCGACATGTTGACGACGGACGGACAGACGGACGGACAGAGGTATACCATAATACGTCCCATAAACGGGCGTATAAAAAGAGATAATAGTTAACTTCATTAGACAAATTCCAAATAAAATGCATGTTTTTACATGTTTAGTTGTGTGTTAAAGCCCAAAACCACAAAGTAAAAACTCACAAAAAGGATTTATTAATTTTACAAATAATGAAAATTTGAAACCAAAAAATAAAAGATCAGTAGTTCTCAAGATATCATATATATCATTTAAATGACCACATTATAATATGTGTCATGTTTCTGTAAAGCATTTAAATACTAATTTGAACAACAGAGATACACTGCACTCCAACATACTCAACCTCCTGATGTATTACAATATATATTACCTTCAATACGACACAGATCTATTAAGATGTTGACTACACATTTTTCTGATTCTGTCAGAACATCAGACTCTAGTTTACTCAGTTGTTCTACTGCTTGTGGTAAATCTACAGTAAAATGAATACAATGAATCACTCAAAATTAAAAGAAAAATCATTAACACTAAAAAAGAACAAAACAAAAACCAAAACAAACAATAAACCTTAGTGTTACTTACCAAGTTTTAAAAAAAGGACTTTATTTTTTTAACACAATGCTTGTTCTCTAGTTACTGTAAATTCAGAAATTATTGTGATGTTTTTATTACTGTGAATGTTGCAAATGGGTAAGTATCGCAATAATAAGAACCCGCATTCTTATATCTGATACATGTACCTGTATGCAGCTTTTCCAAAAATCTCAATGATTAATATCGCATTTTGGTCCATTCTTCAAAAATCGCAATAATAAATGCACACAGTAATTTCTGATTTTACAGTCAGCTATTTATTCATAAACCATAAAGTAAAGGTAGTCTCAAGGTTATATGTACACAAGATACAAAGTTTGATGTATTCTAAAGACAAAAAGAACAAGTCGTTAAAAGTTTTCAACATAATGCTGCTCTATTCTTGTTAGTTGCATCCTATTCAAACATCCATGGAAGCTTAACTGTTTCTCAACTTAAATTCTTATTGTAGTTTGTGTACAGACATGGATTCAAGTGTACTTCATCAGACTTTCTTAACATCCATATCTAAAATAAAGGGGCATAACTCTAGAACGGTAAAAGTGACGCCACCAAAATTCATACTTGATCTGTGTTTTGTGGTAATAAGCATTGTGTATAAGTTTCATAACATTTGGTTGAAGCAAACTCAAGTTAGAGAACGAAAACCAATTTTGGGACGTACGTACGTACAGACGGACAAGGGTAAAACTTAATGCCCCCTCCGATACGGCGGGAGCATAAAAATGACTTTTTAAGAGACTTAATTCATAAATTCATCCCTTCTTACTTTTAGATTAATAATACTTTGGAGTTTGTACTTAACAGTTCCAAAAAATATCCAACTCATTATTTAGTAATTGTTTACCTTTATGTTTAGTTCTGTTTTTAAATCTATCAAAATACGCAGTAATATCTTCTCTCTTCAGAAGGTCACTTAGTGTGGTCAAATCTTCTTGTGTGGTCAGTAGAATTATATGGAGAATGGCACTACAAATCTGTTAATGGTAAAACTTGCATTAATTCTAGAACTCACAACAACTTTAAAGTTTAATGAACAACATTGTTTTTTTACTCTGACTATTGATTGCAAATTTCAAAAACAATTTAATTTCTAAATGTATTCATATTTTGGTTATATAATGGTTTTCTTTGTTTAAACGTTAACTCTAACAATACAGGGGCCATTGTAGTACTGCCTCTGCAGCAAATCTGTTTTATTGGCTCCAATGGCTTTCCATACTCTCTAGGGTAAGCTGTTAAATATTGATTTCAAAATTCTGACATACTTTCTAAACTTTCAGTAATATATTGTTATGCTCTCCAGATTCAAGGTGCAGTTTGAACCAACAGTCAAGACTTTCAAATTAGAAATCGAAAAATTTGGCAGTTTTGGAGGGGTAGGCTTTTCTTCTTTCTCTGGCCTACAAAAGGCAGAGGTCTGGAACTTGTGAAACAACCTAAACTACACCTAAACAATAATAATTTCAACTCCTAACAAATTTCTGAACAGCTATGGATAAACATCAGAGCTTGACATACTTTATAGAATTTTAAGCTGATGACTGATTGTTGACCTTTAAATATCTGTGTTTTTTTGTGCTAGGTTGCTGCCTCATTGATGCATAACCTACACCACCTTTATAGTCATATTAAAATTTAAATGACTTTTTTGCGAGAAAATGGTTTAACAAATTCTATTACTTAAACTCATATTAAAAATTGTTTGGAGTTCTGTTGATATCAGCCAAGATTTTACTTACATGATCATTTAAACTGTCTCTATATCTGTACTCAGCAAAGTCTGTTATGACTTCTGCTGTCTTAAGTCCCTTGATTAAACTCTCCCATACATGGAGGTATAAATCTTGGTTACCATAGTGACAACGTTCTGCTGGAGATCCCAGTGCTAATGCAGCATTGATGCGAACTTTGAAATTCTTACAATCAGTTACCACAGAACACAAAGTTATAAGTATATCTTTCTGTAAATAAGACAAAAAAAAAAATAATGTTTCATGATATTAAAAACTTCTTTGCAATATCACATAAAAAATGGACTTAAAAAAAACATCATCACTTTGCAATTATATTTATATCTGTTCTTATTCTCTCTGTGTGTATCATTTTGTATCATTCAAATCTCGTTGAAATTCTAATTTCATCAAATATCAGAATACAGTTGTCATTGGCTATAGCCCTTTCCAGAAACTAATTTCCGTAATCAAGAATATTGCTCAAAAATTATAACAAGGGAAATAACTCATATTCAATTGTAACTTATAAGTGAGTTTCAAGAAAGGTCTAAACAGAAACATTAAATTTTTACTTATATCTTTATAAATATTTTTAGATGCAGTAACATGTCCTATTTTAGGCTTAAGGAGCAAATGAAACCATTAAAAAAATAATTGCCACTGAGGTCAATATGATGATATTTGTTTGATTACCGACTAGCTGTTTGATACTGGTTCCTTGTAAAAATAGTTATGTTTTTTATTTTCAAAAATAAAAATGTATGATTATTTGTAAGAACCTTAAATCATGAATCTGCATAACTCAACCAAATCAAAATATTTTTATGATTGTAGTGTTTTCTAAAATCATAAATTTATATTGCTTGTTATAAATATGCACAAATGTGTTATTTAATTTTTCTACAGACCGCTAGTGTGTTTAATAGAAAAGGTTATTTCCCTTATTTTGCAGTTACCAATACAATCCATGCAATTTGCTTTTAAATGAAAAAAAAAATATTAATACTTTATAGTGATTATCCCTGATTATGAAGCAATACACGCACCAAAATTCATCAAAATACCCATTTCTTAATACTCACAATCCAAGGAGAGTTGCCATGATTGAGTAAACTGTTTCTGAATAAGTTACTAACAGCATAGCAAGCATTCCATCTAACCTAAAACATATAACATATATTTGTTTGATAGAATTGCTTAATGAACTTTTCTGATCATTAAATAATGAACTTAATCTTTTAAGACGATGAGAACATCTGTTTATTTTCCTTTTTTATCTTTCATATAGAATTGAATGCCTCTGTTTATACTATAATTGAGGCATAAAAGTGTTAATAGAAGAACATTTTGTTTAGAGCCTGGAAGTTCTTCAAACTATAAATAAAAGCACAGTCAAAGCTTTTACAACACTATAAAACAACAAAAAAGAAGCATTCAATTCTCAAAATTCCATTTGAATGTTTAAACCAGGAAAATTCATTTTAAAACAAGTGTTTTACTTGTTTTGTTTAAACATCCCTATATATTATTGTAACGTTTCATGGAGAGCACCTGCAGTGGTGGATTTTAAATCTTATTGTGACATAAAACATTATTTTATGACAACATGGGATTGTTGTCCTCCAATGAAAAAGATGGAATACTTTTGGAAAATCTATGTAATGGAATAATTCTCTAGTGCAATGTTTTCTTATTTAATGTTATCTCATGAATAGCCACCAAAAATAAAACTATCTGTTTCAGTACGGTAATTTGTTCAAATCTTATTGATAAATTTTACTTTGACTTTAGGTACAATAAAAGAACAGAGTTCCAATGTCCACGCATGCACATATTTTATCTATCCAAGGTACAAGAGCAATAACTAAACTAGATGTGTCGGAACAACACGAATGGCCCGTCTCAAAAAGTTGAAAAATCTGTAATTTCAACAACATATGTGGACCATGCATGGATAGTATCCAGCACTCAAGACCAATACTAGTTTGATGAAAAATTTCCTTGATCAATGAGTAGTTAAATTTCAAACTATCAGCAAACAGGAAGTGGATGTACTGAAGATGTGTTGAAACAACATGAAAATCAGCATATCCGAACAAAACATAAACTTGATCTGTAACTCATCATGGTAAATTCACATATCAAAAATCAGCGCAAAATCTGAAGGCATATAAAAAAAAGTCTGTATAACTGTGATTTTCATGAAAATCAGCATATCCGAACAAAACATAAAATTGAACTGTAACTCATCATGGTTAACTCACATACCAAAAGTCCAAAACCCGCAATTATGGCAAAAATCAGCAGAGCAGAACAAAACTTAAACTCGATCTGTAACTCATCACGGTTAACTCAGATACCAAAAATCAGCCCAATATCTAAAGGTGTTTAGAAAAAAAGTCTGTATAACTTCGATTTTCAACAATTTATCAAAGTCCAAAGCCCGTAATTTCAGTAAAAATTAGCAGAGCGGAACAAAACTTAAACTTGATCTGGAACTCATCATGGTTAACTCACATACCAAAAATCAGCCCAATATCTGAAGTTGTTTAGAAAAAAAGTCCGTATAACTGTGATTTTCAACAATTTATCAATCTCCAAAGCCCATAATTTCGGCAAAAATTAGCAGAGCGGAACAAAACTTAAACTTGATCTGTAACTCATCATGGTTAAATCACATACCAAAAATCTGCCCAATATCTGAAGGCGTTTAGAAAAAAAGTCTGTATAGGGGTAAATTCAGTAAATAAATATACGTCATCAGGGACCGCCCATTTGGGGGAGAGCTTTCTGTATAAAACTGAAGTCATGTGCTCTTCTGATTGGTAGATAATGTTTGTAATAAATATTTTTTGATAGATGGATAAAAACTAGAGTTGAAAAAAAAAAAAAAATAAATGCTGAATGTACTAAATTTTTTTACTACAGGGTTGAAAAGTAATGGGGGTCAGTGAAGGAATTAAGTGCGAATCTACAGTGTTTGTAAACAAGGCCATGTGAATGCCCAAAAATGCCGCATGACCCTATGTTTTTATTGTTGCAAATGATAGGGCTACATTTGTACTTTCATGAATGATATATGAATTTTTCTAATTTCTAAAGGTAAATCAGGTATAAATTTAATTCAAGACATAGATTAGCATTACAGTCAATGGGAGATTTTTTACTGAATTTACCCCTATAGGAAAATATGCATTCTGTCACTGTACTTGTCCAAGGCCACACAATAATCACAAAACTTATTTCCTGTGTATATTAATGTAATGGAAGCATTTTGGAACCATTTGAAGTTGTTTTTTACACAAATTTCTATGTTTAACTCGGCTATCCAAGATGCACTGAGTGTACTGTGAGAGGAAGCATGGGGTATATGGTAAAAATCAGTTTTTGTGTCCAGATTGAAAGAAACAATAGAAATTACACTTGAGAGTTATGATATCAATGAAAGGCATAAATATTCCCCACATTTTACAACACATTTTGCACATATTTCTCCTCATTATGTGTAAAATCATATGGAAAATCAGAATTACCTCCCTTTGACAGTGTATTTTTTTTAGCTGTGTTTCACCATGTTAAGTTGTAGAACAAGTTGTAAATAAGCACTTTTCAAGTATTTTAACACTTGAATAATCTGACCGCATGAAGATATTCATTTATTTTTACATAACGCATTGCGTTTCTTTATTTAAAAAAAATTGTAGATAACTTTTATGATTACATGCCCATCATCTATGAAACTAGTGTTGAAATGTTTGTAATTGGATTACTATGTTAAATAACTGCTTTTAAATATTCTAAATTGTTACTTTAATCTTCCAAATGCAAAGTTTGGTCATACCCAGTCTTATTTTTTTATATTTGGCACTTTTTTCTACTTCAGTTTTGTCTGTCTAGTTTTGGCGAAGAAACCATCCTGATGTTGGGGTAACAGGAATTTCTGCAGAGTGATTGTCAATGACATTTTGTGAACTTTACAAGTAATTAAAACACAAATTTAGTAAAATGAAACATAATTGTTGGTTTTTTTTGTATGAAACTGCTTAAAAAAGCCTTTGAAAAGTGTTTTTGTGGTCTTTTCAGGGTATTTAATCAAAAACTTCCATATAAGGCAAAATTTAACTAAGAGTACATCAAGAATTTAGTTTCTAGATGTACTTGCAATACTGGTCAAAGCAAACACAGAAAACAATTCATATTTATTAAGCATAGTATTTTACACCATTCTTTTACAAACAGTCAATATGCAACTTTATATACCAAATATACATTGGCCGCAGTATGGGCTGTAGTATAAATTTTCCTCTATCTTTACAAGTTCAGCATTTATGAATGTTGTATTGAAACTGGAACTTTAAAATTGGATACATTACATGATTATTACAAAAAAAGAGGGAAAAGCTACTAAAAAGTCCCTTATAGGGGTAAATTCAGTAAATAAATATACGTCATCAGGGACCGCCCATTTGGGGGAGAGCTTTCTGTATAAAACTGAAGTCATGTGCTCTTCTGATTGGTAGATAATGTTTGTAATAAATATTTTTTGATAGATGGATAAAAACTAGAGTTGAAAAAAAAAAAAATAAATGCTGAATGTACTAAATTTTTTTACTACAGGGTTGAAAAGTAATGGGGGTCAGTGAAGGAATTAAGTGCGAATCTACAGTGTTTGTAAACAAGGCCATGTGAATGCCCAAAAATGCCGCATGACCCTATGTTTTTATTGTTGCAAATGATAGGGCTACATTTGTACTTTCATGAATGATATATGAATTTTTCTAATTTCTAAAGGTAAATCAGGTATAAATTTAATTCAAGACATAGATTAGCATTACAGTCAATGGGAGATTTTTTACTGAATTTACCCCTATAATGGTTTGTTGCGGAATGACGGAATGACGGAATGACGGACAAGGGTAAAACTATATGGCCCCAACAACTTTGTTGCGGGGCCATAAAAAAAACACTTTGTTTTTGTTCTTTAAAACTTTTTATAAATTTCTTTAATAGATAAATGAAAGCTTCTGACAGCAATTGCAATGCGATTTCCGTTAAAATTAATATTTCCAAGGGGCATAACTCGTTAAAAATATTTGATCAGCACTTTTTTCAAAAGTGTCAAAGACATTGCTGATATAAACATTTGATATAAATTTCATAAAAATCTGGCAAGAGTTGTACCCGTGAAAACGCTAACGAGGCCATTTTCCATAAATTTAATATTTCCAAGGGACATAACTCTTTTAAAAAAAGTCGATTGGCCACCATTATAAAACTTGTGCGAGATATTGCTGATATTAATCTATAGTGTAAGTTTTATAAAAATCTGGCAAGAATTATAACCGTGAGAGCGATAACAAGGCCATTTTCCATAAATTTTATATTTCCAAGGGCATAACTGTTTTAAAAAAAGTCGATCGACCACCATTATAAAAGTTGTCTGAGATATTGCTGATATTAACCCATTGTATAAGTTTTATAAAAATCTGGAATGAATTGTACCTGTGAGAGTGCTAACAAGACCTGACAGAGGGACACACGGACGCCCGGTATTTCTATGTCCCCCGCAAAAGCGTGCGCAGGGGACAAAAAACATTTCCTTTAATACTGTGGATTCCTTTATTTTAGTGTGTACCAATTTTAATGGATTAAAGAAAAATTGTTTTTTCTTTGATACTTGATTTCGTGGTTTTGCCAAAGTTTGCATACAAGCCTATAGAAAATGTGTAATTCCTTGAACTGTTAAATTTGCGGTTCACCTGTATCAAAGAATTCCACGAAAACTGGTATCCAACGAATAATAATGAATCCACGGTATTGTTTTACATTCTGTTGTTCCACAAACTTTTTTTTGGAAAAATGTTAATTATGATCGGAAATATTTTTTAAAACAAGAAGTATACATCATACCTTCATGGCCCCACTACTGATGCTTTTAACTAATGCCTTTACACCATCTTCTACTGCTGTTCGAAATGGAATCTTCGCTAAAATTAAAATTAATATTTAAACAGGCTTTATAGAAAATTACTTCTATAAAAAGACCATGGAAAACAATAAAGCAATGAATAAGGTCTATGACATTAAAAAATGATTTTGAGATTAATTATTGCAATTTTTGTTACTGCATATAATTTTGCTGACTTTTCTGCAATTTAATGATTTTCTGACTTGGTTGATATATTCATGTAAGAGAAAATCAAAGTTTGACAAATTGGTGACATTATATGTTCACATTCTTTTTTTACTCCTATGAAAGTCCTGCTTGCCAATATTTGGCAAAACCAAGAAATCAAATATCCATGAAAATACAATTTTCCCCAATCCACAAAAATTGGTACCCATGAAAACAAATGAATCCACAGTATTCAGTTTACAGTATCTTGTGACACTGGCAAAAACTCTAATTAAAAGATTTGCATATTGCCATGACAAAATAGATAAAATTTTCTGGGTAAGAAATGTTTCTCCTGCTTATTGCCATAAATATCTGAGCCAATTCATTTGACTGTTGCTATGGTTATATTCTCCTAAAATTCTGTTCTTATGAGTATATTTTCCTTAAATTCTGGTAGTCAAGGATCAGAAATGTTATCCTTAACTCTCATAACTAACAATTTCCTTGTTGTTAAGATGCAATTTACCTATAGACTTCTGGTTGGCAAGTATCTCATGATGTTACACTAAACTAATGATTTGCTTGTTCTTATGATCCAACATTTACCTAGACTTCTGCTAGTCAAGTATCTAAAATGTTACCCTTAACTTTCATAACTAATGATGTTTATAGTTGTTATGATGGTATTTACCTAGACTTCTGGTGGGCAAGTATCTCATGATGTTACCCAAAGCTCTGACAGCATTAGATTTGACCTTGTCATTGTCCTGACATGCATGGGTTGCCGTGGTAAACAGTTTCTGTAGCAACAAGTCAGAGAAATCTTCCATGAACTCTGTATCACCATCATCCCTGTAATAAAAAAAATACGGTGTTACATTTCATTTCTCATGATTGATTGATTGTTGCTGTTTGACACCACTTTCAACATACTAGGCTATATCATTGCAGCCTGTTTTTTATTGGTGGAGGAAGCAAAAGTACCTGGAAAGAACTGCTTACCTTTGGCAGGAAAACTGACAATTCTGGTCAATTAAGATAGAAGTCTAAAGCACATATGACCATGAGCAGTGTTCTAACTCATAATCTCAGTGTTTACTGTGGTCACTATAGATGAACTACTTAAGACTACTTGGTCACTGATGTTACTTTTTTATTTCTTATCTTTTTTTACTAATCAGCAACTTATAGCAAGCTTTCAGTACTGAGTTGAACTGGTCACTTCAATTTAAAATGTTATCAAGAGCTATTTAATGAGCTGATTGTTATTGAAAATGAAATTGCGCAAGCAGAATTAAGTTAACCTTAGGAAAGTTAAATGAATGAAGCTGTTTATTTGAAAATTTCAACAATTAAAGTTTTTTTTTAACAACTTAGGATAAGAAACAGGCATTTTAACAAAAGCTTTTTCAGAGCTTATGCAACTATCTGAGCATAAATGTACTCCTACATAAATATAGTAGACTGGCAATAGAATAAAGCTTTTTGTTTGCAAGGGCCTTTGGTGGCTGGAATTTAATGTAGGCCTTTGGTGGCTAGAATTTAATGTAGTCCTTTGCTTGCTGTTGAATGTCATACAGGGACAATGGATAATTGTCTAATTGACAGTCATATCTCATCTGCATATTTTCATACCTAAAATTTTCATTTGCTTTTATGACAACTCATAGACACTGCAACCGAACTAATCTTGCTAATAATTGAGAATTCACTTTTCAGAAATTCAGAATTCAGAAACTAAAGGACCATGATAGGGTGAATTGAGTTGAGACACAGAAAATAAGCAACCATTTTCATGATTTCTTTCACTAAGTTTTGCAATCACTGTAACTCATTTGTTTTTTCGTAGACCATCAATAAACAAAGTAAAAATTCTTTATTAAATGGATATTGTAATAACAGTTTAGTTTCTAACTTACTTGTTCAATACAAGAGCATCACATAAATTAGCCAGTGACCATGCTGTCTTGAGACGGACATTCAAACTACTGTCAGCCATGCAGGTCAGAATAGCATTAGCAGCATCAGCAACAAAGTTTACATCCTATGGAATATAATGTAGAGGTCAAATTACTAATGTGTATAAAATAAACGAGATATAGGCTGGAATTAGTTTTACTCAATTAGTTGTAAACATTGCCTTAATTCAAGCAAATGAAAAATTAATGATAAAAATTAGACATCTAAAACAAGAGTTTATCCATAAAATTTCTTGAGTGCTGCAATCTTTGAATCTTTTTGAAGGTCAATTAACTCAAGATAAATGGAACTTCTAACAAGGAATCCACATAAAAATTAGTTAACCTATCATATATAATTTCTTTAAAAAAGACCCCAATAAAAAAAACTTATTTATCGACAGACATATTCCAAATATTGTTGACCTGTCATGAGATCCTGAATGGTCAGGCAGATTAATACACACAAAGAGCTTAAGTAAATAAACATAAATTACCCAATCACTAGTGGGGGTAGGGGTTGGAATAACTGAGAAACCAAACATTTTATTTTCTGGCCTAATCCTGTTAATATGTAATCATTTAACGTCATGCAAAATAAGCAGCAATGGTTCTATAAACAAACCTCTCTAAGACAGGTATACAGTACATATACTCCAAGTGTCCTCACAGCAGAGGATCTCACAACTCTATCTTCATCAGAAGTTAAACCTAAGATCAAAGTTATACATAATATCCTTTTATCCATCTGAAAATAAACATTAGTATTCTAAAATATAAATAAAATTTGAAAATACATGAATCAAACTGCTTTCTGTTGTCTTAAAATTTTATAATCGATGTTACAGGCAGGGCTTCCAAAATTATTTTTAGCCAGCCGGACATTTTATATATTATCCCGATTTTATTCCCTTAAGACTAAATAAACAAAAGGCAATAATTTATGGTAATCAGTTGCCGAGTTGGCCATCCAAATGATTGACATTAAAAAAAAAAACGATATTAAACTTTCTTTGATTCAAATTCGAAGTTCTGACGTTAACTGTTAAATTGGCATTGCATCATTCGAAGTGTGCAACATCAGCGTACTTATATCTGCCTTAGACTCTTTATTTGTGCAAAATAACGTTGTCAAAAACTTTACTTTCGTTTTTAAATCTAATAACGGATGTTATCTTGACAATGGTAAAACATGGACCAGAGACGGATAGGTAAATTCTGTGTACGTTTGCAAAGCATGAATGAGTGTAAGTAGATCTTTCTACGTTATTTCTTCAAGAAAATATTCGAAATAAACGTGAGATAAAGGTATCAATGACAATTTAAGCATTTTTTGAAGAAATTAGGATGCATAATTAAATTTCACACCTGCGCACATGCGCACACGTGTACTAGTTCAAACAGAGACTGTCTCTGGTTCAAACAACGTGGTTATGACGATTTTTCATTTTCACCTTTTTAATTTTTTCATCAAATTATATTTGTAAACATATTTCTGATAATTTAAATCTTTTTGACTAAATTAATTAGATGCAAACCACTGAAATGTAAGAAAATAACTTTGAATAGACCGATCAATGTCCGGTTCAAAATAGTTTACCTGTCACCTGAACAGGTAAATTTCAGCTGTTCGACAACTAATTAGCCTTGATTAAAATGAGAAGGTATTAAAGTAGGGGTTGTTTTGATAGTACTTAATGATCATGTCACTTTTATGACCAGAAATGTGTGGCTGTTAAAGGCAAAAAGTTGGGTCAAAAAGATCGCGAATTATGTTAAAATGACCGTCTCTTAAGAAAGCCTTGAAAACTAAAAAGTAGATGACCGTTTCATGCTTTGCCCAGTCGGACTTTTACCGGACATTATACAAATGTCCGGAATATATGACCGTTTTGGAAGCCTTGGTTACAGGCCCAGTTGGTTGATTGAGCTAAGGATCTTGAGTCATGGTCTACAGCTGTTTCAACTAGTAATTATGATCTGCTGTTTTATTGGCTTTTTTTTTAAAAACAAACACACAGTCAGATATTACAAGTCATTTTAATTTCATAAATCAAAAGTAAAAAGTAAGATGACCAGTTTGGTCAACTTTATATTTTGTAAAGTAGCCTCCACATTGACATTTACCTGGCATTTTATTTTAACTGTATGTCTCTTTGTATATTTCGCAACCAAACTTGAACTTTTTGGATTATTGCTATATAACAACTTACAGATATAATATTAAATACATCAGCTCCTATGTTAGACAGACAATCACATGTAACAGCTTTTACTGGATTGTGTGCTTCTCTCTGTAGAATCTTAGGAATAGGACCATTTAATATGTAGTCCCAGAACTGGTGCACCTAAAAGAGATGATAATATTATATTTTAATAAGGATATATTGTTGTATGCTTTATTCATAATCAAGACAAAAATTAATATTGCATAGACTGCTGCAGAATGATTTATCCTTCCATAATTGTAAATGATTTCAAACAAAAATGGCCCAATGAAGCTGGAAGCAACTTTTTGATGTGTAAAGTATGAAAATTTCTTTCAGATTTTCTATAAGATAGTTTGTGAATATGGTTCCCTTTTGATATATCTTTTATATTCTTTAACAAAATATATATCTCTGTACTGGAAATGCTAAAAAATATACCTCTGTTGAAGAAAGCCTTTGAGCTCCATCTGATTGATCAAGTGCCTGAATGTCTTTCTGCAAAGCTTGGGTTAACTCATCTAACAACTGAAGATATAGCAATAAAAATACATATAACCATTTATTAAAGCTGTTATCCTTATGCAAAATTAAAAGGTTTGGTTGGCTTGCTTGCTTTGTTTGTATAAATGTTTGCTCAAGCATTGTAATTAAGATTGACATCTGCTATCTATAGATAGGCTGGGCTTCAGCTTGTATACATTATTGATACTTAAACGTTATTGGGTGTTATGTATAATGTAGACAAGTTGATTTTCTGCCTATCTATTGATAGCAGATGTCAATCTTAATTACAATGATTGAGCAAGCATTTATACAAACAAAGCAAGCAAGCAAGCCAACCAAACCTTTAAATTGCTAGCATTAGGATAACAGCTTTAATATATTCAAATTGACTGCAAAACAACAATTCAAATACATGAAGCAAGTACTTGAATAATTCTAATTAATCGTTAAAGCTTACATGAACTTGAGTTACTATACAGTATTGGTTTTGCTCATTGTTGGAGGCCGTACCTTGACCTATAGTTGCTTACATCCACATCATTTGGTCTCTGGTGGATAGTTGTCTCATTGGCAAGCATACCATATCTCCTTAATTTCATATTGACTGTAATTTTTTTTTCAACCTATTTTTTTGCTTTTCTTACATTCTTTATGACTAAAATCAACTCAACATTATAACAAATTACCCCTCTATCTATTGGAACACAAAAAACACTACAGCAAAACATTTATGGAGTAAACAAACTTATATAAACCATTGCAGATAAAGTTTGGACTGTTATATGATTCCTAGATTATTTGCAGACCAGGTTTTATAACTTCCATTTTTTACACAAATAAATATTTTTCATGCTGTAACTATCAGGAATCATTATATATATAAATTCATCTATTGTTACAGCCACTAAAGGCTGAGCAAGCAACAATCAATAAATCTATTGTTACAGCATATTCATTACATACGGTTTTTGTACTATATAGAACATTAACCTTTTATGTCATTTATCAATAATGTTTACAACAGATTTCCTGTCTATATGATACAGTTGAAGTTACCTTAGATGTATGAAGCCTGATCACACCATCACTGTCCTCAAAACATTTACATGTCAGATCTCTTAATATTGGTAAACTATTCCTGTAAAAGCAGAGAATCTGTTTAATTTTAATTCATTTATATGCTTCAGAGTTTAATGTGCATCCATTTCACTGAACTAGTCTACATTATTGTTTAGGGGCCAGCTGAAGCACACCTCCAGAAGTGGGATATTCTAGCTGCATTGAAGACCCATTGGTGGCCTTGGGCTGTTTTCTGCTCTTTGGTCAGGTTGTTGTCTCTTTGACACATTCCCCATTTCCATTCTCAATTCTAATTATATTTGTCAAATGTGTAGTTTGGTGTTGATGGCAGTCATAATTATTTAAGAATAATGGCCATTTAGAGATTGAGTTATATTGTATAGACACCTGCCTACTGTTGGGAACAGTCTTCTAGATGTCTTTCAATTGTTTGTGACATGTACCTGCTGTCTCATTGGCATACACACAACATCTCATAGTCTTCAATTTGATGAAGGGGATTACCATATGGTAGAATCTTCCTTTTATTCATATTTGGAAATTTACTTAAAATGAATACATATCTGTACTATTATTATTACTACTATCATGAAGACAAAAATCAATTTAATCTAGGTATAAAGTGTAGTAGATTACTTTTTTCATTAACTATTAACTACATATTAAGAAATATACACTAATATATTTATCTGAATTCAAATAAAACAAACCTTATGATAGGAAAATATCCTTTAGTAAGATGAGCCAAAACTTGTAATGACTCTAGCCTAACAGGGAGTGGTTCTGTGAAGTACTCCCCATTCTCACCGAACCCTCTTGGCTGTGGTGTTATATTTCTAACACACAGTTTAATCAGCCATGAGGTCTGTGAAGCTTGGGTCTGTAACATTTGATCTGTGTACACAGGAGTCTGGATACCAGATATACCAGCAGGTGGAGTAGTCAAACCAGGTGATACATTTCCAGCTTCAAGATTTCCTGATTCTGGTGATTGGTTGCTATTAAAACCAGAATCGACAGGATCATTTGTTTTGACTGCCGTAACTGGGTTTGGTAAGTCTTTAGTAGAGCTTGACAGAGACAGAGATGTTGTTCTGGACGGTTGTATGATGTGGCACACCTCCATTAATGGTGGCTGGATAGCAGAAACAGCACCAAAACATGTTAAACATGCCACTCTCACATTAGGGTCTGCAAGTATAAAATAATATTTCTTTATCAATGTCAACTGTGTGCAGTTTTATTTTTATAGCAAAAAGCTTATAACATGATGTTTATGGTTATTCCTACTGTTTTTTAGATAAAGTTATTTTCGTGGAAAGTATTGTGGACGGTCAGATATTGTATGAATATCATGTACATGTATTTCATTTACAAGGATATTGTTAAGTCATATTTTTAAAGTCATGCTCTACTAAATTACAAATAAAAACTTCTTTTAGTCTAACATTTTCTAACCAGGTAACTTATAGTTGTAATTTAAAATGTATTGCACTTGATTATGTATGCAAAAATATGACAGTTTATCAAATTACCGTTTTCAAATTTTTGCAAATCAGGTAAGACATCTTTGTTTTTATGGTTTTATAAATTCCAGTTGCAATAAATAAGGATAATATTACCGGAGGACTTCTTTTTTTAAGAGAGTTTCAATTCAACCGCCAGAAAGAGTATATGTACGGGAAGTGAATTTAATGTCAAACACAAAAATGATGTTTCTGTTCTCAACATGTGTAGGTAGAGCTTTAATTCTTAAGAGTAAATAACCTTAGGTTAGTCAGTTAGAACTACAACTGTATATTTCCTTCATGGTGGAAAGCTTGCAAAAGTGAAATATTAAAAATAAATAAAATGCTCCGCTGGGCGCAGCTTGATATGACCGCAGAGGTCGAACCCTGAACAGTTGGGGCAAGTATGGACACAACATTCAAGCTTGATACAGCACTGAATTTGGATTGTGATTAAATATTTGACACAGCATAGGTTTCTGAAACAGATTGAATGTGGTCTAAGAACTTAAAATTTTTTAATTTACCTATTCAAACCATATCATTATTATTTGCTTTTATATATAAATCAGAAATAACCAATTTAAAATGGAAATTTTAAAGAAAAAAAAGGAAAAAAAAATCCCCCCCCCAAATTTTTTGAACCCCCTTATGATTCATCACCCCCAAACTCAATCCCAGCCTTCCCTTTGTGGTATGGTACCTTGCAGTACAATTTCAGAGAGATCCATACACTTGAACACAAGTTATTGTCTGGAAACTAAAAAAAAATGCTTGTTTTTTTGCCCCCAATTCCTAAATGTTTAGGGCAATTACCCCCAAACTCAAACCCAGCTTTCCCTTTGTGATATGGAACCTGGTAGTACAATTTCATATAGATCCATACACTTACACACAAGTTATTGTCCTGAAACTAGAAAAATGCTTGATTTTTGCCCCTTTTTGGCCTCTAATTCCTAAACTTTTGAGGCAATTACCCCCAAGATCAATCCCAGCCTTCCCTTTGTGATATGGTACCTTGCAGTACAATTTCAGAGAGATCCATACACTTACACACAAGTTATTGTCTGGAAACTAGAAAAATGCTTGATTTTTGCCCCTTTTTGGCCTCTAATTCCTAAACTTTTGAGGCAATTACCCCCAAGATCAATCCCAGCCTTCCCTTTGTGATATGGTACCTTGCAGTACAATTTCAGAGAGATCCATACACTTGAACACTAGTTATTGTCTGGAAACTAGAAAAATGCTTGATTTTTGCCCCTTTTTGGCCTCTAATTCCTAAACTTTTGAGGCAATTACCCCCAAGATCAATCCCAGCCTTCCCTTTGTGGTATGGTACCTTGCAGTACAATTTCAGAGAGATCCATACACTTGAACACAAGTTATTGTCTGGAAACTAAAAAAAATGCTTGTTTTTTTGCCCCTTTTTTGCCCCCAATTCCTAAATGTTTAGGGCAATTACCCCCAAACTCAAACCCAGCTTTCCCTTTGTGATATGGAACCTTGTAGTACAATTTCGTATAGATCCATACACTTACACACAAGTTATTGTCCTGAAACTAGAAAAATGCTTGATTTTTGCCCCTTTTTGGCCTCTAATTCCTAAACTTTTGAGGCAATTACCCCCAAGATCAATCCCAGCCTTCCCTTTGTGATATGGTACCTTGCAGTACAATTTCAGAGAGATCCATACACTTACACACAAGTTATTGTCTGGAAACTAGAAAAATGCTTGATTTTTGCCCCTTTTTGGCCTCTAATTCCTAAACTTTTGAGGCAATTACCCCCAAGATCAATCCCAGCCTTCCCTTTGTGATATGGTACCTTGCAGTACAATTTCAGAGAGATCCATACACTTGAACACTAGTTATTGTCTGGAAACTAGAAAAATGCTTGATTTTTGCCCCTTTTTGGCCTCTAATTCCTAAACTTTTGAGGCAATTACCCCCAAGATCAATCCCAGCCTTCCCTTTGTGGTATGGTACCTTGCAGTACAATTTCAGAGAGATCCATACACTTGAACACAAGTTATTGTCTGGAAACTAAAAAAAATGCTTGTTTTTTTGCCCCTTTTTTGCCCCCAATTCCTAAATGTTTAGGGCAATTACCCCCAAACTCAAACCCAGCTTTCCCTTTGTGATATGGAACCTTGTAGTACAATTTCGTATAGATCCATACACTTACACACAAGTTATTGTCCTGAAACTAGAAAAATGCTTGATTTTTGCCCCTTTTTGGCCTCTAATTCCTAAACTTTTGAGGCAATTACCCCCAAGATCAATCCCAGCCTTCCCTTTGTGATATGGTACCTTGCAGTACAATTTCAGAGAGATCCATACACTTACACACTGGTTATTGTCTGGAAACTAGAAAAATGCTTGATTTTTGCCCCTTTTTGGCCTCTAATTCCTAAACTTTTGAGGCAATTACCCCCAAGATCAATCCCAGCCTTCCCTTTGTGTTATGGTACCTTGCAGTACAATTTCAGAGAGATCCATACACTTGAACACTAGTTATTGTCTGGAAACTAGAAAAATGCTTATTTTTGGCCCCTTTTTGGCCCCTTATTCCTAAACTGTTGGTACCGTAATCCCCAAAATCAATCCAAACCTTCCTTTTGTGGTATTGAACCTTATGGTAAAATTTCATAGTGATCCATTCACTTAAACTAAAGTTAGAGTGCAAAAACCAATGTGTCTTCGGACGACGACGTCGACAATTTTTTTGCGGTCGTATAAACTGGACATGAAAGACTGTCCTAGATGAATGGGGTCAATGTCAGCATGGCATCATGAAGAAAGAATAGTTATTATAAGCAATTATCAACCAAACTAACTTGAAATTGAAAGTTGAATGAAACATTTTTGAATCCTACATCTGATGAAATATAATGTATGACATGTGTCAGAGTAACATGCCAAGCTTATCTTAAATAACAACACTTGGTTCATTATATGCAATACTTCTACATTAAACTGACCTCTATGACCCAGAAAATTCCTAACTTGTTTAATAACTCTAGACAGCAGTCCTGGTCTCATTTTCTGGTAGGGTACATTGGAGATAAGGGTAGATAGACACTGCAAAAAATTGTACATGAATTGTTACAAAATATAATGTATCATTCACTTATAATCAGTAACAATAAAAATTTGTAAGGGTTCTGCGGAACCCAGTGTCTCGCCTACTTTTGCTGTTAGTCGCAGGCTCAACAAAAATGGGGAAATTTTTTTTTTAAATTTTCCTCTAGATACTATCTTTTGATTGTAAGAAGCTTCTGTCCAAGTTTGGTAAAAATCCAGGATGGTTTATGAATCTAATAAATGTTTTAAAAACTTTAACTGCAGACTGTATGTAATGTTAACTGGAAGAATAAATTGCTTCGCTGAGCGTAGCTGGATACGACAGCAGAGGTCCAACCCTGAACAGTTGTGGCAAAAATGGACACAATATTCGCGCTTGATACAGGTCTGAATTTGGATTGTAATTAAATATCTGACACAAATTTTTTGGTATTTTCCTTCCATGTACAAATATGTTTTAACAACAAGTTCATTGATATAACTTTCGTCAATAAATAATCTTGACAAACATAATGTTTGAATCTATCGACGTCAGTGATCAATATTGATTCACAGTTGAAAGGCGCAATGATAAACATCGCAAATCCTGTTTCATGCCATCCATTTCGAACATCGTCTGGGGAATCCCCGTGGTTCCCGCTTTAAAAGTCTTCTTTTCGCAGTTTTGCTAGAATGTTTCTATCTCTATCTATTATATCTTCTGTTCTCGTCCAAATCATTTAAATTGGCTGCCGCTGTTACATCTTTATCATTGAAATACTTCTGAACGTGTTGGCCATCACTCCAAACAATTTCCGCCATTTTGTTACTTTTTTCATCTAAATTTTTCACTTTCGGTTTCATTACTTATACCTGATTTAAAGTCAAGAGAAACTCGAAAGTACGCCAAATTTTAACCAATCAGAATCCATACAAGTCTAAACTGCCGCAATCTCATAAATATTGACTCCGCCCATTCAATGGTAACTGTGTAAACAAATGAGATACGGAAACGACAATAGTCGCGCGTAGCAGTAGCGGACTGCTTTATCGGAACGACAATTGTCGCGCGTAGCAGTCTAAGGGTTAAAGCAAATAAGTTCAAAGGGGCGCAACTCCTAGAAAAAAAATTGAATCGTAATTTCCTGTCGATATGCACATCTACATAGTATGTCCTTATTATCTACAAAGTTTCATGAAATTCTGTGGTGTGGTTTCAGAGGAGTTGCGATGACAAACTGTTGCAGTAGTACATTGAAGCAAATAAGTTCAAAGGGGCGTAACTCCTAGAAAAAAAATTGAATCGTAATATCCTGTCGATATGCACATCTACATAGTATGTCCTTATTATCTACAAAGTTTCATTAAATTCTGTGGTGTGGTTTCAGAGGAGTTGCGATGACAAAAGGTTGCAGTAGTATATTGGGCAAATAAGTTCAAAGGGGCGTAACTCCTGGGAAAAAGATTGATTCGTAAATTCCTGTCGATATGCACATCTACATAGTATGTCCTTATTATCTGAAAAGGTTTCATGAAATTCTGTTGTGTGGTTTGAGAGAAGTTGCGATGACAAGAAACAGGACTGACGGACTGACGGACGGACAGACGGACTGACAGACGGACAAAAACATTATACCCTTCGCAAAAAATTTGCATGGGGTATAATTATAACACTGGGGCATGTGGTACTGTAAGATTAAATAGGAGAGAGCTTCCAAAAGATATCATGAGGAAAAACCTGGACGGTGTAACTATTCCTGGGGACATGCAGTTCAGACAGAAGGATGCATTAGCTGCTGTTGTATGGAAGGACAAAAAAAATGTAAACTTAATTTCAAGTATACATGACTTCTCTGTTGGTGCAGTGCAGAGAAATTTGCAGCAAGCAGATGGTCTTTTCCAAAGACAAGAGATACCATGTCCTCATATGATCTGTGATTACACACAGTACATCGGTGGGGTTGATAGGGCTGACCAGTACATACAGTACTATGTATTTCAACACAAAACCTTGAAATGGCCTAAAAGAATTTTCTTCACGATGTTAGAAATGCTGAAATTTAGTGCTTTCAGTCTTTTTCTGCTCTCTCCTCATCATCAACCAGGACCTGGTAAGAGACCGATAACCTTTCTGCAGTTTTCTAAGGCACTAGCAGCCGGACTAATAGGTGGATTCCTTTTCTTATAGCTATAACTACACCATATCTCAGAACATGTAGGGTACGACTTAACCCAAAAATATTTTCACGAAAATCGATCCCAAATAGCGGTAATTGTTGTTTGAAGTTTCGAGACGAATTTTCTTCGAGCACATGTCAAATAATTCCGCTCACAAAATCGCTCATGCTAAAAAATCTCCAGCTATACGAACGCGCAAAAAAATACAATTCCGTACTGACAGTGATAAAAACTAAGTCCATTTATAAGTAAGATACGGAAAAACAGGAAATAAATTTTTACAAAATTTCCTTCTAGATACTAGCTTTTTTTATCATAAACAAACTTCTGTCCAAGTTTGGTACAAATCCAGGATAGTTTAAGAAAGTTATCAACAATTATTTCTGAACACAAGTCAAACTTACTTTAATGAGCTGTGTAAGTGTTAACGGAAAGTTTTCTGATACCAAAGCCAGTAACAAGCAACGATGAAGTTCATGTACAGTTGATCCTAACACAGTGGAAAATGCAGTAAAGGCAGTTCGTACTTGGTCACTGAAATGTAATATCATATTATATACTAACTACACAATTTTTAATCAAAAAAGGTATATGATGAATGTAAAAATTGTTTCAATTTTTTTTCATCATAAGATGTAACAAAGCAATGGATTATATGACAAGAAAGGTTTGTGTTTTCAATTATACTGCAAATCGTTTAAATTAAAACAAACACAAAAATTGAAAATCTAAATTTCATTTCTAAAACTGATTCTATATTATAGAAATTAATTACTTCATACTTAACCATATTGAAAACACTAATTATTTATTGATCCACTATTATTTATCTGAAAAGTATCACCTGTCATCAGCAGCAGCCAAAAATGTCTTGGTTCCATCTAACAAAGCTGTCAATGTTGCAAGAGCTCCCATGCGACACTGAAAAAAATATACAGAAGTTTACGCAAAAAAACAAAAACAAACTTAAATATCTTTTTACTTCTATAGATTGATTATTATATGTGTGTAAAGGCGAACCACTATAAATCTAATAGTTGAACAGTCGAAATTTCCTACAGACTAGTATTCAGAATTTGTCAAAACCATGAAATCAAGAAGCATCAACGAATATATAATTTTCCTGTGAGGCAAATAGTTGAAACTTCAGTAATATTGTATTATAATACAAATTTATATTTACTGGTCGCTGATGTTGTTTATGTTTTTCTATTCTATTAAAATCGACATTATATTTAACTTCCAATTATACAACCATATTCTAGATAATGAGGTCAATCTCTGATAGGCAAGGCAGAAAGTGTGAAGGACTGTTATATTCTAAACATTACTATCATAACCATGGAAACAACCTTTGGGTCAGGGTCTTTCAGGATTATGGAAAATAGTCTCATTTGTGAAATGTAACCATAGTAACATACCTTGGGTGATGGGTCTTTCAGAATTATGGTAAACAATGTCTGTATTTGTGAACTGTTACCAGAAGTTACAGAGTCAGGAATAAAAGAGGACCAGTATCCAAACATTACTTTCTTGTCTGTATTCTGTAAAATGATATCAAATTCTATGTTAAAAACTATTTACTACAAAAATTAGTTCTGTAAAAACAAAGCACACCTAATTTTAACATTAAAGAACTATATTCAATTAACTTCAATGCAGCTATTTAACAAGTTTAAAATACAAGAAGATTCAAAGACAACAACACTAAGACTATCGCTAAGTTGCGGTATCTTTAATTGTGTAGACTAGTTTTGCCAAGGGGGTGGCGTCATCAGGACAATCACATATATGTAATGTTATAAATTATCAAAAAATAAAAACCAATAAAAATTCACAAAAAGAGGAGACAGTGAAGAAGATGAGCCAAACCAAGAAATCATATATGAAGCCACAGAATGGGAATCTGCCAAGAAACTTTCAAAATATTCTTATTATGTAGGACTTGAAATGTACGAATATTTACCAGGAGAACACCCAAACAAGGATAAATACAGCAAATGCAACTACATGATGCAATGCTACAAAACTGCTAAATATAGACAATAACTATACAATTTATCTACAATGTTATTTTCATATTTTTATGTTCAATTTTATCTCTATTGTATAGCATTTTATTAATTTCTTTACATTTCATATTCATTGCAATTCAGTCCCGGTCACAGGACGTTCAGGTTTTTATACTGTTATCTACCATTTCCGGTCATCCGTGAAGTAAACCACAGTTGTTGTACTTAGGTAATTTATAATATTATGTAATTGTCCTGATGACACAACCCTTGTGGCGAAACTAGTTGACATAATAAAAGATACCGCAACTTAGTGATAGCCTTAGTGTTGTTGGCTTTAAATCTTCTTGTATACTAACTATGCAATAGACAACAGCCACATACTGCTAGGTATCCACTTTAGTTATCCTACCATACTTCCACCATAGATAGATGTTGGTTCACTTTTACCTTTCTTATGTTTAAAAATAGTTTATAGATAAAGTGGGAAAATTTTAGCTGCATCATATGTTCAATAACCAAAATGATTTTTTCTTAATGATAATGTACTTACTTTTATGACTGTGTGTAGACATGCTAAAGCACATTGTCTGACTTTAGCACATGTTGATCTATATCTTGAACTTTGACCTCCTTCTGTGTCAGAGTAATCAGATTCTGAACTACTTATTTTGGCCCAAGCAGGTCTGAATACTGCCTGTTCACTTCGAACTTGTCCTTCAACTAACAATCCATTCATTGCCTGTGATAAGTTTGTGTCATCTTGACCTTGTCCTTGATCTGGTTGACCTTGTTGACCTCCATCTTGCTCTTTACCCTTTTTTGGTTTCCTTTTCTTTGTTTTTTTGTTGCCTTGACTTTTGACATTATCTTCAGTTTGTGACTTCTGTGGTGATGTTGGAGTCTTATCTGTACTAGAAGAGTCCACATTACTAAGAGGGGTTGGGTGCAGTGTTTCAGGTACCATAACTGGTATGTTAGAAATTCCATGAAACATTGATGTCTAAAACATAACAGAGATATAATATTTCAGAGACTGTTTTTGCATTTTTTAAATCAAATAAAGGTAGTTTAAACATTTAATTGGCATTATAAAAATTAACAGATATAAAGTACTCTAAAAAACAAAAGATAGTCAAACATTTCAAAGATAATCAAATACTAGCATTGTTGTTTCCCTGCATTGATTTTAATTTAGTATGCATACAACTGGTAATAGTTTATTCAAATGCTAAAATGACTTGAAACTGTGTATTAAAAATTATATTTGATATTGTAATGAATATCATTTTCAATTCAATATATAAAATCAAATCCTGTGTATGCATGGAACAAGTGACAAAGAAAGTCATATTCTGTGCTAAATATATCTGAGCAGAAAAAAAATTAATTTGCACAGGTTTTAAGAATACAATACTAGTCAAATTGTAATACAAACAATACTTTTAAATATTGAAGTAGGTCTAGAAACTCATTCAATCTTTTTTTGTACAAGCGTTGAAAAAAGGAACTAAAATTAATATTTATCACAAAATAAACTTCTAATAAAGCAAATCAGCTGGGGAAGCTGTATTCCTTACCCTTACTCCAGCCAATAGCGGTCCAAGTTGTTCGGAAGGCATTATTTTAGTGGCAGCCAGTAAATTCTGTAATCCTCTCAAAGTACAAATCATAACCTGAAAACGATTCAACAAAATGTAGAAACTGATGGCTCTATGGATATCGTTTATACAACAATAATAATAAGTATGGCAATGGCAAAATTTGGTCAGATATACATGTTACATCATAGAAACTGACAAAAGAATAAATCTAAGTAGTTTCCTGAAACTTTGTTTTTGAATTTCATCCCTAACAGACATAGGTTAATTTCAATGTGTTCATCAATTCATATTTTTACAATATGTGTTATTCAATCATTTATGTGGTATTCTTAAATGAAGGTTGGGAACTTTTCAATTACTTAAGCAAAAACTCAGGAATTAATTGTAAGAGTTTGTTTCTATAGATATGCAGATACACTGCTAATAATGCAACTCAATTCACGAATCTATTTCTTAATAATTATTTTTTGAAGATTTATAGAACCAAAACAGACTATAATGACATACTTATCAGCCCCATGATTTTCCAAGTTCATAAATTATGCATTCATCAAAACTGACATAAATATATAAAAATTTTAACCTTGCATTGAATCATTGATTCTAATCTAGTAGTTGGAATCTTGTGCAACAATTTCATGAAAATGTCAAAACATAAACTAGCATATCTATCTTCCATGTAGGTCTGGCCTGATACTCTGAAAAATAAAGTGTTGATCTGTCACTTTTCACTTAATTAACAATATAAAAAGTAAATTCCTTTACTACTTCATCACTTCAAAGACAATTTGTTGGTGTAATGCTTCTTCTCTTCTGGTTTATTCATTAGGAAAATAGTGTCATCATAACAGTGATCTACAGTTAAATTACAGTCATACTGAAATTGATAGCTAATATTCTAGATTGCAAAGGTAAAGTCAAATTAAAAACTATGATAGCATGGCATCAAACATCCTCTCACTGGGTTTGATGGCATAAACCTAATTCTGATCAAATCTATATTCTAGTTACTGTGGGTTCATTTTATTTTTCATGCTGTACTTATTTTTGTGGATTAAAAGTGAAACACAAATATAAATAGTCAACAAAATACAAGTTTTATGCAATTTGTTCAAACTATCAAATCAAGTATATATATGGAAATATAATTTTCCTTAAGGATGTTCGCTACTCTGTTTCAAAATAAGCTTTTTAAAAGACTGTTATAAATCGATAGTATATAAATAAAGGAACTAAAAAAGGAGATAAAAATGAAAGGTCCATGTGCTTGTTTTCGAGATATAAGCCATTGAAAATTTGGCGGAAAATGATTATCTCTAGATTTTTCATATGTTTAACATTGGTACCTTTTTTCTGTCTATACGTATGAAATAATAACAAGGATTTAATAAGATTTTCAAAGATGGCATTTTAAACTATATCTAATCAAATTATGAAAAGAAAAGTAGGGGTTAGTGGGCAAAAATTGTTAATGGCACTACATGGATAAAACCAGAGGATTCTGAATATCTGACAAAAATTCAAAAACAAGAGGAGCGAACAACCTTAATCCATGAAGATTGGTAACCATAAAAATAAATGAATCCACAGTATCCATAAATTATAGAAAATATAGACTACAGGTAAAACTAGGCCTAATAATAATTTTCTTACTTAATTGTCAGGTTCTCTAAAGTCTGTACAGCTTGTCTTAAGACTTCCTCCTCTGTGGCTCCTCCTTCTATCAGAGGTATTAGTATTCCTCTTCTACTCAATAGAATATCATGGAACTGTAAAATAAAGTTACAATTGTCACTGATTGTGTTGAATTGCCAATTTTATGTATGCCTATCCCAAGTTTGGAGCCTGTGGTTGTTGTTGGTTGATGTCTGTCACTTTTTTTTTTTGCGTTTATTGTTTTGTCATATATCAGCCTGTTGGGGTTTTTTTTAGGTTTTTTTTCATATTTTGCAGTGGCGGATCAAAGGGAGGGCTGGATTTCCGGGAGTTGGAACCCCCCCTTTTTTTTGACGATCAATGCTTTTGAAATGGGACATATGGTTGGAACCCCCCTTTATCCTGGGTTGGAACCCCCCTTTTAAAAATGGCTGGATCCACCCCTGTTTTGTCATGTTGGGTTTTGCTCACTAGTTTATATATAAGTATGAAAAATTTTGTGTCTGCAGGGTGAGAAGAATGTTTTCATTTCTTCTCTAGACAAGATGTTAAAATGCCTGAAATACATATCTAAATCTTATCTTTTGCTAGTCATGTAAGTGGTTATAATAATCCCTTTTCTTTAAGCAACATCATACTTAATGATACTTATTGATGTTTTCCGGTACAGGATCCTCACCGTACTTCTTCACCATACTCATATATTATGTTTTTATCTCTATTATTTCTGTTGCTGCTTCCGGTTAATTCAGCTCGATAATCAGAATAATAGATTTCTTCGTATTCCCAGTGTTTATCCAGTCTATTTTTAAAAGCGTTTATAGATTGAGTTTTTACATTTTTATAACTTTATCTGGTAGCTTATTCCATATTTTGGCGATTCTTACTGCAAAGCTATTTTTCCTCAGACTAGTTTTAAATCTTTGGTGAATGACAGTTTGGCACTAGCAAGTACAAAGATTCATACATGTACCATTAAATAGCCAGTAAAAAATGTTCCCTCATGGAGATTTTTTATAACATTATAAAATATCTGACAATTTTCGAAACCTGACAAAACTATTCAAACATGTTAAAGAATTCATTTCAATAAAAATAATGACAGGAGATAATTGTAGTTTTTATTTTTAACATGATAAAATCCACATTTATTCTGACCTTTGTTAAGAGTCCAACATTTTCATAAACCACAGCACCTAAAGCCTGTAAAATCATGGGTAGTGCCCATGGCTGACATCTCTGTGCTCCTCCAACCAAATACTCTGTTACAGCTAAAAGTGTAGATTCTGTCAGGTTTAACTAGTAATAAAAGAAAAGTACTCTGTGAAATTCATCTATGTCAATGTAGGAAATGCTTTAACTACGGTAGATTTACTTACTGATCAGAAGAAGATTATAGAAACTCAAAGGAGCCTATATAATCACATGCTTTCTCAGTATTAAAGAAAAAAACCCAGATTTTTTACAGCAACAAACACAAGGTCAATATTGGCAAAATTAAGTTCAAATAAATCCAACATCTGCATAAAAATTTAAAGGGATTTCTAATTATTTTCCTATATTTCCTACACTCCTAAATCATTAACCTGTTTCAACGACAATTGGCTCCAGCAGATTATGTTAATGCATATTACAGTTCATCATGTTTTGTTCATATGTGCATATATAATGGTTGTCTCTTTGAATCTTATTGATACCTGTGGTACACGTAATCTTCATTTTACCTTAAAATAAATACAAATGTACAAAATTAACCGATATGACAATTTACTGCAAATCTTGGAAATTGACAGTTGTATCTTACTTGTTGTCTTGCAGTGAAGTTAAATATTGTCTGACACACTTTGACTAGGAGCCTTTCATCATGCAGAGGTATCAGTCTACAAAGTTTATACTGGATCAATGCATTGGCTTCCTGAAATAACAATAAAATCAAGTAGCCACTCAAATCTCCAAAACATGGCATAATAAGAGGTGGCATCATGACAAAATTATAGTCTACAGCTTTTAAAAACTGTTACCAAGAGTACACAGGCTGAAGTGTCTCGCCTGCTTTGTTGACTGTGATCAAATTAAAGTTGAAAGTCTTTTAAAAGATCAATAATTAAAGGTTTGACTATAACTAAGTATCACATATACTTTATAAGGTCGTATGAACCCTTTCAGATAGACAAGTACACCTTACAATCATTCCATACATCAAATATAGTTAGCCTATTACTAATTTATCTGAGAAACAGACTTATTTCTAAATTTTCATTTTTACAAATTATGTACCTCTTCTGTGACAATTTTTGAAGAATAATCAATAGAATTTATCTCATCAAGTAGAAGATTAAGGTTGGTCCTTGAAATTTCATCTCCCTGACTTGTGAAGTTCATAAATCTGTTGAAACATTGTTCAAATCTGTCTCTTTCCACAGCAGAAAATCCAGATTCATCAGCCATCTCAGGAATTTGTTGATTCTTGATGATTACTCAGAGTTTTTCTTTCCTATCAATGTAAAACCCCGAGAGAACATAAAATTTCTAGAGGGATACTTTATTTGTTTCATTTAAAAATGAAACATATTGGCTTATTTAATGGATTGGGTCTTGATTAGAACATTTTATTTATTTCTTAAATATTTAAAACATTATTTTTATATAATTGTTTTAAATAAAAGCAAAGATTATGTTTTTTATTTTTATTTTTAATCTTAACTAATTCAGGGATCCCTACAAAATGGCTGCGCCCATGAAAGTTAGCCGGCTTCTTAGCACAAGAAAATTCAACACATTTTGCCGATTTTTGCACTCAAAGAAACAGAACAATGAATCACAACAAAAGGAAACCCACTTTGGATTTCAAAACATCCCTGAAAATGAAAAAGAAGACAAAGGTTTTAGTAATTTTTTTCCCCTTGACTGGCTTGAGTCAGTTTCAGTCAAGCCTCAAGGGCATCATTGTCATTGACAACAATATTTTTTGAAGGAATTCAAATGTTTGTTTGTTTTCCCCCCAGAATTGACTTGAAAAGGTTACTATCATGACCATAAACAGCAATCCAAACAAATTATAGATTTGGTCTTTCAAGGCCAAGGGACATCTAAACTCTGAAAATAACTACTGTTTATACGACTTTTGAATTCATGCACATTCCCGTAAATTTCCTATGTCACAATTCTTATGTTATTACGTCACAGTAAGAACAGATTGTACATTGACATCTTTAACGCTGATTTACCTCAGGTCAACAGGTGTAACTCATTCATAGAAAACAACTGATTCAGAAGATTGGTGTTTATCATATTTATATTTTTAGTTATAATTTATATTCTATTTCATCAGAAGAACAATTTAATGTTATTTTCTTTTAATGAGTATCTGATCTATAGATTTATATATACAATATGATAGAGCTGTCAAGTTCTATCAGAAAATGATGCAACTTATAGGTTTCTATATGATGTAATTTGATTTTGAGTTATTTCCCTTGGCTGTTGGATGCCTAACTGGTTAATTTTCTTATTTGAGTAACTAAGGTAGCAATACACAGTTAGAAGTTATGGCATTTGAGAAAGCACAGAATTGCTTATTTTAAGACAAATCATACCACAAATCTATTGATATTTAGATTATAGATACAATTCTGACGGAGAAAAATCTTTTAGTATGACAATATTTGTTAATTTTGTTGTTTATTGTCCTTAGCAACCAATGTAGACATTTTGACACAAAGACTTGGTTCGGTCATAAATTGATACTTTATTGGCTACCCCTTGGAAAAGAAAGAATGCGCTTTATGTACCAACCTCAATATGGAACGCTTTATATTTTTTCATGGGAATAAATCAAATTTATATTTTTAGCAAGTATATTGTTACAATTTAGCATGAATTAAGTCTAAATTTGTCCCCGCTGTTTAAGTTAGAAATTGATTCAGTATTTGCCAAATTTTAACCAAGGCTTTGTTATGCTAATACACAACAAAATTGACATTCTAGAGCTTTAAAATAGCTTTAATTTTGAAAATTTGTCTACTGTTAAGGTTAATTTAAGTTTTTAAACAAGAAAAGACAAAAACAAAAGGTATAGTTTTAGAAATTTAACTAAAAAATGAGAATTTACACTTTGACATGGCATGTTTCTTCAAATCACTATTTTGTTGCATTTCAGTGACAACTTCTAACCTTCATAAAATATTTATTTCTGAACCAATTTTCAAAACTAGCTGGCCAATTTGCTCGTTTTAGCTAGCAGACCACAGAAATCCATTAAAAGTGAAAATTGAAAAAAAAAATTTCACCTTAAGGTAGCAATACTCAGTTAGAAGTTTAGTTTCGCAATTTGGCCATGGTGAATTTTTCAAATATGAAAGTTTTTGTACAATAAAATTGATTTTTAGATAGTTGAAGAATAATATAGCCTTCCAAGTGGGTTTATATGAACATCAAGATTGTTTTTTGCATGTTTTATAGGCCATTTTTCTGTTTGACAGTCCATATTTTCCCATCCGTACCGCCCATAGGTCCAGAAATAATTGTAGCGTTTTTCAACAAAATTTTGACCCTCAAACTTTTCAATTCAATTTTATGGAAAAATGGGCAGAAATGCATATAATTTTTTTTTGGACCTCTTGATAGATAAATGTCTATGGTTTCAGGAAAGGTATCACTCTAATGGATTGAAATTCTCCTTTGGACCAAATTTTGGGGACTTTTGTGACATTTTCACCCCCCTTTTTGCAATATTTTGTATCAAATAAATGCAGATTGTTGCCATGGTTACACCAAAAAGAGATTATATTTCACCATTATAACTATTGGAAATCAAATCTATGGGAGATGCTCTTTCCATAAATATACACATGCATAACACAAATATAAAGCCTTATTTGTTAGAAAGCAAGAGAAAGAGGGTGGTTAAAAATTATGAGTGTCAATTTTAAGTTTTTTTTCTAACTGTGTATTGCTACCTTAACTGAAACATGTGGTACAAACAAGTCTGAGAAGAGACCTGGCTAAGAGAAATGTGATAAATGGTAAAATTAATATATTTTAGTCATTTATTAGGGTCCACAATATACATGTACATTTGAATATAGAAAAATGAAAAGTATCAACCGAGCACAATGAATTTGTCACTTCAAGGTTGCAGGGATACAATTTGCCTATTTATAAAACGTTTTCTTATTTTCATCTATGAGGAATGTGTACTATCATTTGAGTTATAAACAGTTATTAAACTGTGTGTGATTGTATGTTAAATATATATAAAACGTCTAGATATATATACCAGTTTAAATCGGTTAGTGCTATTCATTTGGAATGTGTTTCTACACAGTCTCTGTTGTAATAACTTAAATTTCATCACCAGTGAAATTTAGAATAGTACCAGTTCATATCGCACATTACTATTCTATTAAGGAGCATATCCATGCAGTCTCTGGTGTAAATACTTAACCTATGTCATTTTTGCAATTTTATAATTATATATATGTACAAGCGTTGTTCGGTTTTTAATTGTATAATGGTAGAGAGTGTTTTAGTCAGAATAGATTGATATGATTCATTTTACATCAACATTATCATACTGATGAAGGATAGTAGTTATCCAAAATATATATTTATTGTTTCCTTTTTTTGGATATTAGTGTTATTTTGTACATTTTTTTAGGCGTACATATATATAAATGTTATTAAAGTATCTTCTAATTTCAGTTTATGAAGTATTTAAGAATGTAGCCAGTAGATATGACTTGATGAATGATGCTATGAGTGTTGGTGTTCATAGACTCTGGAAGGACCATTTTATAAGAAGGCTTGGTCCAACACCGGGAACTAAATTGTTGGATGTAGCAGGAGGCACAGGTTAGTACAAACTGTTTATAGACTTTTAATGGAATAATTATTTAAAATATGTTAAACTAGTCTGCAATAATACAAAATGTCTGTACACAAGGTACATGTATACCATATGTTCAGATGGAACATATATGTAACACATATAATGTGAACATGTGGTTAAGATGAAAAACAACAAATATGTCACATATTGAAAGTTTAATCAGTACATGTATATATGAAATAGTTTCAGTGTCAGAGCAAATTTACATCAGTGACATCTTCCATTCTGTTATTTTGCAGTTAAAGCAGAGCTCTCGAAAAATGGTGGTCCGAAGGTTTTGACTGCCTAATTTTGCAAAGGACTGACACAATTTTGGTATTTTGTAATAGAAATAATAGTGAAGACTAGCAGATTTTCTTCAAAGACCACCAGGAATTTTTTCTTCTTCGAGAACTATGGTCAAAGCAGTTAATAATAGAGAAATTTATTTGCTCAAATTAATTTTCTTTGACCCTGAACTTCCCCCCTCAACCAAACTAGCTGGTTTTAGCTCTGACATCCAGAAAGTGACATTAAATCAATACCTCATTTGTCAATCAAATTCACTACTTTATTTATGCATGGAGTAAGAATATAGAAAATAGTCAATGTAAACTTATTTTTACCTGTCATTTATCCACAATCTTTTTACATTTACAGGTGATATTGCATTCAGATTTTTAAAATATATAGACGATGTAAACAAAAACGGATCTGATGACCTTTTTGTACCCAACCATATTGATGGATTACAGCTTCACCAGGAGGAAGAAAATTTGACATCCTCTTCATCATCGTCTTCAGATGAGGAAGATAATCATGTGACACATCATGTGACTGTATGTGATATAAATCAGGAAATGTTAGATGTTGGGAGACAAAAGGCAGAAAGTTATGGCATATGCTCAGGTTAGTCATGTAATATAAAATGAAAGTCCATGAAATGTTAAAGAAAAAAATAAATTAAGGAGTGATTATGTCAGAGTACCCTGTTGTGTCCATACATCTGGGAATAAAGATAAGATATGCATTTGTTGGTCACAGAGCTGTTTGGACAAATTACTTCTTGCATACTAAGAATATCTGCTTTTATTTTTTTCCTATTCATTAGTGCCAAATGTCATTACTACCAGTTGTCCTTATGGCAGTATGAAAAACAAGTCACTAATAATATGTACTTGTATATTTTTATGCCCCCGCCATAGCGGTGGGGGCATTAAGTTTTACCCTTGTCCGTCTATACGTACGTACGTACGTCCCAAAATTGGTTTCCGTTCTCTAACTTTAGTTTGCCTCAACCAAAATTATGAATCTTATACACAATGCTTATTACCACAAAACACAGATCAAGTTTGAATTTTGGTGGCGTCACTTTTACCGTTCTAGAGTTATGTCCCTTTACAAATGGAAAAAATGGTGAATTTTTCGTTTCGGTTCTCTAACTTTAGTTTGCCTCAACCAAATGTTATGAAACTTTTACACAATACTTAATACCACAAAACACAGATCAAGTTTGAATTTTGGTGCTGTCACTTTTACCGTTCTAGAGTTATGCCCCTTTACAAATGGAAAATTGCTGAATTAATCGTTTCCGTTCTCTAACTTTAGTCTGCCTCAACCAAATCTTATGAAACTTATACACAGTGCTTATTACCACAAAACACAGATCAAGTTTGAATTTTGGTGGCGTCACTTTTTAACCGTTCTAGAGTTATGCCCCTTTACAAATGGAAAAATTGCTGAATTTTTCGTTTCCGTTCTCTTACTTTAGTTTGCCTCAACCAAATGTTATGAAACTAATACACAATGCTTATTACCACAAAACACAGATCAAGTTCGAATTTTGGTGGCGTCTCTTTTACCGTTCTAGAGTTATGCCCCTTTACAAATGGAAAAATTGCTGAATTTTTCGTTTCTGTTCTCTAACTTTAGTTTACCTCAACTAAATGTTATGAAACTTATACACAATGCTTATTACCACAAAACACAGATCAAGTTTGAATTTTGGTGGCGTCACTTTAACCATTCTAGAGTTATGCCCCTTTAGAAATGGAAAAATTGCAAAATTTTTATTTTCTTCTAAATATCAAGTAATTTTTAAAATTGGAGTTATCTTCCTTTGTCCATGATTATAGATGAATCAACTTTCTAACTTTATTTATTATGTAGGAATGAGTTGGTTGAAGGGAAATGCTGAATGTTTGCCACTAGAAGATAATCAATTTGATGCATACACCATAGCATTTGGTATTAGAAACTGTACACATGTAGACAAGGTACACTTAGTATTAATTTAATGTCAATTAATATCACATGTTAAATATAGAATAGAAACAGTATAAATGAGTCTACTTCAAATCCAGTGAAGATCTAAGTAGTTCATCTATAGTGATCACTAAACTGACAACTCTGATGATGTGATTTACAAACCCTGCTCATGGTAAGGTAGGGTTTGCCTCACATATTAATTGACAAGGATGGCTAGTTTTCCTGCTGAGGATCGTTGGTTCTCTCTGGGTACTTCAGCTTTCTCCACAAATGAAAATCAGTAAATACAAATATTGCCTTGACATACATATATCATGATAAGCAACAACTTTTAAGGTGAAGGTGCATAGGCTAACAACATGGCTGTGCATCTGTAAAATCAAGACATTAATTATAACAGTATTGTAATTTCATATTTTTATTAAGTACAATGTTAAATTCATATAACATGAGCAGTGACTACAAATAAGATTGTAGATAAAAACAGATACAAACATACAAGATGTACCAGTAATATGATTACTACTGAGACAAATATTATAGGTATGAAAAATAATCCTTTACCACCCGCATCATATCATAGCTTACCTTGTTTTTATTATTCTTGACAGGTTGTAGAGGAAGCCTACAGAGTACTGAAACCAGGGGGAAGATTTATGTGCTTAGAATTCAGTGAAGTCAAAAATCCATTACTTAGAAGGTCAGTAGTTGGGAGAGTTTATGTATGAATAAGAAATGTTGTTGTCAATGAGACAGCAACTCAACAATATGAGCCAATTATTGCAAAAGTTTTCCACAGAAACATCTGTAGTTTACCTGTTGATTTAAACTTTTGTTAGTTCACTTGTCCCATTGAATAAATACAATTGTATTTATATTGTTCTCTGTAGAGTTTACTCACTGGGACCTTTAAATTTCTTCTAAGAGAAATCCATCACTCATTGATTTTTTTACCTGAAGAAAAAAATTATCTTCTAAGTGGATGAAAATACATGTATGAACTCCCCCACAAAACTGCATTTGAACCTGAAACCTCAGGCATTTGTCTTAGAAATTTGTTCTTCTCATGAGATGACATGGTTTAGTGTTTCCTATTTGGATTGCCTGCCACGAATTAATTCAGACAGCAAAGGTTGGTGTGTTATACACAATTGTGTAAATAAATTAATGCAGATTTATAGCATAAACATTTTTGTTGGGGTATAGACAACAGTGGAATAGAAAAATAACAAAAAATTTGTGACCAAGTGTCATTTCAAGAAAATGCAAGTCGAGTACCTTCTGTTATATAAAGATATATAGGTAAAAAACATTCTGAGACAAGTGTCTGTGCCTTGAACATAGTGAGTTTGGTTTACACTGTGGTAGCTTTTTGTTTTTAAGTCTTTAACAAAGTGTCTTTTGTTATATAATTTCAGTTTGTATGACAACTATTCTTTTCAAGTAATACCAGTAATGGGACAAGTTTTAGCTAGAGACTGGAAATCTTATCAGTATCTGGTGGAGAGTATACGACAGTTTCCTAATCAGGTAAATATTTAAATGTACTCCATGCTGATATTGCTGTTATTTAGTCTTCTACTTTGTTGCCAAGAAAAGAGACCACAAGCTTATGATTAAATTATATTGAGATGTATTGAATTTTAGCTAAAGAAAATTGCAGGACACGGGGCATAAGGATGCTAATCCAGCGATGACAGCAACAGTGTAAATTATTTGTAGAAAGCTTTATATTTCAGAAGGTAGAAGACCAGGATAATATATATCTTGTATACAGATGCCTTATGTTCTGTAGTTTTCGTCTAGCCTGTTTGCGTTGTCCTTTACCTCATTTGCATGTTTCATGGTTCAGTCACTGCTTAAAACACTCATGCATGTCTGTATATTTTCATGCCCCTGCAATCACCGGAAGGTACATTAAGTGTTACCCTTGTCATTCCGTTCGTACGTACCTCCCAAAATTGGTTTCCGTTCTCTTACTTTAGTTTGCCTTAACCAAATGTTATGAAACTTATATACAATGCTTATTACCAAAAATACAGATCAAGGTCGAATTTGGGTGGCATCGCTTTTACCGTTCTCAAGTTATGGCCCTTTATAATATTATATTTATATATTATATTTACATGGATACGAGATAAACATTAAGTTTTTGATGGTCAGGTCCCTTTCTCTGGTACTAAAAGTAATAGGTCAATGATATTTTGTATTTGGAATGATTGTACTGTGTATATGTCTGTTCGGCAGGGAGGATTTGACCTTGATAACATCTTCATGGTTCCTGGTCAGCGTTAAGTAGTAAGGTTTCTTTCTCAGATACTATCAGTCAACCATATTTAGTGATTGTAAGATGTACTTGTCTGTCTGGCAGGGTTTATGTATTGTTCACAGACAGTTGATAATGTTATGTAATGTTTTAAGTGATATCTGTAATAAAACCTTGATCTTGAATACTTTAAACATAAAATTCAATCATGATCAGTAAAGAAGACTGGACATTTCAGTGTGTTCACTCTTTTTAGCTCACCTGGCCCAAAGGGCCAAGTGAGCTTTTCTCATCACTTGGCGTCCATCGTCCGTCGTCGTCGTCGTTAACTTTTACAAAAATCTTCTCCTCTGAAACTACTTGGCCAAATTTAATCAAACTTGGCCACAATCATCATTGGGGTATCTAGTTTAAAAAATGTGTCCGGTGACCCGGCCAACCAACCAAGATGGCCGCCATGGCTAAAAATAGAACATAGGGGTAAAATGTATCTGCCTTGAAATTTTCAGGTGAATCCGACAACCCGTTGTTGGGTTGCTGCCCCTGAATTGGTAATTTAAAGGAAATTTTGCCGTTTTTGGTTATTATCTTGAATATTATTATAGATAGAGATAAACTGTAAACAGCAATAATGTTCAGCAAAGTAAGATCTACAAATAAGTCAACTTGACCAAAATGGTCAGTTGACCCCTTAAGGAGTTATTGCCCTTTATAGTCAATTTTTAACCATTTTTCGTAAATTTTTGTAATCTTTTACAAAAATCTTCTCCTCTGAAACTACTTAGACAAATTTAACCAAACTTGTCCACAATCATCATTAGGGTATCTAGTTTTAAAAAATGTTTCCGATGGCCGACATGGCTAAAAAATAGTACATAGGGTAAAATGCAGTTTTTGGCTCATATCTCTGAAACCAAAGGATTTAGAGCAAATCTGACAGGATAAAATTGTTCATTAGGTCAAGATCCATCTGCCCTGAAATTTTCAGACCAATCAGGAAACACGTTGTTGGGTTGCTGCCCCTGAATTGGTAATTTTAAGAAAATTTTGCAGCTTTTGGTTATTATCTTGAATATTATTATAGATAGAGATAAACTGTAAACAGCAATAATGTACAGCAAAGTAAGATCTACAAATAAGTCAACATGACCAAAATTGTCAATTGACCCCTTAAGGAGTTATTGCCCTTTATAGTCAATTTTTTACAATTTTCATAAATTTGGTAAATTTTTGTAAATTTTTACAAAATATTTTCCACTGTAACTACTGGGCCAAGTTCATTATAGATAGAGATAATTGTAAGCAGCAAGAATGTTCAGTAAAGTAAGATCTACAAACACATCACCATCACCAAAACACAATTTTGTCATGAATCCATCTGTGTCCTTTGTTTAATATGCACATAGACCAAGGTAAGCGACACAGGCTCTTTAGAGCCTCTAGTTATTTTGTAAAATGGGATAGAAATACAAAGAAATATATGATTAAAAAAATAAAGGTCACCTTTCCAAATGTTCCTGAACAATGAAGTCAATAATTTCCGTACTTTGGTACTTTGAAATACACTGTAGTAACACAGAGACCTTTAAACATATATTACTAAAAAATATATACCGGTATATTAAATTCTTGTTAAAATTGAAACCCTGCTGCTTTGTTTAAAGTTTAATATATTGAATGCTACATAACTAACTTCCTTCAAACTTTCAAAAAGTTGATTACCAATAGTATTGTATCAGGTTTTGACATTTTTTCTTGAGAATGGTGGGGAATAATTTGGAAAAGGAAAAGATTTTCAGATGTCCTTTCTGTCATTTATCATTGGTTTTAGATTTTATGCCTACTTTCTAATGTTATAAATGTTGTCTCCCTTTGCATTAACCAAGTTTTACAAATATTATAGACGGGTGGGAAAATTCAATTTCCATGATATTATCTATCAAAGGTCTTTGATAAACACTAACCATGGTTGTTTTAATCATGAGAATATTTTATATGCTGGTAAATTCATTTAAACTGAAAATAATAAAATATGAAGAAAGACTGTTGTATTCACACATATCTGTTTAAAGTGTCTTTGTGAGTTACTTCTAGCAATTATGATAGTTGAAGGACTGTTTATCCCCAAAATAGACATTGGTACTATATTCTATGCCAAATCACAACTAGTTCATTATAAATAAATGATAATTTTCTTTTGCAGGAAGATTTCAGTGACATTATCAGAAATGCTGGATTTAGGATGGTATCATATGAAAATTTGACTTTTGGTGTAGCTGCAATTCATTCTGGATTTAAACTGTGATATAACAATAACTAAATGAACTTACCAATATTTATTGATAAAATGTACAGGAAATATATGAATGAATTATTCTATGCATAAGAATGTAAATGACTTCTATTAAAGCAGAAAGAAACGACTTTTTGGATACATGTCTTTGAAAATAAATCTTTTTTTTATTGTTGACTGATTTTGAAATAGTTGTATTTATTTTTTTTAGAGCAATTTAAAGAGTTAAAAATGAGTGATAGTTTTACTATAATGGAATGAAAAAATAAATAGCTCTTTTAAGAAAGAAGCATTTGCCTTTTTAAAAAGCAAAATAGGTGACTATTTATTAAAAATACAAAATTGATCCTCTTTATGACTCTTTTTAGTATTTATAATGTAATCATGACTGTCAATTGGAATTATATGTCCAGTTGGAGGTTTCAGAAAATACAAAAAAAAAATTATGAATAACCTATAGCTAGAGCTCTATATGCTAGTGTTAGAATTTCAACATTTAAGTACCATTTGAATTGATTATTCAGTAATCATGATTCTTATCATTTCCATCACCAGAAAATAATCTGATTTTTGACATCATATACATATTTTTGGGCAAACTTGATCTCTGTATCATTGAACTGGCATGGTAATTTTGTCTACTTGAAATTGTACATTTTTGTTTTCTGATGTACATAATGGCATTCAACCTGACCTACAAAAATGTTTTTATTCTATCATGTATTACATTTGTCTTAGTCCTGATATGAAATTCAGATATTCATTATTTTCCTTAACATAATGACATATAATTTATGCACAAAGAATGCATATATGGCATAAAATAATTATGAATGCATAATTTGGTTTATTTAACATACAATATATATTGTATATTAGGGTTTTTTTCAACATGTGGTTAATTTTATGGTATATACAGCAGCATAGAATTGAAAAAAATTATCCATTGCAGAAAATTCCTGTGTTTTATGTAGTTTAGAATGATTAGCTATTTACCATAACACATCACTGTAACTCATGCATTATTTTTATCATTAAAAAGTATGGACTTTTCACTACCACCTTAAATTTGAGACTTGATGACAGCTGACTAACAGCATAACATTAATACTACAATTGTCATTTCGGTTACTTTAAATGGTTTTCATTCTTAATACTTTATTTATAAAGATTTGAACACCAACTTACTGATGAAGATACAATGGATGGATTGATGGCTGTTTCATATCCAGTGGCAAATTTAAAAAGACATAATCAGGATGAAACATGTTATATTAATTTTAAAATATGAACCCCGCAGAGAAGCAGCAAATGTCAATTTGAAAGTCAATGTTTGAAGAAAGCCAGGGTTTGAACCCATGACCTCCCACACTTGAGGCTAGCATGCTACCACAAGACCACCAATGGAGTAATGAAGATATGAAACCATGTACCAAAAAATGAAAGAGTTATTAGATTGTCCAGAATTTCTTCAATTTACATTTGTCAAAAGTCAATTTGTTTCTTAAATACTGGTTCATTTAATCAATACATTCTTTTGATCGATTGTAAATCTGAATTTCATCTTTTGGAAAAAATATGATGTCAAAAGCAATACCCAACAGTTAGATATTTTATATTCTTTGCTTACCTCTAGTTCTCTATCTTATTTCCATGCTAGGTCTGTATTGATTAGCCTGTCTATGGTTGACAAAATGCTAAGTATAATACCAAATTTATAACATCTTACAAGTATATGTTAGGATTAAGTGAGATTTTTATGGAGGATTTGTTAAAATGTCTAAATTTGCCTCTCCACAAATTTAACTTAACTCTTTCTTTCAACAAACCCAGATAAAAGCTTTTGCCGACAAATTTTAAAAACGCTATCCCATAAAACTGGATTCAATCAACCATTTTCAATTGCCTTAAGCAATATAAAAACAAGAAGATCTGGTGTGATTGCCAATGAGAAAACTATTCACAAGAGACCAAATGACATAGATGTAAGCAATTTACGACTATGACAGTTTATTGCCTGTTGTAATAATGATGTACATTCAGTGAGGTTTTACAGCATGATAGTGTACCTGTATTTTTTTACCTGCATTGGCCATAGAGAAGCAGGTCTAGTAACTCCACCTATCCTAAAGGGAAAAGTTTTCTTTGCTTCTATGAAAGGGAATGATTTTATATTTAGTATGTGGCTTCATAATGTTGAGTTGTAGCGAGTAAGCAATTTTTACAACTGCAGTGCAGCAACTTCATGTTTGCTGAATGGTTTGAAATTTTACAACGCTCATTGTGCAAGAAATTTCTTTTTAAAACTTTTCTTGGCTTCAGTGAAAGGGATTGATCACTTATGCTTCAGTATACATTTCACCTCAACCAATTGCATGAAGTGAGGCAGGTCCAGATCATGTATTGATCTTGTTTGATATACCTAATATGGTTTAGTATATTTAGCATACCTATTATCAGATATTTGTACTACTTTTAAACATTACAATTTTTTAGCTCACCTGGCCTAAAAGGCCATGTGAGGTTTTGCCATCACTTTGCATCAGTTGTCCGTCTTCCATCATCCATCCGTCGATCTGTCGATCGTCTGGTGTAAATTTTTCAAGAATCTTCCCCTCTGAAACCACTGGACCAATTTCAACCAAACTTAGGCTGAATGATCCTACGGTTATCAAGTATAAAGTTGTTGTTTTTTTATTGTGGTCAATCAACAATATGGCGACCATGGCTTAAAATCAATCATCAGGGTAAAATGCATTTTTTATATGACCACAAAATTTTGCGGTTGTATACTGGGTATTTGTATGAAGTTGTTGTCGTCTGAAGACATTTGGTTTCCAGACAATAACTTGATATAAGTGTATGGATCTTTATGAAATTGTACCACAAGGTTCCATACTACTAAATAAAGGTTGGGATTGATCTTGGGGGTTATTATCCTAAATGTTTAGGAATTAGGGCCAAAAACAATCATTTTTATACGCCCGTCAAAATTTTGACGGGACGTATTATGGTATACAAATGTCGTCTGTCCGGAGTAAACATGTCACACCGTAACTTGAGAAGGACGTATCCAAATTTCATGAAACTTAATATAGTTGTTTCTTATGATGGTCAAACGATCTGTATACTTTTTGGTGAAAATAAGATTAAAACTTTTTGAGTTATGGGACTTAGTAACTAAAACAGGTGTGTGTTTTTTTCACATGTCGCGCCGTATCTCAAAAAAATTTATGATTATTGCTTAAAACTTTACACACTTCTTAGTTATATTAATCTTAAGATCTGTATACTTTTTGGTGATGATTCAAAATTTTATTTTTGAGTTATTGAGTATTTTGTAAAAAAAGGGGGAGGGTTTTTTCACATGTCGCGCCGTATCTCAAAAACGATTTATGATTATTGCTTTAAATTTTACACACTTCTTAGTTATATTAATCTAAAGATCTGTATACTTTTTGGTTTTGATTCAAAATTTTATTTTAGAGATATTGATTTTTTTTTTTTTTAAAGGGGGGTTTTCACATGTTGCGCCGTACCTCAAAAACGATTGATGATTATTGCTTAAAATTTTACACACTTCTTAGTTATATTAATCTAAAGATCTGTATACTTTTTAATTTTGATTCAAAATTTTATTTTAGAGATATTGAGTTTTTTGTAAAAAAAGGGGGGTTTTCGCATGTCGTGCCGTATGTCAGAAACTTTTTATGATTATTGCATAAAAATTCACACACAAGACGACGGGCGTATCATGCGCTCATGCTCAGCTGTTTATTCTTTTTTCCAGACAAAAACTTGTGAATTAGTGTATGGATCTCTATGGTATTGTACCATAAGGTTGCATACTACAAAAGGAAGGTTGGGATTGATTTTGGGGGTTGTGGCCCAAACCTTTTAGAAATTAAGGGCCAAAAAAGGGTAAACAAACAAGGGTTTTCTGGTTTTCTGACAATAACTTAAGTATAAGTCTATTGATCTTTATCTTAAATTGTACCACAAGGTTCCATACCAAAAATGAAAGGTTGGGATTGATTTTGGGTTTATGGCCCTAAACATTTAGGAAAAAGGGGCCAAAAACAATACTTTTCTAATACTTTGTATTAATTGATTATTTCTTGACCAATTTCAGTGGGGTTTAATTCAAAGTCTTGAATTCTTAATATGCTGAATCTAACCATGTATTTAGATTTTTGGATTTTGGGCCCAGTTTTCAAGTTGGTCCAAAACAGGATCCAAATTGAACTTTGTTTGATTTCAACAAAAATTGAATTTCTAGGGTTCTTTGATATGTTGAATCGATTTTGGATTTTGGGCCCCATTATCAAATTGGTCCATATTGAGGACCAAAGGGTCCAAAATCAAACTTTTGTTTGATTTCATCAAAAATTTAATTTTTTGGGTTCTTTGATATGCTGAATCTAACAATGTATTTTGGATATTGGACCATAATAGGTAAATGTCCATTTTCAAATTTTAAATTCTTTGACAACATTCATTCTGTGTCAGAAATCTTTGCTGTGTCAAATTTAATCACAATCCAAATTCAAAGCTGTATCAAGCTTGTACAGTTGTTGTGTCAATACTTGCCCAAACTGTTCAGGGTTGGACCTCTGCGGTTGTATCAAACTGCGCCCTGCAGAGCATTTTATTGGCTTATATCTCAAAAACTAAAGCAGTTAGAGCAAATCTGACTGTCAGAAAATGACCAACAGATCAAATGACAGGAAATTTTCAGACATATTTTAAAAACTCTGACATCTAAAATACATTGGTTACATGTTGCCTTGTTTATGATGGTTTTAAACAACCAGCAGCAAGATTCATCCTGGTAGGTATTATTGGTTATCTTGGTGTAATCAGGAGTTTTACACCAGTGTTGAAAATTCATACACCCTGAGGTGCAGCCAAAGGTTGCTGCGCATTGTCAAATGATATAATTACCTTTTGGAAAATTTTAGAGAATTTTTTTTAGGGGGGACTTTTGGAGAATAATGATTTTTTTTTTTTTTTTTTTTAATTTTTTTTTATCTTCATGAATTGGTAACAAAAATTGTAATTTTACATAATTTTTGTTTTTAATTTTGGCCAAATTTTCTGTTTTTATGAAATTTTGGCAAAATTGTATCCCCATGTGAACTGGAATGGAGTGTTATTTACAACCGGGTAATTAACAAATCAGATTTCAAGATTCTTGCTTCATTAAGAAATAAAATATTATATCAATTGTTTTTTTCTTCATTGTTTTAACTTTGTTAATCAATTTTCCCTTCATTTTTTTATTTGCTCATTTATAAACATTACAATCATTCTCGTTGTCCAGATATTATTTCAATTATCGATAATTGATCTTTGCATTGTCACTTGTACGTGTGCTTGTCCATCTGATTTTGACCTCATTTTCAAGGATTATTGAAAACAGACCTACCTACTTTCCCTATTTTCGGGGATAATCCAAACTAGAAATGTTAATCTGACCATTGAAATCCTGCATTATATAAACTAAATACATAAAAACAGACATTCAAAGGCTTAAAATGGAATTTATACCTGAGTGTATATGTGTTTCAAGGCAAAATTACTGTCCCTATCCAATATTCCTTTGTTTTCCATTGGCAGTCGAAATTCCCGTCATCCAGTTCAAGTATCAACCCTCTTACTTAACTTGTTGTAAATATATTTTCGTCATGCTTATGCATGAAATATTGTCCACTGAGCGTTAACCAAGCAGCAAACAACCAATCTTATTACATGTATACAGTAATAGACGAACAAGGTCCTCTTGTGCTTAAAATCGCTTAATGACATTTTGAGAAGTAGTCAGATGTGTAAAAATTCGTAAGGGTTCCGCGGAACCCAGTGTCTCGCCTACTAGTCGCAGGCTCAACAAAAATGGGGTAAAATTATTAAAAAATTTCCTCTAGATACTATTGATTGTAAGAAGCTTCTATCCAAGTTTGGTAAAAATCCAGGATGGTTTATGAATCTAATAAATGTTTTAAAAACTTTAACTGCAGACTGTATGTAATGTTAACTGGAAGAAAAACTAAGTCCA